CACCCTGAGTATTGACATCAGCTTTGTTATCCAACAGCATTTGCACAATCTGCTCATGCCCTCCATAAGAAGCAGCCTGGAGGGCATTTCCATATGCTCCACCCTGAGCATTGACATTGGCTTCGTTATCCAACAGCATCTGCACAATTTGCTCATATCCTCCATAAGAAGCAGCATAGAGGGCATTTTTGTACGGTCCACCCTGAGCGCTGGCATCGGCTCCTTCCTCCAACAGCATCTGCACAGCCTCATAATAGCCATTTGCGGAGGCCCATATCAAAGCAGTAGCCCCACTGCTATCCGGTTTATTTATAGTATCCTCCTCTGCTGTGATGATCAATTTCAACACATGGCTATGCCCATTGAAAGCTGCCAGATGTACTGCATCCATTTCGGGCTGCTTGTCGAATGGCATAACAGCTTCCCAAAATATAGGGAACCACATTTCAGTGGTGGTCCTGTATACACTATGTACCAGATTAACCATTTCCTGCTGTTGTGAGGAGGACATCCCTCGAACATGTTCAGCCCAGTGCTCTGCTGAATATGGTAGGAAGCATTGAATATCAGATTCTGGTTGTTCTTGATGGCATTCTAGGTCATCCATTTGCAAGTATCGAATACAGATTTGCGACATTTCTCTATCCGTGTCTCGTAATTCGAATGTATATTTTGAGCTGGGTCTGTTGGCTACGTTTATCCCTATAAGAAACTCCCTGGCTGTCTGGTGTATAAGATAGATCTTTGAGCTGTTGATGAAAACAAAAAGTCCACAAAGTCGGCGTATCTTATTACTAAGCCTGGTAGGATCAACCCTAGCTGCTGCGGCAGTTTTCAACTCAGGACTGTCGGCCACACCTAATGCCATGGACATTTCCTCTATTGTCAAAGGACGCCGTGCGCCAACAATAATTCGAAGGATCTTCTTTACAATGTCTTTTTGACCAGATGGAACTCGACTGAGGATCTTCTCGTACGCGGCGTTCACAGATGGGGGTACCAGTATAATTGATTCTGTAGCTGGCCGAAGACTATTTTGAAATGTTGTACGGATGTCATCAATGGCCAGGTATAACCACAGATACATGCGGTGTTGCATTTGAAGCAGCTGATCCTGAATTCGCTGTGCCACATCGGCTGGGAGTCCTGATGTTTCAATCAACTCTTTTACTTTTACCTTGACGACAAGATCAATTTCCTGGTGAATCTGGTTATTCTCCTGCTCCCCTTGCAGATGTATATGCGGAACTAGGTCTGTGATTGATTTGAAACTATTCTGGATGTCGTCATAGGGGCGGCTGGTGACAAGAAACTTTAACCAGTTCTTCTGCGTTGGTAAACTGGTTTGGCTATGGAAATCCTTGAGCCTTTGAATGAGTTGATTCTGGTCCTCTGGACGATATTCATCAAGTGCATCAAGCACGCAAATAGTGTTTAGAGATGCAGGATCTGATGTTACTGCTAGAAGAATCTGCCAAAGCTCACCAGTCTCTTGTTGAAGTTTATCACCATTCTTCTCCCAAGATGGCACTGCATGTCGCAGTAGACTTGGCTGTTGGCTAAAGAGCTGATGTAGTATTGCACACAGTGCTGCAGCAAGACTATTCTGCTCATCATTATCCTTGAAAAAGAAATAGCAAATCGATATTGTTGAACTGCACTCTTGCAAATCATTATCAATAAGTGACTTAGAGAGCACAGATTTCCCACAGCCAGGGTCAGCTGATATCCAGAGAAGATCATTGCAGCAACTATCCCACCAACCGAGGTAACATGAATTCCGCAAAGCCCATTGGCATGTTCCTGGTATTCGATCGGGATTAATGTCCTTGTGCTGTTCATAGTTCGACATCTTGAATGCTTGATGACACTCTTTTTGCCGGGTTGTCAAAACTCGCGCTGTTTGTTCAGCATGATACTGTTCTCGTTGATCATATGCTTTATCCAATCGTTCATTGGTGCCTTTGACTTTTTCATTTAGATTTTCTAGTGAGCCTACAAAGTGCCATATGAGCAAAATCATGTTATCATTGAATACTAGGCCAATCTGAGTATCACTTATGACAAAGATCTGTAGCTAGGCTTTCTTGCGACACTTGGCCCTTTGGTATATATCCCAGGAGTTCTTTGGTGTATGATGCCGCTGCCAAGGCAGCATACCCTTGCCATTCCTTGTTTTTGTGAGAATCAGAATAATCACAAATACCGCGGATCACGATGCAGGGGAAATCCAACATTAATCCTGCCGCCTCCATTTCAAAACACAGTGCCCCAGTTTGCATGCGGAGCTGTTCCCTCGTCCATCCGTGTTTGATGACAGAATTTCCAGACGCAATAATACCGTAGTGGGGCTGCGGTTCATTATCCTCGCGCTCATTTCTGGTCTCCTCCCATTCCCTTGGACAAATATCACAGTTGTCTGCAGCAGCTGGGTGGTCGTGCTGGATCTGAAACAACCGATCGCTCTGCTGACCAGGTCTGGTAAAAGCTTTCTGGGTTCTTCGGGTTCTCCCAATTGCGTTTCGGAAATATTCCGGATAATGGGGATCATCAGTAAGCTCAGCGGCCCTCATAGCACTAACAGCCGCTAACAGTGATCTGGGAGGGCTGTTCAGAGATCCAGTTCGAGTAAATTTACCATCAACTCCAACTTTACCCATATCATACTGAAGTACACCTCCACAGTTACCTGTTGGACAGCTGATCACGATATCACCAAGCCGTATGTCACTCATGGTAGATGGAATTCCTCCTCCAACACCAACCATCAAGCCAACCCGTAGCGACTTTGAGAACGTACGGATCATGTTGTTTGCAACTATAGTAGCCGCAGTATTGCCATATTGTCCTGCCGGCAGGCAGGCGATCACGATATAATGTTTCCCAATTCGGCCCAATGTATAGATATTCGGATCTGTTGTATCTTGTTCATCGAGAAATCCGAAACTTTCATCAAGCATTTCCTTCGCGGCGGCTGCCTCGATGGGAAGGGCGCAGATCCACCCGATTTGAAACTCATCTTGTGGAGGACAAATCATTATAATTATAGTTTGATTAACACACAGTTAAAGGTTGCTCTGATAGTGACAATGATTGATAAATCTTTGAAAGAAGCTGAAGGATAGGCAAAAGCCTGTTAGCAGTACTTCTGGAAGAATACCGGAATGGCCTGAAAAACAAAGTTGAGATTATTATTATTATTAACCATGCAAACTCAGCCTTGTCCTAAAAAGCGTCAAAGTGGCTGGGGCGGCAAGAGGTGAAATATAATTGGCAGCAATTACAACCCTGCTCCTTGTCACTACCAAAAAGATACTCGGAATATTCTTTGCTCCCATACTTCCCTATACATATACTATACTTCCCACTATATACATATTCTTTAAACGGGGTTACTTTTGGTTATACTGCGCAGACTCATTCAAAGTTGGATATTTCAACAAACCACCCTGAGCAGTGACCTTGAATGGGTTGTTCTAGAGCTCTAATTCTCTATCCAAATTCTATAGAACAAGAAGTGGGGTATTACAAACAGCTGTATAACTACCTAAAGGCCAATCACATCGACTAGCTGTCTTGGCATTATGTTAGCCTTTTGTGGGTCTTTTGCTGGCAACCCTGCCTCGGTTGGCTTCTTTTCTCTTCCGTAAGCTCACGCGATGTAACCTCTACACATACTCGATGGAAGCCCATGTGGCATAGCCAGCATAAATTAAAGGTCACAATAGTCAGAGCTGTCAGCTGCAAGAGCACAAAGTGTTTAATTTAGCTCTAGGCTATCCTTTCTCCTAGATTCAGTTTACAAGCTTGTTACAGCGGTCAAAATGGCTCCAAACCTCGCTGCCTCCCAGCATCAGCTGATCCGCGATATGATTATAAGCAGATCATTGACTACAGCTCAAATGGCTGATGTTGCAAACTGCAGCGAGCGTCCTATCAAGTATATTCGATCTAATCTTCGCTGCTTTGGCACGACCAAAGCACCACCAATTAAGGGTGGGCGTCCCCGTTCAATCACCCCTCTCATGCTTGAAGCCCTTTGTGAACATCTTCTTGAAAAGCCCGACCTCTATCTAGATGAGATGGCACTGTTTCTGTGGGATGAATTTGAGATCCTTACCACACCCTCAACCATAAGTCGAACCCTGAAATCAAATGGATGGTCAAAGAAGGTGGCTCGTCGTGTTGCAAAGGAACAGAACGCTGATTTACGGGATTTCTACCTCCGCAACCTATCAGACTTTCGGTCATATCATCTTGTATATGTAGATGAATCTGGCTGTGACAGGCGGGTGGGCTCCAGGCGTACTGGTTGGTCTCCTCTTGGAGTGACTCTGGTCCAAGTAGCCCGATTCCACTGCGAGCAACGATATCAGATCCTACCTGCTTACTCGCAGGATGGGATTCTCTTATCACGTGTGTTTCAGGGATCTACTGACAGTACTATATTTGAAGACTTTATTGAACAGTTGCTACATCATTGTGGCAAGTGGCCGGATCCAAAGTCTGTTCTGGTGATGGACAATGCATCCTCCCATTACACTGAGAGGATCAAGCAGATGTGCAGTAATGCCGGGGTGAAATTAATATATTTGCCTCCATATTCCCCGGACCTTAACCCAATCGAGGAGTTTTTTGCAGAACTGAAGGCGTTCTTTAGACGAAATTGGACCGAGTATGAATCTAACCCAGAGCAAGGTTTCGGCAACTTTCTAGAAAAGTTTATCGATGTTGTTGGGGGTAGAGAACAAAGTGCAAGAGGCCATTTTAGATATGTAGGTGTGGTGATTGAAGAATTTAATGAGTGCAATTTTGGCCAGAGGTTTGTGTTATCATATGTCTTAACCATTAATCCATGTTCTATAAATAAATATGAATTCCCTTTGCTTTCTACTATGCTATACTGCTCTCAAAAAAGTATGGACTCTCAAGTAGTTAGATCTTGCTGGGAAGTTATGAGCATTAACAAAAAAAAAAATAGAGTTGACCAGAGTTACACCATTTTACAATCGGTTGTCGTGTTGATTTATCGTTAGGGGGGACAACAGGGAGAAGGAAGAGGTTTGAAATGAAAATTACTTGCCAAAGACGTTTTTTTTATAAACTTTTACGGAGCATTTCAATTGGAAGTTTTCGTTTCAGCCCCACATGGCTCCATTCATGATTCGCTGGAACACGGTGGCCCCACCTAAACCGAGAAGAATATTTGGGAGTGTTTTGGTGAAGCCAGTTTTGCAAAGATCTGTAGATTGAATCAAATCTCACTTGAGCCCTTCACACTCACCATTCTTTTTATTCTTTTTATTCTTTTTATTCTTTCTTTTTTTTAAAAAAAATTCTTTTTCTAATTCTTTTTTAGAAACCTGAGAAACCACCCCTCTAGCCCTCCAATAATCAATATACTGCTTCCTTAAGGCACGGCATTTAATAACTCTCAAAACCATACAGTACCTTGGTTACAAAAATGACAGTTGACAGCTTGCCAACCTTAGCAATCCTTAATATTTAGAGCGGCACATAAACGAGGATATAAAGTCCCTCCAAAGCAATATTTTGGTTAGCCTAGTACAACCTACAAGTAAAATGGGAAATACAAGGATAAGGTAGGGGGTGGGGCTAGAAACGAGAGACTTAGCTATCCTGACATAACTAGATTATATTCTTATGTGAGAGTGGTGACTCTCTTTTTTCTTTCTTTTCCCTGCGGCCCCCCACCCCCCCAACTGCCCTCATTTAACTCCCTCATTCACCTTATTTTTGTGGCCCCCAAAACACCTCCAGTTGAGACGGTGCTCTAGGGAAGCAAGTCATGTACATAAGGAAACATTTCTGCTCAAGACAGTTAAACAACATGTGTATCTATGAGAGAGTACTTTCCTTTTTCTTCCCGAGCAAAACATTTCAGTGCTCTGTCCAGTGCAGTCAGTAACTGTGGCAATTAATGGCCAACTACTTGAACAGAAGAATGGCAAAGTTCCATCCTTTGTGATGTGATCACAGTGGAATCGGCATTTTGTCGTGAAGAGAAGTACAGAGTGATTCAAAATCAGGTTCACCACTTTGTTCTCCTTGATCCTTTCTTGAACCCTTTTGAATAGCGTTGTTCTATTTATGGTTAGTAACAGTTTGACCCCTGCTCTTGGCAGTAACTAGATACGGTAATTAATAATACCATAAACATAGCTCTAGTATCGTACTTGTATGGCTTGGAAGAATCATAGGCAAACAGATTAAATAGTTCTAGAGGCGTGGGGCCAGCCTGGGATCTCTGCTTCTCATCTTCTGTTAACCAAGAAACTGCCTATCATAAAGTACAGCTCTGACTGTTAAAGGTCCTGCTGAGTCAAGTACTTGCGATGGAAGCTTTTCAATTTAAAGGTGAAATACTAAGATCCAGGAGTAATCTTTACATTTTAACTGACATTCCGCGCATTCTGGGCTTAGATTATCTTGCTATAAACCGACTTGCCTTTGAGTGGGCAGAGAGCTATGACAAGAAGGTTAGCTATTGATCTGCCAGCGGCACATGATAATGCTTACCTGGGACAGGACTGGAATAGACTTCATAACATTCTAGCACCGAACATAGCGGTATAGTGCATCTGATAGATCTCTATGTGCATGTTCCTACAACTGATTTTCTATTAATAGGTGGACTACAGTATGATGGGATACCAATGTTTTCCGCACATGAAGTCCGAGGAATTCATTTCTATGATGAGCTCGCCTGATCTCCTAGGAGACCCACTCATCCATACTCAACACCTTCTTGGTGGTACTGGATACGAGCGGGTGTCTGAGAACTGAGATCGTTGCCGTCCATCAGATACGTGCTGCTCACCAGCGCTATGCGAACCTTGATCTCACTAGCGTCGCTCATCGGGGCCACGGCCATGGCATCGTGAAACATTGGTATAAGAAGATTGACGGATACTGGAAGCTGGCTGGAATTCGCCCTGAAATGTACTGGACTGAGCATGACTTTGACAAGATCTTCCCCCGACTATCAGCGGCGAAATGACCAGCGTATGATATTTGCTTAGATACTGTGGCTTTTTCTGCTATGCTAAAGGAGCGTTTTCCCAGGCCCCTTTCACGCTATCTGCTAATCAGAAAAAAGGTATCTGCTTAACGCATAGACTCCACCTTTAATATTTATTATGGTTCGATATTGGCTTCATTGGTTTATTCTCTTTAGTTCTTTCCCAGATCCTGTTCTAGATGGCACTTCCCCATTTATAGTTAGTAACACCTTCACCACTTCCCATGGCAGATTTAGGTACGAGAATAAAAATTGGCATAAAATAGTCTCCACTATTATACTTATATGACCTGGAGGGAGCCTAGGGCTAAGTACTGAAGTCACATCAAACAGGTTTTGAAATTTCATGCCAACCTGGCATGTCTGCCTCCCATGCTCTACCAGAAGCTCGCACTTTGCGGGACCAGTCTCTTTGGACAAGAGAATTAAGGGGTAATACGTGTCGGATTTGTCTTTCTTTAAGGCCATACTTCTAATTATGCTCCAGTATCTACTGGACTCTAGATGAGCGAGGTATACGGACGTTGATTTCATCAGTAACTTTCAGGTTGAACCATTCAAGTTCACATATCGAAAACAGGGCCAAATAGATCGAAAGAACTTACTTGTTAATGGACCTAAAGATGCCCAGAATTCCCTCCGAGTCGAGGCTCATGTCAATCATGAATTGACTGCAGAAGATCATTTCGACTGGAGCTAGCCACGGATAGGCAATGTTATAGAATATTAGCCACTTTTACTGGAAAACTTCAGGCAGAGGGGGGTTACTAAAAGCAGTCAACGCTGGATTTGTGGCGAACTAGTGGAAGATGTTGAAGGGAGTGGAGGCCAATATTACTATCGTGGGCCTGTTATATCCAACGCCCACATTACCCTGATTCCTAAGGCAATAACTGCTGAATCAGCGCCATACAGCCCCTATATTTTCCATATCTTCATATATTTAGGAGAACAAATCTCAAGTACTGTTGAATGGCATTCATTGGCAGTGCGAATTGTATTCCTTGGAATCGACAGGAGACCATATTGCCTGATGTAACCCCTTGGTCTGGGGAAGGGACGAGAAAGAGGGGCAGCGAGGTGCGGGGTATTGTATGTATGTAAATTTCGACTGATTTACAGTTGCGACTATCACGCGACATAACATTACAGGATCATTTCAGTACTCTGGATACAAGCTAATCCACGGGTAGATTAGCTTATTTCTAACTAGGGTTGTGGAAAGGAGCAAGTGGTGAAACTGATTTTGATCCAGCCTGTACTGAAACTTTACCCGCTTTTTCTTCATCAACACAGGTAAGAAACGACGAAATGAACCTCCTTTCTCTCCGGCCGCTGGAAAATGATGTTTGTATAATATTGTAAAGTGCTACTGTAATATAAGGTAACGGTAAAATTGTCATCAAACCTCCAACACACTCTGCTGTTTAAATACGGTACAGGGTTAGAATGAAAAGATTGGCTAGCCAAGAGACCTTCTCTATATCAAGCGTAGTCGTGCATGCCCTCAGGTCCCAACCAGAAACTATTTCATATATACAGATACTGGAATGAAATTGTTGCCGATAAGAGAACTTGCCCTTGAAAGCACATTTTATTATGAAGCCTATTTGCAACTTGCTATTTCAGACGACAAGCAACCAATATCCCATTATCCATCATTAGGCCACCTTTTAGTGGGCTTGTCGAGATCGTAGATCGACGAAGTGCCTCCCTAGTATCCGCCAAGACACAGATATGCCTATTCAATTGGCGTCGCCAGTCTACGGGCATTTACGTAGGTGGGGCCTGTTTGAACGATCTCATCCCATCACATCCACGGCCATTTAGGCTGCGTGTTTCAGCGCCCATTATTATGATACTGTTGCCCTGTGCTCCCACACTGGAACAACTAGAGCACATACAAACATAGACCTCTAATAATTAACTTTCGTTAGTTGCGGAGGACTCCCATCAGCGTTCATGAGTTTTTGAAGCATAGTACCTCTTCCTACTATTGGGCGGATAGTGACCAATTACCCAGTCACAGGGCATCACTCCAAAAGCCATACAAACCATTCTGCTTGATAATATCCTCAACATGCAAATCACGTAGACGAAACCCAACTCCTGCAGCCGAACATAACAACTCAAGTTCCACCTTGAAGTCCGCAAACTCCTCTAACATGGCAGGTATAGGACGAGGTTTAGCATTAGACTCCTCAGTTGACTGCTGGACATGCATCCAGTTTCCCTTGATCTCTAAATAAGTCAGGTTTAGGCAGCGGCACTTCCCTCCTAAGAGCAGGTCTTTAAACGCCTCAGCTATTTCAGTTATATGCTCTGTCTCTAGACCATCAAGGATAAGGCTTTCCAGCGATAGAGGCAAAACATCACTGAACCTATTCCTTGATGTCTTATTTAGGTCACTCCAGCCTCGGTCCCAGTCTAGGATATGAGATATCTGCAGCCGGAGTTCCTTCAGCGCACTGAATCCCGCGAATGATCCGACGTAATCATAGTCGTGAATCTGGTAAGCGGCATAATTGTTGGTGTACTTCTCAGTCAGTGTTAACGTTTGCAAGGTCTCCTGATGTCTTTGCAATGGTGGGTAGTATCTCGACGCGTACATTCCCTCATCATCCGGGTAATTCGTGTTATCGGAATGCTCAAAGATGAAAGATTCGAGGCTCTTAGGTGCGCTGATCAAATTCGCAAAGCCTCTTCGAGAACAACTGGACTTGAGGTGGATATGAGTGACATTGGAGTACCGAACATTGTCAGGCACGTAGCTGGCCGCATCGAACGCTTGATCTTCGGCATATTCCTCATCAGAGCTACCACCATCACATATCATATGGCCACAAAAGCTTCGTAACGAGGGAAGTCGAAGTATTGGGAGAAAGTGCGATGAGCTGAGGCCACCATCTACATCAGAGCATACAACTGTGAAGTGTCTTAATTTAGACAAACCAGAGCTTTCTTTTTCGGCGATCCTGACCATCCACTCGAGAGTATAGTTTGAAAATTCATGAACCTGCAGGACCAGATTCTCCAGATTAGGCAAGAGGGCCAGAAGCAAGACAGTCCATGCGTCATTATTCCCTCGACTCTGTAGTTCCCACTCCCATGTCGATAGGTTGTCGTCGGGCCCCAGGGTTGATTTCAGAACTGGCAGGATAACCTCCTGTTCATATCGCACGCCGGAAGTCGGCCGCCAGCCATGGGAGACACGGAAAGTGCGCACTTCTTGTGCTAATGCCGGCTTGAATGCGAGTGTGTGCACCAGATGACTCAAGTGGCCATTGCGCTGCTCTATCAGGTCGAGCGATGTAAAGACTTTCGGTAACAAAAGTGGATAGAAGGCACGGCAACAGGAGGCGAGCCGCAGAGTATCCGTATGGCTATCAAGATAGCTTGCTATTGAGAGCAGCAGCTCCGCTGGTAACATAGAGAGCATGTTTCTTTCTGAAAAGAAAGTGGGGGGGGTTCTGACTTAAAGCATAGTGAATATGGTATGGTGTTTATGATTGGTTAAGAAAAGATTTCAGACATCAGCCAGCACGCAGCACCAGGCATCAGATCCTTCGCCCAGCCTACATCTGTCGTGCAAATTTACAGTCACATATGGGTCAAGCTACCATCCACATGATTTGCAAAGATCCATCGGAAAATTCTATGGAGTTCTATGGACTTTCCTTTTGTACGCGTAATGTAATTTTATGTTACATCCTACTGTAATATACACGGCGCATTTTACAGAACCCCTTAGTTAATGCGCCCAGCTCAATATATGATCTACGCTAAGGTCTCGGCGGTGGGGCCAGGAAAGAGTTTCTCAGTGTACCGAGTATGCTAGTCAAGGCAAGTTCGAGAATGACTGTAACGTAATATATTCTCAAAAATTATAGGGCCTGCATACTGGGGAACGGACAGGAACCCCTGTATGCAAGCCATCATTGCCAGGCACGACAGTAAAGCCCTTTGACTTCCCTTTAGATATATAGTATATCATAAATCACGTGATAATGATACCAAGGAAATGAGGGCTACTTCAGAGACATATTTACTGTTGTCTCTGAAACAAAGAAAGGAGAAGGATGTGGCAGGGAAGGAGGGGAAGACCGTAGTCAAAGGGGACCGGGGGTTTGGATAGTTGTCTACAGCCTCTTTTTTTCCTTTTTTTTATTTTCCTCTTTTCAAAAAAAATTCAAAACCAAAAACCACAAACCGAAATACTCCCTCCACTTCTCTCTACTGTGTAGAGTGCGACGATCATTAAACTCAATCAGGAATGTATGCCAACCCATCTCCCCTTTCTGTCTTTTTTTCCTTTTCCATTCCCGCCTCTTTGTGTTAACAAATGAATAGACAGATAGAAAATTAAACTACAACATGACGACTTCCAGAAATGAAGCTGCGACTAAGGAGAGGTTGAACCAAAAATGAGGTAGAGGGTGGAAGAGCCAAAAGGAAAATTAGGAAATAAAAGGAAAACAAAGGGGAAAAAAATAAAAGAAAATAGAAAAGGGAAAAGTTGGATCAGAAGGTTGCTCACATATTAACTTTCCTAGATTTATGTTGGCATCCCACCACTGCAATGAGTGATACAAAGCTGTCGATGACATGGGACAAGTACAGTATTATCTTATGCTACTGTAGGACTATCGCCAGCTTTGAGACAAACACAGGGCCATGGATTATCGATTTTCCTGAATGTGTACAGTATAAGCCAGCCAATACAGCAGTGACTTACTCAAGGCTAACTAGTGACAGAGAAGAGTGAAGTTAGTGATACTGTACTGTCCTATATGTAGTATGGATGGGGAGCATACATTATGATTTAGTCTCCTGCAGACTATTTGATTTAAATTTTTGGTGGATCCTGTGTCTCCTAGCTCCGGACAGTTTGATAGCAGAGTCTATATCTTATTTATAGATCACTGATCTTCGTTCTCACATAGTTCCAAAGAAAGACCATGGCTACTTATAGGATGATGATTGTATATAAGAAAATCCCGCATTCATTAGCCAGGATACTGCGTATCGAGGTCAGTTTAATGGTGATCGCTAGAATAAAGAGACTCCTTTCTCACCTTGGAAAGGGATGTCTTTATCATAATACAATGGAAAAGCTTACTAAGATTAATTGGGATATCAGAGAGGCGGCCCACAAAGCTCGCGCGTTTACAGGGTACTTCATTAAAGAAGAGTACATGTTAAATTTTAGAAGAGAAATTTTTTCGGACCGCGTGTGCCTCTTATTTTACGACAAGTGGGGGGATAACGCTTGGATTGAGGAAGTTATTAATATTACCCTGGAAGGTATTCTCCAGACCATCCATGAGTTCTACAAAACGAAGGAAGATGGTTACGACATGAGTAGTTACTATTGGTTTGAAGACTTATACTACCACTCTCAGGGCGTATAGGAGGTAGGTCTCGCTTCTGAGTCGGGTTATGTTTAAAGGGAAGAGAGAATATCAGGGCCATCTCAAGTTCCAAATTTTTAAAGCCTTTTTTCTTCCTTTTTAAAGAAATAATACAAATGAATAAAAAATGAAATTGGTATTTATCATGTGATTTGACTCATTTGTAACCAGCCGTGGGGAGATCCGGTGCAGGATAAACTCACGTTTACTGAGACTATTCTCATCCCAACACACGTACACAGTTCGTGATGGTATTGAATATATTATATTCAAGGGAAACCCCAGTCGAGCTATTATATACAGTAACATAGATCAAGTGAGGGCTATAGTAGTACCAAGGGGTAGGTACAAAAGACACAAGATACGGCTGGTTATTGGTTTATTCATTCTCTCTTGTGGGTTTTATTTTTTAAACCTAATTAAATTTTTTGCCTTGCTTTTCTTCTCATTTTATTTTTTATTTTCGACCCTCAGGGCGCTATGGCATTCAAATCGCCCCAAATAAATCTCTAGTGCTAGAGTACTGGGGTCTTGAGGAGACTCTAAAGCCGTACATGACATCTCTGAGCGTTTATAACTTTTTGGGACGGAAGGGAATCTATCTCCACGTTGGATATTCGTGAGTCTGAGAGGAAGTCCTCAGGTACTTATTATCGGGCTTTTCATTAGGCAGATCTGCAATATTGTCTTGTTAACAAGGCTGTGGAGTTGGGCGCGCGTCTTACTTGTGGTGCTCAGATTAACGATATCGTGGTTAGTGATGACTCGGCGAATGTGACGGTGATTGCGGCAGATGGTAGGCAGTGAACTGGTGACTTGGTGACCGAGGCGGATGGCGTAGTTGGGAAGCTGACGGATAGTCTGTTGGGAGAAGTAATCCTCCGGTTAAGACGGGTGATCTGGCGTATCGCCTTTACTCTCCGCGGAGGATATACGTAAAGATTCCGAGTTGGCGCCTTCCGTGGAGGATCAGCAGGTGAATTACTGCTTAGGACTAGGAGTTCATCCAGGTATGTCATTCTACGTGGAATTACGATTGCAAGGCTGACCGTGTAGTAAATTATATGCTTCAGTTCAGGGGTAGGTTGAAGAGAGGTGTGCTTGCTTTGAGGGTTGGGACCCTCAGTAGCTTGGTTTTGTATTCTATCGACTATAACTGATGAGTGTAGAATCAAAAGGCTTTGGAAGCTCTGCCATTCTGTATAAAATGGCGCCTCCTCATCCGATTTGGGCACCATGACTGGACTCATCCGTCGGGTGCCAGGGTCATGTTGGGCGATGCTGTGTATGCCACTCTGCCGTATCTGACGACTGGGTATGTTTTATCCCTAAGTATGTATCCCGCCAGCTAACTCGATGCAGTGCTGGTATGGCCTTTGAAGATGGCGCCGTCTTGTGGAGTGTCTATCTCGCCTTCCCATCAACCCGCACGTCGTCGATAAAGCTACTCTGAATCTCTGAATACAAAACGACATGCTCTCGGCGTGTTTGAGCAGTGTCCCAAGGAGCAGACTCAAATGGTAGTGGAGCGAGGGAATATCTATCTGTATCTATATCATCTTCATGATGGGCCCGAACAAGAGGAAAGAGACCGGAAGATGCAGATGGTCCCCACTCCTGAAGGCGAGACCCTTGTCTGGAGGGAGCCTGGACTGGCGCCGAAGCTACTGGGATATGATAATATCGCCGATGTATGTTCCTTTTCCCTGACCGTCCACTGTCCATTCCGTGTCCAACATCGTCAGATTAATATCTGCTGGGGAAGCCCATAAGAAGATGGGAGAGTTGAATATCGATTATGACTTGGCAACCAGTGGCATATACGGTGTATACCTAATAGTAACCGTTCTTGAAAACATGAAGCCATCTACATAATATCATTCCTGATAATATATTGAAGAAATCTTCACCCTGCCCTTTTTAATCAATAGCTGCATGCTGAGGACCTTCCCCACTTGATTTGGTAATATAGTAGATATAAAGATGTCACGTAGTCGTGAATGATAGCACTTGTCCCAGTCCAAGCACATAGCATACACCAACATCCGTCCAAAGCCATCACTGTAGAAATACCTAGGCCTCACCTCCAATACCAAAGAGAAAGCGCCTCTCACAAGAGGCCAACCGGTATTATGGTATCGTGTCCACGCCATGTACCAGCTCGAGCGACGAGCAAGCGCTGGATCCTCCTCACCCATCCATGAGCTTCACCGAACCAGTAGATTTCCTCTCCTTCGTCAACAATCGGAAGGGCCATAGCAACGCCTTCACAACATCTGCGGCCACCGCAAATACCCAATCGTCCAGCTCCGCTCCAGTACAACCACCATTTTACCTGCAAATACCACGGTTAGTCCTATGACCTCAAGGCCAATCTGCAAAGCGTCCCGCTTCGAGATGGTCCCCGATTTCCATGAAGGCCCAGCGCAGCCCCTCCCCATCCACGTCCGAATCGATAAAGTTGGCTTCGTTTTGGTAAATCTACAAGCTGGCGAGCCGGACCTGAAATAGCAAAACCACTTCCAAGACATCGACGAGCAGCCTCGAATGAAAACCTTCGACTTCTCAGGCGAATTCCCCTTCGACCATTGCTAGGAAATAGACCTAGACGGGAACAAGAAGGCCTTGATCGAAAATTACTCGGAATGTTACCACAGCCAGACCCCGCATCCGCGCATCGCTGGTGCCTCGGATATTGAGCACTATTACGTGGAGTCGAAGGCTGGGTATATGGCGCTCTTTTTGTATAATAAGGACCGCATTGATATCCTGTTCCGGCGCGTGATCACCTTCTTTAGGCCTACTACCTACTGTTACTGATGGCAATCACTTCCTACTGATCCTGGTATCGTGACTTCTCTGCCAGAATTCTAACATTGAAATTTAAGGAGTATGGGAACGGTACTGTACAGGCTCCATAATCTTCCTTTTTCGAGACTAGGACCCCTTGATGTCCGGATATCCTGCAGAGATCGTGTAGACTTTCCCATGTGGTTAGCCTGTGGAGATTTGATATGGGAAGAATATACCCCGGCATCGCTAATGATTCACACAGTGTTAAGATGGGAATGAGCGATATCTCCGATGGTGTAGCGGAGCGACCCAGCAATTGCAAAGTTGGAATCTTACGTTCTATTACTAGGTGCTTAGAATTGAATTAGCATTTCGTTACTCAATTGACAAAAGTTAGGGTCCCTTAAAGAATAGAGATTCAGAGGTAGTATATTGCCGTGTGAACTGCACTGCAACTTGCTAATGTCTAATGAGACATCGAGAAGTCCTATAGAACTGGAGGGCTATTTTCCGACATTCCGAATGAGCATCGCATGAGTCGCTTCCTTGAAATGAGTTTAACCTCGAATGAATCTGAGCGGGGAATTTCTAGCAGTGAACTGTTGCCTCCTTTGGAAGTTCGGATGTTGGAAATTTCTATCGAGCTCCTGATATTCTCCATCCCTAACTCACGATCATCTGAAAAGGACGCCTGTCCTCCTTTCTCCCACACCATTATTTGCACCATGAGGACAAGGAGGCGACAATAAGAAAATATTGATATGATCATTCAACGTCAATATTGTACTCTACCAGTATGCTTATCCCTTGCGTTATACCAAAAGGGGGTTGGGACAGGAAAAGAAGAGAAAAGAAAAGGGAAAAATAAAATGAAAGGAATGGATACCGTGGCATATATAGGTAGTTGGCAAAGAGACAAATAAATGAGTAGTGAAAATTATTAGAAGAATAAAAAATCAACGGACGTTGAGGTTTTGAGGTCTGCGACCTCAAGGAGAAGGGGACGACGATCGACGACCCATGTTTCGGCTGGCCTCCACGTTGGTCTTAATCTCTGTATGGGCGTATATCATGCCGTCAGGGACAAAGATCCGTTCCTGACTATGAGTCCCTCCATACCGAATCTGTGTACCAAATATGCTATCCCCGTCCGGCTGTCGAGGACGGACAGGGTCCATGGCAACATTCTCCTCCTCTACTCGGGCAAATCCCGCTGAGTACTTTCTGGCTTCTCCGCTACCAGACCAACCACTGTACCCTTTGCCAGAAGAATACTCGCCGATAAGTCTGGGATGGAAGCGGGAGGCAATTGCCTTGAATGATGGGATAGATGAGGCAAAAATACCGACGTTGATTTCGATTACAGACCAGTACATCGGCTCGCTAATCACCCATGTAGCGTCCGGATCCGATAGCATGGCAGGAATGTACGTGATTCGAATTACTGACGAAATGCAAGCACTGCACCGAAGAGTCGCGTCAGGATGGGTTAGGTGTTAGTTCGCAGACGGGGTTGACTTACAATAGCCCGACACAGAGAATGAACCCTAGTGCAATCTTCTGCTTCACTGGCACCTGGAGCTTAAATATAACTCCCAGCGGCAGGGTATACGTCAAGATGTCCGTCAAAATGTTTAGTGCTGCGTTGGCGAGGTAGAAGACGTTGATGTCCACACATTTCCCTGGCGTGGTAGTTTTCCAAGCCTTCTCAATGGGCTGGCACTGAAATGCTGCTGTCAACACAAACGAGGAGGCTTGCGCTACGAGAATACACAGCATGATCATCGAGAGCCGGTTCAGAAGTCGATCGCCCAGACGAGTATAAAATAGACAGACAGACGACTTGATTAAGCCCAATGTGGCGAGGTAAAACAACGAGCTCAGCCAAACCACCTAGTCAACGATCAGAGAATGCCACAAATACAGACAAGCTTCTAGGGATTTACCAGAGCGTATGTCTCCATATTATCGGGGTTCACGTCCACTAGGTGGGAGCCCATACCTTTCTCAACAGCTAAATACCTGGATTAGTCTCGCCCAAGACTTAGAAAATTGGCATATACATACACACGACAGTCACGGCGGAGAATGCCCATGACGTGAGCTATTTATGTGAGCAACCGTCCTGAATCGATCAAACTTGGACATCTTACACAGGCAAAGACAATCAGACCTGGGCAGAATTAGCCACGTCTCCCTCCATTTTTCTCTTGGCACAACTGTACTCACAGTCATCGTACCCCATCCTTTGTATAACAAAGATACGAGAAAACAGCCGAAGACAAACGATAATAAATGTCCAGATCGCGAACGCGACCGCTACCCCGGCCACTGTTGGACCTTTTCCGCTTGATCCCATTGTAGCTATAGAGAGACTAGTACTTGGTGAGAACGATCGACTAGCCGTCAGTCATTTGGAAACTATAGTGCTCTCAGAGGATGTCTTTATCAAGGTCCTTCGTTCTTCCTTTTCTTTCTCCGTCTCGTCGGTCTTTCACCTCTACCACTATTCAACATTAGGTCGCAATTGAAAAGAAACGATCATGTATTCGTTCAGAACTAATCAACGACTAAAAAAGAAGAATCGAGATAATCTCCTCAGCCACATGCCAGAGGTAGCCAGTAGAGGCATAAATGCTAAATATCATTATGACTGGTCGTGAAATCTTGCATGCCAAGGTTCGAAGATCAAGGCATCGATGGAGAGCAATATTTCCGGAAGAGGAGCAGTTACAAGGGAAACCCTAGGCTTAACTCCTTCCATAAGAGGTTCGATAGTTAGAGCTTGAGCGGCCGTCCCAAGGTTATTTGCGCCATCCCTCACAACCTAGCAAATGACTTTTTATCTCCGAATTACTCCTTGGGCATGGAAAGGGGGTTTGAAGAAGATTTGACATGTCAACAATATCCACCAACGTCAGTGGCGAAAGGCGGGTTCTGAAGCCTGCTGTACTCTGTACTCCTACTTCGACTCAGTTAGATGCTATTTTTATTGTGTATAAGGCTATTGTCCAATTCTTCAATGATCGCTGTGGCGCACGACTTGCCGTTGCCCTAAATAGGCTCAATTTGACGCCACTAACCGAGAATCAATCGTACCTAAGATTCTTAATTCATTGTCATTGTCGAACACAAAGAGTAGCAGGGCAGACAGGTAGGCATTTCATAGGTTGATAGTTGACTGCTACGATTGCTCTGACTTCTTCTCTTTGATTGTTGGACAGGGTGTTCCTAGATTGATATCTTTTGCAATCTTGTTTTGTTTATTTTCAATTTTGTTTTTTTTGTTCTTTTAATTTTTTCTGTGATTTTGCTTATTCCTAATATTCCCCACCTTTGCCTTCGAGGCTGTCGTTCCTTTTCTTTTTTTTTTTTTTTTCTCTTTCCCTCCCTTGACTCCCTAGTTGTGCATGAACTCCGTCCCACTAGATCCTGCGAGGCGATATGACCAAGTGACTGCGACTTGAGCTTATCAATGGTCGGGATTTGCTTTATATATGATCAGCAGCCTGCTAAGTCAGTTGGGTTGCATTCTTGACGTAAATCTACAGTCCGTGATCCGGACGTTGTGGATCTATCACACGGATGAGAATCACTTCCCTTTAAATCTTTACATGTCGCTTGTTAGTTGCTGACCATCGCAGTGGGACTCCCGCGTAAAAGCGGCCATTGACGGCCCGCCGTACATGCGGAGTGCCTCGTAGATCAATAGGGATAGGGCCGCGGATGTCCGCGACTGCTTCATTCCCCCAGCAGCCTATTTGATTGTCCCCACCACAATGAATTGGTATACAAAGCAAATATCATCTCATTGCCCGTCTCATTGTGGACTGACGTGGGCCAATTTTCACACACTCTACACAGTACCGTGTATGAATTAAGGAATCAAGGTTAATTTTGGTATTTTCCCCGAGATAAACCCGTGTCTATTGGCGGCCAGGCTGGTAGCAAGGGAGAAGGAGAAATGCAACTAGAGAGACCAAACGCTGTCTGGACTCCTAGTCAGCAGACGGTAACTGAGGACTTTCACGATAAAAGAGCAGCTCAATAAAACAGCCTCAGTACCCAGGATATGCCCATCACATCCCAGGAACCTATCATAGCTAACCGCAGCGGGCCCTAAAACGCTCGGTCTCTGACACTACCGCGTCGGCGCCTCTGCTAACGACTCCACTGGTGGAAAGGTGATTTATACCAGGTTATTAAGCCATTGCCCTCGGTACGGTACTTGGGAGCCGTGACTGGAACCAATGGCCTTACTCGTTCCTAGGAGTCCACGGTATAGTGCGATCAGACATTCATGGTCGTGGCGAGAAGAGGGGCTAGCACGGGAAGGTATTGCCTAAGAAAGGTATAGCTTTCTGCATCTTAGGAAAATAGATGGTTCCGTAAGAATGATCATTATGCGACGTACGAGTAAGCGTTGCTGCAATTATGTTCAAGTGCGCGACGATTCGCTCTTCCTGCAGCGTCTGTCCACATCTTTACGCAGAAGTACAACATAGCTTCTGGTGAGGTGATGCATAGTCTCTGAGGCAAACACCGAGTATTTCTGTCCTGACTCTTGCCTGTGGACTCCTTGTTTCAGCCGCGTTCTTCTTTTCTTTTTGTATCTCAATCTGGATCGCGAAAATGGTTCTGGCAGGGAAGGACCTGGTGTCAATTTTCACCGCTACGAATATACTCTTGGCATTAGGGGGGGCGTACATCGCCCTCCTATTTGCTTATCAGGTTGTGTACTATCGCGTTTTTCATCCCTTGTCGGTATTCCCGGGCCCATTCTGGGGCAGCGTAACCAGGCTTTGGATCGCATGGCATAATTTACGAGAAACTGAAGTTTCCACGGTCCATGCTTTAACCAAGAGATACGGTACGATCCTTCGACCTCCTCCATAGGAAACAGTGGCGTCTAATATATGTGTATATGTGTTGCAGGCCCCGTCGTACGAATCACCCCGACACTCCTTCTCGTCAGCGACCCCACGAAGCTTCCCGACATCTACCATCGAAATGCGGATAAGACAGGTCACTATATTACCGGCTCCTTCGGTGAGACCGAATCGTTGTTCAACATCCGGTCGCACAAGACGCATGCAGCCTTCCGCAAGCTCATTGCGGGTCCTGTACGTTATGCATTTTGATCCGGCCCGGCAAACCCCTGGCTGATGATTTCTCCAGTACAGCTTCTCCAATGTCAGGCACATGGAACCATTGATTGACGGCCAGATAGAAAGCTGGCTCAGCAAACTGGGTGAATCGTTCGCCAGTACTGGTGCGAGTTTCGACTTTTCGTGGTGGGCAGTGTAAGGACACCAACCGAGACACCATCGTTGATGCAATTGAACTAATTGGACGATTGGCAAACCGATAGATATGTGGCATACGATGTAATTAGTGAAATCGGCTTCGGGGCGCCCTTCGGCTTCATTGAACAGGGTAAGGATGTTGGAGGTCTCATTCAAGGGTTCCACGACGGTCTGCCTGCATTCGGTCTGCTTGCGCGTCTGCACCCATTCACCAGTTGGATAAAGACCACCTTTCTGAAGAAATACCTAGTCGCCAAACCGGAGGATAACACTGGGATCGGTGTGCTCATGCGCTTTCGTGATCGACTAATCGACCAACGTTTACACGAGATTGCCGAGGGGAAGGACGTTAACCGTGTTGACCTCTTGCAGACGTTCATCGATGCACGTACGGACGATGGCAAGCCCCTCGACATGGAGTATCTGAAGGCAGAGGTTCTGCTTGTTCTGCTGGCAGGTGCGGATACCACGGGGACCATCTTCCAGTCCCTCGTCAACCACATGCTCGTTAACCAGGAGGTCTACGAACGTATGATGGAGGAGATTGATGCTGCTAGCCGGAAGGGAGTCATCTCCGACGCAATTCCCCAGTACGACACTGTCCTAGGGCACCTCCCTTACTATGTCGCCTGTGTCCGAGAAACGTTGCGATTCAACCCGCCGGCGCCAAATATATTCCCTCGCCATGTTTCGGAACCGGGCATTGAGCTGTTCGGTAAGTTTGCTCCAGCAGGGACAGAGGTGACGGGCAACCCGTGGATCATGCATCGTGATCCAGCGCTCTTTGGAGCAGATGCAGAGGAGTTCCGTCCAGAAAGGTGGCTTGATCCTGAGAACGCGAAACTTTACAATAAATACCTTTTCACTTTCGGATATGGCTCAAGAGTCTGTTTGGGTCGGGATATCGCCATGGTAGAACTGTTCAAGGGTCCACTACAGGTACGCCAAGGACACCTCGCTCGCTTCAATTTATTTTCGCTAGTTGACACTCATTGCAGTTCTTCCGTCGCTACACACCACGAGTCGCGGCTGGCAAGCCATCTCCAAAGTTCGTAGTAAAAGGTGGGGTTGGCTTCTGGCGGGATATCTGGATGACAATTAGCAAGCGGCCGCTTGTGAAGTCACTATGATTCCAATGATTTATCTTTTTAATACGGTGATACCAACATAGAATTGGTTTTGGTGTTGAAATGCTGGAAAGACTCGCCTGCTGGTTCCAATATCCAGTGGTGCTCCGCGCTCTCATAAGCAGTCCGGGTTGCCTATTAAATCCTGAATCGCCAACTCAGAATAGCCAAAATGGGCAAAAACAGCCAAGCTGAGCGTTTTAGCACTGCAGTGGCGTTTTCAGTCTGTGACAAGAGCATTCAAGGACAGCCATATGAACGTCAAATACGTCTTTGTCGAATCTGCAGCAACCTAAATTTATATAATATATAGTGAAATATATGTAACATACATACATTTCAGCTTCTGTACAATGAGGGAAGAATACACATGGGAACACGCGCTTGAAATCACCAGCAAGGACTGTCCTGATATCGTTTCGTTCTGATGTCCGGGACACTGTCCAATGATTCTAGAGTCGCGATGAGGCCCGATTAGCACCAGACGAACTGGACTCCACTCGTCTGAGGTACTCGAGCACAATATGTAAAGAGCGGCCTTCAAGGCTCGGCCGTGACCCAGGGAGAGCTGGCAGACCGATCCGATTATGCCAGACCACATCCATGCCGGCCTTTGCTGCACCAACAACATCCCCGTTACTTCCCGCGACAAACAGGGCGTCCTTAGCCTCCACGCCAAGCGCCGATCGGATCTTCGCATACGCCTCCGGGCGAGGCTTGTAGAAACCGGCTTCCTCCGCGGTGACGACCGCATCAAATTCGATGCCGCACAAAGCCGCGGCACGGCGACCAAGCTCAATAGAACAATTCGATACAACACCCAATTGATAACCCTTTTCTTTCAACTGCTGCAGAACCTCCTTAACCTCTGGCCATGGTTGCAGCTGATCCCAATTTGCAAGTAGGGCTTTGGGTACGCTCTCCGGAAGGCCGACGTCTCTGGCTGACTCATAGACGAGATCTTCATACGGACGATATGCACCGCACCCAAACGTCAACTCTAGATACCTTGTGCGCCAGCGGTATGAGGCTTCGTTGTTGTTCGCGGCTTCGGCCCATAGGCTCCAACTGTCCAGGAGGGCAGTGAGGAGGTCGAAAATGATTGCGCGAGGCCCCATTTTTTTTTTTTTGTTTTCTGTTTGATTTTCAATATTATAATTTAATTTGATAGGATATTTATCAATTGAGTTTTTCTTTTGTAATTTTGGTTGGGTGTGCCTAGTGAGTTATATAGTTTTGTCATCGTAGACCCATTTCCTATTCATTTTCGTGCGGGTGATCTTCATGGCTGAAGGATTACCCTTACCTTACTAGTCTCTTGGTTGCATTTGTAAGTCTGGGTCGTTGTTCCCCGCTTTCGTTGATGGGATCTCGATACTTTACTTTTTACATTTTAGGAAGTTCACTTTATTTACTTATAAGGTGTGTCAACGTGTAGCATGGCTGCAGGTTGTCATGCATGTACGCTGATCTATGCCGGTGGTGGTTGATCGGGGAAAATATATAAACACTTATCAGTATAGAGGTAAGAACTTCTACCCTTTGGGGTTGCATTTAGTGTGACATTCTAAGTGTGGAGGCATTATATGCTTCATACTCAATACTAGAAAAAGACTCAGACTCCATTACCCTAAGATTTTTATCGTTTTTTTTCTTTAGTTCATTTTCTCTTCTTGCATTGCGAGGGGAGGCATCACGTGGCGTGCTATTCGTTATCGCTGGCTCGCTTCCGATTGGACTAGACCCGGACTGGTGACATCACATGAATCGCAAACCCTATGACGGCCTTCATTCGTGCGTCCTTAGGTGACTCTTGATGTTCCTGAAAGGCACGGGCTAGTAGATATATTTTTGGAGAGAAACTACACAATCACCCGAAAGGGTAAAATGAGGAAGGGAATGATAGATAACATTCTATAATTCATGAAAACGAGGCACAGGACTCTCCCCGTACGAGATTGAAGTGAATCATGAACCATGGTTTTCAGATCGACCAGGGTGAAGTCATTGATACCTCATAGATATGCGGTGGCTTTAACCTTGGGATCCATGGTTCTAAGTAATTTGTTATGTACTCGGTGTACTGGGGGCGAGATCATTAAGGTTTGAATCTCTTGTCATACGATGTGTAGTGTTAGTTTCATTTTAGTATATGTTTTACTTTTCCTATCCGTGCGAAGTTGAGATGTATATGTGCTCCAGCGCTATTCGTCTCTTATTGACTGGTAGTCCAATGTGTTCCTCGTAAATTGGCTGACAACCAGAAATAAACGCTCTGGGTATCTGGATCAGCCGAATGAATCTCAAAATGTAGGCCGCACCGGGTTTCACTTCGCTGGATATACATTATATACAAGAATAGTAGAGGCGATATTAATCAGAAGAACGCCGGAAATGCTTGGCAAGTCCCTGGAAGCGTCGCCATCTCTTCTTCGGCGAGTCGGAGTCGGGGAGAGGCTCCTTCTTCTCCGGCGTAGATTTCACGTGCCAGAGCCTCGCATCTTCGCCGTTTGGCAAGACATCCCAATTGTGGCCGCCGGTGATTTGCCGCCCTATGTCGGACGAGGATGAGGCCAAGACGTCTTGTGAAGTTCTTTCTCGCGATCTGTACCGTGATGGTGGTTGTGAAACCTCGGAATAGTCCGTATCTGCAGGGGAGGATGGAATGAGCCCACTGAGCTTTGACCGCCGGCGTGTCGAGTCATCGGAGGCCTTGGGGCAAGGAGACACTCGTTCGGTGCCACTGAGGCATGGTACTGACAAGGGCTGGACGTGAGCGGTGCCAGAGCAGCTTCGGAGGAAGGGGATGAGGATTGATTCTCGTAGTAATTCACGCATATGATGAACAGCACCGTCAAGCAGGCTGGGCGGTGGGATGGAGTCGTGGTTTTCCGTGTGCTTCAACAACTTCTCACGTATTTCATTCGGCACGTTGATCTCTCGAGGTGCACCACACTCAATGTACGTGTGTATGATGCGATCCCATACTCGCCGTAGGCGCTCTTCCGGCGCTTGCTCCTCGTGGAAAGTCTTGTCCTGATGTTGCAGCCAGTCGTAAGTCTTCCGGTAGCGTTTCGCCTCGAGGATAAACTCGAGAACCTCAAGACAGTGGTTCTGAGCTAGAAAGGCAATAAATGTGCCAAGTGTATACGGGACGGGAGCTGTATCGTCGAGAATCTCGTCAAGCCTCGGTCGCAAGTGATAGAGGGTTTTTGATTGCGGTTTCATGGCATCTGATGAAAACCGACGAGAGTTCGTTTCCCCTGTTCATTCAATGGCTAGCGACATGGTTCCCTCGAGGGATGATTTGGGTGCAGCTATAAGACAAGCATCAATGAAGTACAGATTGATGTGATGAGGGGGATCTGTGTATGACATGCTCCTCCGACATGTAGAAGCCTATGACCGAAGCGTCGATCAGCGATCATCAGCGATCCACGGCTCGACCTGCCCGCTGAGCCAGTGAAATGGGCTGGGATCCTACAGGCTGGGCATATCCGATCTGGCCTAATCAGAATGGTGGTGCCAGGGAAAAGACGATTGGAAGCATCCAATGGCTTGGGTGGAGCCTTGAAGTAGGCATAACTAGGGGAAGAGCTCTACTTGATCTAGGTTGCAGGAGACTTTGAGACAACCAGTGAACATTTCTACAGCGGTAAAAGCTAAGAGGGCCCAAAGATGACGAATATTAAAAGTTTCTCCTGAGCAGCAAAAAGTCCAGGTGTCGAAATGATTATACGTCTCGCCGTCATATGGGCTCCATGAGCCAGCCAAATATTAATATTACCCCTATTTCCCAGGGTGGGCTGTGGTAATAGCCCTGACCACAGTAGCAGTATTCCCGACGTCTGTCAGCTTGGTTGCAAGTAACCCTGGGTTTACTTAAAGCCTCGATCGTATTCCCTACGTAATGGGCGAGCAAGTGCACCCCCTACCCTGCTATCATTGTGACGCGCAATTGAAGGCCTATTGCGAGAAGGTAGTAAAATAACGGAAGCGAGGGGTAAACTTTGAACCTGAGAGCTCATTGCTATCTCAAACTTTGTCCCTTAGCAGAGAAATATGGCGCATGCACGAAGGCTGATCCGCGGCATTCCCGGGCTGCGGAGCTGTTGAGTAAGATTCGTCGAGGGGTTTAGACGAAGCGAACGGATCTACAGGTTCCATAGGTAGTTTTGGTTCCTAGACGATGGTTTGTTTAACACCTATTTTGATAAAAGCTATGGTAAAGTAGGCAGGGCCATAGCTAGATTAGAGGATGGCTTGTTGTTGCAGATCATCGGAGATCGGCGGAGAAATACTGTTCCCGTCGCTAGTCCGCGTTAGGGATGTTACGCCGAGGGATGTAAATCATTCATCACGAGACAAGCAACTCTCATCATTCTCTATCACTATTTAAACTTTTATAATGCTCTTAGACTCCTTGATCCAATGACAACACGATGGCTCTCAAAATATAGCGGAACCCTTCCATATCGTCATTGAGGACCCAGTGAACAACCACACGATGACGTGACCATGGACCACACCCCTATATGTTCGTAGAGATATCGAATCGGAGGAAAGGTCCCCCCTGTACAGCTTCGTACTCACCTCGCCATAGATAATACTAACATAACAAATCGACCACCAAGCCCACGTCTAGAACTACTCTCGATAACGAAATCTAGACCTTCGTTCCTGATCATCCCTCTTTATGTCTCGGCGGATCCGATATTAGCGAAAGCCGAGAATCCATACCCAAGTGTTCGGTTTCACTGCCCACCCTCCAGAGAAGCAGGCACCCATTGTTCGTGTTGAGTTCACGGCCATCCGGGGTCCTCACGGGACCCCGCCCATCCGTATCTTATACCCTCCCCAAAACACATCGTCGTACCGCATCGCTCATACTTCCATGGGGGCGGATATTCGGTCGGCACGGTCGACGAATTCGAAAATGGATGTCGTATCCTCGCTGAGAAGGCTGGAGCCCGGGTATACTAGGTAGAATGTCGTCTAGCACCCGAATGGCGCTACCCAACCCCACTGGATGAGTATGAATCGGTGCTGGATTGGGCACGTGGGGCGGCGGTCGCGAGCGTGGCGTGGACCGCGACCGTGTTTTCGGGGGAGGAGATCGTGCAGGAAGCAATATGAGAGCCACCTTGGCTGTACGGTTGCGGGAACATAAGCGGAAGCCGCTGGCCGGATGTTTTTGCTGAACCCAGAGGCCCAGTTACCATTTGCGACAGAGGCGGCGAGGGAGAATATCTCCGGGCCATCTTTGAACTGTACATGTGGAACGCATGATGGACAGACCATATCGGCAAAAGAGACTGGGAAAGTATGGAAGGCAATGGGTTATCCACATTTGCCGCGAACTATGTACAGAGTGCGGTGCCACCTTCACATCGGTATATCGCTCCCGGCCAGCGGCCCGCATCTGCACTGAAAGATCGTCCACCCACCGCAATTTATACTTGTGGATTTGATTGTCTTCTAGATATGGGAGTCGACTTTATGTCTCTCTTGGAGGCTGGCAATACAGTCATCTGGCACAATCACGAAACTTTATGCCACAGCTTCTTGCGGATGTCGCCGTGGAGCAGGGCCGCCATGCGCGCGCTTTCCGACGTTGCAAATGATCTGCGTCAGCTCTCTTAAAGCCCTAGAAAGGGAGTGGGATGGACTTACCCACGAATATATAGTAAAACATCTGACCAGACGTCAGAACTAATTCTAGAAGTCTTCATACCAAAGTTGTGGTCGCATGTACGTCTCCTGTGTGGAGACTGTTGGGTCCTACAAGCCACTGTGCGCAGTTTATTTGTTCTTGTTCCTGTCGCCGTCCGCTGCTGAATGATGACACTACCCTACTGGGCGTCTCGATAAAGAGAAATTATATATTGAAACTCGCCAAATGATACCGTTTACAAGACACACATGACAGTTATACTACTTTCTTCGGCCCCTGTTCGGTGTTCCCATCCAGGCTCGCCGTACCCTCCGTATGAGTAATTGCCCGTTCGACGCCATCCTGGAGCTGACTGAGACCAGGCTTCCGTATAGGGACCGGTGATTCTACAGAAGATTTGCGACGTGAGCTGAGGTTATCGCCAACCCACCGGGGTGCATAGTAGCGCAGGAACTGGCGTAGGTAAGGCAGAGAGTTTCAAATAATAATGGCATTGGCTTCAATAATGCTATGGCGACATCGGTCAGCTCTCCATCCCGATTACAGAAGAACTTAAACGCTTACATGAATACAGCTGCCAGCGCAATCTTGTACGTCTGGTCCTGCGACGTCACCAATGGCGTGAGTGTTGCTAAACGAACGACACTTATAGTAATGGCTCTAGACAAGTGGTGTCATAGTCAATGTTTCTGGCGCTCCTCGACCGGGTGATAGACCCCCTTCGCACGTGCTGGATTGGTCACTTACAGAAAGCCAACGCCAAACATACAGAGCACCCCGATTTTCTGAATGAAGGGTAGATGGAGCAGCAAGACAAGGGGGACCGGGATCAACGTCAATATCACATCACTGACCATGTTGGTGATAGCTGTTGCAAGATAGACCCCCGCCCCCCAGCCCGACCCCTTCCTCATCGAGGTCAACGTCCGTCCCCCCCGGCACCGGAGGCACCTGGTCCACTCTATATACGTACGGGGTGGACCTCGGCGCCCTCCAGCTCCTGCGCGCGCTGAACGACCGCGACCGCTTCTGCGCGCTGTCGAGCCCGTTTCTCTTCCCCGGGGGCCATCATCCCGGCGACGGCGGGGGCGCGCAGTACTGGAATGCGCACTGCATGGTCCTGGTGCATCGCGACTGGGTGAGGGTGCCAGGGGACTTCTTTGAACAGGTGTACGAGGCGATGCCCGAGATCGTGCCGCATGTGTCACGGGCGGAGCTGTCGGTCGAACCAGGAACACTGGTTGCTTCGGCTGGTGAGGTTCCGTGGATTGGGTATCTGTTGATGCATTCGAGGGTCAGTCGACGGCATTTGCTGGAGATGTATGCGCGGTTTGCGGGGGCTTGTAGGGGGGTTTTGGACGCTGCGAGTGGGGATGATCCTATCTCTTAGTTGTTGTATTTACTTTTGCCGTCTAGAGTGAGATTATAAATATGATTCAATTTAGATTAAGTATGCTAGGGTAGAGCTAGTACTGAACATATGTTGTGAAAGGTTTGCTACGCACTAGCAGCGGCCACCAACTCCCCAAACCGACTCCCAGCCCGACCTTTCAGGGCCGCCGGATTCCCAACCTCCACCACCTCCCCGCGATCCATCACCACCACCCGATCGAAGTCCATGATCATCTCCAGCCGATGACTTACCGCGATGATCGTGTAGTGTCTGAACTCCGCCCGAATGATCACCTGCATCATCCGCTCGGTTTCCCGGTCCACGCTGGAGCTGACTTCGTCGAGGAGGAGGATCCCCCCTTGATCTTGATTGTCGGACCCGTCCTCGGGGGGGGAAGACGTTGAACGCAGGCGAATCCTAGCACGGAGCACCGCCCGCCCCAGCGAGAAGAGTTGCCTCTGCCCGGCACTCAAGGTCCCGGCCGTGACGGGCGCATGCAGCCCCTCCGCCCGTTCCTGGACGAAACCCCACAGCCGGACCGCTTCGAGGACCCGCTGACACTCCGCCGGGGTTGCGGTGTTGGTCGGGTCGAGGTTCGCGCGGAAGGACGAGCCGTCAGGCAGGAAGACGGGGTCCTGGGGGACGGCGATGAGGCGTTGGCGGAGGGTCGCGCGGTGGATGCGGTGCAGCGGGATGTTGTCGATTAAGACCGGAGGTTCCTGGTCATGATTGTTGTCGGTTGAGGGCAGCGGATCGAGCAGTTTGAGAAGGAGAGCGAGGAGGCTGGATTTGCCGCTGCCGGTGCGGCCGCAGATGGCGACCTTTTCCCCCCGGTGGATGGTTAGAGTGATGTTCTTGAGGGCTAGGGGCAGCTTGGTGACGCCAGAGACGACGAAGTTAGAGTCCGACTCAGAGTCAGATTCAGACACGGTGGTGGATTTGTACCGGGCGGATACACCGCGCAACTCGACCAGCCCGCGATCCGGCCAGTTTGTGTCTGGGACGATGTCCTCCTCTCCGGGACCGTCGCGGTCCTCCGGCGCGACGGTCTCGTTGAAGGTTTTCAGTCTCGCGATCGCGCCGATGGAGGTCTCCAGTCTGGTGTAGTAAATCACGATCCCAGAGAGGCTCTCGCCGAAGGTCATCAGCGAGTACAGTGATGCACCGGCGAAGGCCGAGTTCGAATGCAGCCGGACCGCCAGCGTCGTCAGGACCGCCGCCATGACCATCACGACGAGGTTGAGGACCAGGTTCAGCCGCTCCTGGATCATGAGGAGGAGATACGCTGCGCGCTGGCTCGAGTCCACCAGACGGGCGTTCTTTTGTATGTCATCCGGGATGAACCCGAAGGCGCGCAGCGTGGCGATCCCCTTGAGCGTGTCGAGGAAATGCGTGTAGAGCGGACTCTTGGCCTCCAGGTCGAGCAATCGCAGCTGCCGCGACGTGCGGAGGTAGTATTTCTGCACGCAGTAGAGCAAGGCGCCCAGGATCGGGTAGCTGATGGCCAGGTAGACGGACGAGGTCAGCATCACAGCTGCTTGGCCAATCGACTGAAATACGCAAAAGAGGGTGTTGAGGGTAGCCTCGGGGAGTTCGGTGTCGATGAGGTTAAGATCCTGGGAGAAGAGGTTCGTGACCACCCCGGTGTCGGTATTCGTGAAGAAGGAGAGTGGTGCACGAATCAGGGTGCGTAAGGCTTGCTGGTGGAGACTGGCGCCGGCTTTCTTCACTGAGACGATGAAGAGCGTTATCCCCAGGAGGAGGAGGGCGATGATGGCGCAGATCTGCAGGAGAGCATAGATCCCCGCGTAGTAGGAGTTGGAGTGCGTAGGATGGACGGACTCGGTGGCATCACTCCAGTATGTGAGCCCTGCATTTTTATCAAGTTAATTAATGGAATCGATTAAAGATAATTGGCAGCGGAGACGCACAGATGGTTGGGTAATTAGTGAACAGACCCCAGAGGGCCGCAAAGAACAGACTACAAGCCGCCACAAACCATCCCATGCTTTTGACATACATCTTATAGACAGTGGCGTCACCGACCTGCCGGGCTGCGGCCACCGCTAGGGCAATTGGGGTGGATGCTTGGGTGCTGTTAACAGTGATCGCAGGTTCGAATTTCGTATTGCCAACCCCAGTCTCGCACTCGTGCTCGGGACGAGGACAACGCTCATCGTCAGCAGTAGTATCCTCGCCCTCCTGCTTTAGTCCCACCTCCAAACGCTGAACATAACCCCCACGGGTCGACAAATGGGCAAAGGTGCCCTGCTCTGCAAGTCTGCCGTTTTCCAGCGCGACGATGTAGTCCGCAGTCGGGAGATGCCTGACACTATGTGTGCACAGAACCACCGTCGACCCCCGTCGTCGCAGGAGGCCATCCGGTCCAAAGACCTGCCGAAAGACTTGCTCCTCGGTATCAGCATCCAACCCGCTGAACACATCGTCCAGGATCAAAAAGTCTGAATGTAGATATAGTGCTCGCGCAAGAGACACACGCTGCTTCTGCCCGCCCGACAACGCTACACCATCCGACCCGATATTCGTCTGGTCTCCCTGGGATAGGGTGGCGAGGTCGAAGCGCAGAGAAGTGGCTTCAATGACTTGGTCATACCGCTCGCGGTCAAAGGGGGTGAATCCGACGATGTTCTCTCTGATCGTACCGTTCCAGAGAAAGGCGGTTTGTTCGCAGAAACCGACGTGACGGGGGGAAATGCTCGTCCCGACGCTGCCTTGGCTGAAGGGAATTTCGCCTAGAAGGGCCTTGCAAAATGTTGATTTGCCTGAGCCGACGGGACCGATGACCATCGTCAGGGACGAGGCGGGGATTCTAGTGTTGATATTGTTCAGGACGAACTTGTCTGCTTCCCATCCGAAGTTTGCATCTCGGATGATGATGCAATCCGTAGGTTTTAGGTTAAACTGTTCTGAACTCTTCTCCATGCCGCAACTCTGGGCTTCTACCAGGGGCTGCCGATAGTCCTGACGAGGCTCCAATTCCAAAAATGCCTGAATCCGACCCAAGCAGGCCAGGCCCGAAACGAGCTCTGGGACCGACTGGAAAAGCTGCGACAGCGGCTGAGTCAACAGAGTCAGGAACGAAAGACTGGTAAACATGGTCGAAGCATTCAGTGTCTTCTGGGTGAAAGCGAAGGTCAGCGGAGGGCTGATCAATTGAGGTATGAATGCGAAGACGGCGGCGATGATCATGATCCTGCGGTATCGGGCACCAGCAGCGAGTTCGCCGACACGCAGCTGCTGCACGTACTCGGCCACGGGACCAGCGAGGCCGGATATCTTGAGTGATTTCATGCTGGCGATGACGGTGGCTGTGAGCCCGACCCGTTTCTGGACCCCGGACATCCAGGATCGCTGCGAGTCACCGGTGAAGTTGATCAAGATCCCTAAGCCAACAAAGCAAACTACCACCACGCCCACGGCGGCAACGAACACGACCCCGAGTTGCCGATAGAGCATCCAGGCGGCGAGGCCTGCCTGGATCATGCTCGCCCACGTCTCGTGCACGAAGCGGAGACCCATTCTGATGCGCTCCATGTCGGTGCTCATGAGTGTCAGCGCAGCGCTATCGTCGCCTGATCCCAGCCGGACTCGTGTGGCGGCTTTAAACGTCTCAGTGACTAGTATGGAGCGGACCATTGTCCGCAGTCGGTGGTGGCAGTACCTAGCGATCGTGTGAGTTCACTGAAATATGCCGTAACAGCAGGTGGATATCCGTACCAGTACAAGGCATACGAGATTCCAATCCCCGAGTAGATGAGTATGGCAGCGCCAATTAGCCCATATCCCACATTTGGAGCTGGCTCCGAATGAGACAGATACGTGACGAGACTCTCGATGAAAAGAGGTTGGCAGATGTAGAACGCAATCAAAGCCACCCTCGGAGGAATAGGCAGGAGTAGTTGCACCCACAATGTACGTACCAACACCTTCAGAAGGGCGAATTTATCTCCCTTCAGCTTGGTGTAGTCCATTTTCTTCGCGAATTCCTCATGCAGGGCTTGTGCGTCGAAGGAGCTGTCGAGGGGGTAGAGGGTTTCGATTGTGAAGGTATGTCTATATCCAGTCAAGAAGAGCTTATTCAGCCAGAAGAAGACGCCTAGCGAAAAGATTCCGCTCGTCTCCTCGGGGCTGTGTTTCGTTGCATCCCAGGTCACCCATCTCGCTTTTTGGCAGGCCTCTAGTAACAAGATGGCGGTCTTCAGCCCGACCGATGCACAGAATATACTGCTGTAAACGATCTCGGACCCGTGGCCTGACGACAGGAACAGAGTTCTTGCTCGCACGATATCGAGGAGAAGGGTGAGAAACAAGTAGCTGTTGAGCAGCATCGATGGTCTAGGGCTACGGCTGTGATCCACCACACTTACCGTCAGCATGAAAAGGGCCGATATAAGCTGCAGGACAGAGGAAGCGATAAACATGCGGCTCATGTAGAAGGACCCGACCGCGGCTAGTATAAGGAGTGCAAGTTCCAATCCACCGTAAAGTACGATGACCCCCTAAGCAGTCAGTGGGCAGAAACCGTGTAATAGAGAAGGGAATACAGACTGTTTTGATGAATTGCAAGACGGGCGCATTCACCACAACGGGCTTGTGTATCTGTGCCAGAGTACGCCATAGCGATGATGGAATAAACAAGACAGAGGGAATAATCGAGAAAAAGAGGCTCTCAAATTGAAGGTTGAAGTCAAATTGTTCTTGGTTGATATGGAGCATGTTGCCCTCCCCATTAGTGAAGGGCATTTTTTGAAACAGTGATTCTCGCCCCTCCAAGTCTCTACTCCCAGGGCCAAAAAGAGGGGAGGAAGAGATTAAGAGGGGAGGAAGAGATTCAGATGGGGAAAAGCAAGAAACGACGGTGAAGTTGCATGATAAGTGCAGTCCTTAGTGCACACGCTATTTCGGCTATCAGCCACCGGGCGTCAGCCAACAGACTGTCAGCTATGAAACTAGCACCTAAACTCAGCCAAGACGGATATGTCCTGATACACAAGAGGATCTATAAAGATAACGGAGTTATTTGGGCCATCGCCGAAGGATCCTACGTGGATGCTCCACATATCTCCGATCCCACCACCCGCATACCCAATCTCACCACTCGAACAATGAACAGTTCACATTCCTCAGAGCCACTAGACGGCACCGTTGTCGACCTCTTTGACCAATGGGCCGAGAAATCCCCAGAGAGAGTCGCAGCGGAGTGGCAAGGCGAATCCCTCACCTACGGGGCTCTCCGCGACGCCTCTCTCCATGTTAGTCGCGCGTTATTATTGGCCGGCGTACGGCCACGCGCCCGAGTGCCGCTGTTGACCCAGATGTCGCTGGATATGCTTCCGGCAGTGATCGGGATTTTGAGGGTAGGGGCCTGCTATGTACCAATGGATGTGGCAGCCTGGAGTCGTACTCGGATCGAGGCCGCACTCTCCGACCTGGCCTCCCCGGTAGCGGTCATCACTAGCCCTTGTCCCCGCCTCCATTTACCTGTCATCACGGTGAATTTTCAGAGGGAAGGGCTTGTCTCGTCACCATCGGACAAGGACGGCCTACGAGTGGAGCTGGAGGCACGCCGAAGCGGAATGCGCTCCGAGGACCTTGCGTGGATTATCTTCACCTCGGGCACAACGGGCAAGCCGAAAGGCGTGATGGTGTATCACAGGGGTATATACGCAGTCTGTACCGTTCAGCATAGCAAGGAGCTCGAAGACGCCGCGGAGCAAGGAGGTCGGTGCCTGCTTGCGTTCTCCATCGCCTTCGATGGCTGTGCTGCAGTTGTCTGGACGACTTTTGTCCAAGGGTGCCACGCTGGTGATGGCCTCACCATCAGACTTCCCAGAGGTCGCGACGACTTGCCAATCCTTAAACTTGACACCATCTATGCTTGCTGCGTTGGATCCGTCGAGCTCTTACGATCGCGTGCGCTATATATTCCTGGGGGCTGAAGCGCCAAAGCTGGAGGTTGTGCGACTGTGGATTACGAAAAGCAGAAAAGTGTTCACCACGTACGGTCCGTCAGAAACGACATGCGTGATCAGTTTCGGGGAACTGCATCCGGACCAGGAGGTGTCTTTTGGCGAACTTATCCCCGGGGTGAAGGTTGTCTTGGTCAATGAGGAGATGAAGGAGTCCAACTATGGCGAGGTCCTGATCTCAGGGCCTGGCTTGGCTGCTGGATATCTCAACAATCCTACACTAACAGCGAAAAAGTTCATCAAATGGAACGGAGAGCGCTTCTACAGGACAGGGGATCTCGCACGCAGGACCGAAGACGGACAGCTGATATGGGCAGGTCGCGCAGATCCGCTCGTCAAGAATCGCGGCTTCTTGATCAATCTGGAGACTGAAGTTGAACCAGCGATGCAGGCTTATCCTCAGGTCAACTTAGCTGTGGCTTTCCAGTGGCGTGATAGGCTTGTGGGTTGTGTGCAGCCGTCCACAGTTGATGTTGAAGAACTACGCAAATTTACGCAGAGTCGTGCAGATCCGTTTGTCATCCCTGATATGATCTTCACCATGAATAGCTTCCCTCTCAATGTTAATAGTAAGACAGATCGCTTAGCGCTCCAGGCCCAATTGGACGAGAAGCTGGGCCAAGATGATGATCCCGACGAAAGCGCTTCTCTTCTTGAGACAGACAGTCTAACGGCTTATGACGCGTTACGTTTGGCCTTTTCCCGGTGTCTGCAGAACAGATTCAGGAATATGGACCGGAGCTCGTCTTTCACGCGACTGGGAGGAAACTCATTGGCGGCCATTCAAGTTTCAAACTTTCTGAAGCAGCGAGGGTACTCGATTCTAGCTGCGCAAGTCCTCAAACTAGACACGATCGAACGGCTGGAAGACCGCCTGAGAAGCCAGTCTAACTTCGAAGTTGCGGAAGGAGGGAGCAGTAGCTTGCAGGCTACAGCGACACCTGTGCAGAGGCTCTTCCTCACCCGGTCTTTAGAGACACCACATACCTTCGCTATCATCGGCCTGACAAAGTACATCGGCGACTCCTCCCAAACTCCTACAGCCAGTGACCTGCGTGGCGCTATGGAAAAGACGCTCTCAGCACACATTATCTTCAGCACGCGGTTTGATCTAACCGACTTCACCCTCTTCGACCTTAGCCGATTGAATCTCACCTAGAACGAGGTCAGCGTGTCTGAAGACGAGTTCGAGCAAGCCTGTGAGGCAGCCGAAGAAGAATCATGGCAGGCCGTGAGCAGGACGACGCGCGCCGACAACGAAGTCCCGTACTGCGCGGTGACCTGCATCTCTGTGCCTGGCCGCAGAGCACTCGCCTTTGTGACGCGGATCCATCACGTCCTCACCGATGTGTTCTCCTCTGCCATCCTGTCGCAGGATCTGGAAACCGCCCTAGCAGGTGGCGAAGTAGCACCAGGCCCCCGGTTCGAGGACTTCGCGCGGTTCATGCACAGCTACACACAAGCCAACATCGAGCGGGCGACGCAATGTTTCACCAAGATGCTAGAGCCCCTACCGGCCTCATGCGTCCTGCAACCCCCGGCCCCGAAAGAACCTCCCCCACCGGAAGCCCTCAATCTCATCCGTCTCCAGTCATCCCCTTCCATCACACGGGCCGCCCTCGACGCCTCATCTCGCCGTCTCTCCGTGACCCCCAGCACAATGATCTACGCTGCATGGGGGCTCTTCCTCCATAGAATCACCTCGTGGACCCGCGTCTGCTTCTCCGTTAGTCTCTCGGGCCGCACAGTCCCGTGGCCATCGGCCCCCTCCGTTGTCGGACCCCTTCTCTGTCGCTCTTTATTCAGCACCAGCATTGGCAAGGACGCAACCGTCCACGACTGGCTCGCGACGGTGCACGAGACCACTCTCGATATCATTGAGTTCGATGGGCTCACGCATTCGCTGCCTCCATCTCTGATGGCCGACCCCCGCACGAACACATCCAACGTGCTCTGCTTCCTGGACGTCCCCGAACCGTCGCGGAATTGCAGCCACAAGGACCGCCAGAGGTATTATTATACGCTGTCCTGGTACATCACCCAGCGGGGTGAGCATGTGGCGACGGAGTTTGAGGTTCAGTTGGAGAAGGTGGATCTATACTTGGGCGATGGCCGTGGCTGGTCTGCCCGGGGAGATCTTGTCAGGACTGATCAACGCGACGGATTCTACACGTGTCGCGGAGTTAATTGCCGCTAAGTAGCTAAAGCCACCTCCTGTACATACAAGTACATCAGGTGAGAGCCCGTGGGTAGCATTGTAGCATTCCTTCGGACAATCGAAGTAGTAGTCCTCGCACTCGTCCAGCCAAGTATTCGGAGTAGCTAACCGGAACCACCAAAATCGCACAATGATATCGTAAGGTCCGCGGGAAACCACCACGGCATTGATAAATTAATAAGGTAGAATTGGAGGATGGTAGATACAAGGTCTCAAGCTAGGTAGCTATGCACCCTCGGGCCAATCCCAAACAATCATCCTTAAATACATAATTTGGGCAGGCGGTTGTCTCCCATTTACCTTTATAATTATATTTTCTGTTGCGCCTATGGAGAGGCTCAGAGGGATGATAAAGTGTTAAAGTACTTTCCTAATCATGTACATTGAATTAAATCCACAATGAGAGCTGTCAGAAACTCGAGAGGGGTATTCATATAATGATTTTTCATTTACTTGGGGGTATCGCCAACAAACACCATGTACTAAGAGTTCATCCAATATTTCCATTATCCTGCTCTACTTATACTGGGCATAGGTTCTATGATGAGGAGAAAATGGGGGGAAGAGACGAGTATACTTAAAACTTATATAAAGGTATAAAGGAACGATAGTAGACCAGAAGGTTATTATTATTATTATTAATCAAGTTTAACGTCCGTATCGAGCCATTGGCTATGACAGACACATGTGTCTAGGCAGTAGCTTAGGCCACTGCCTCTAACTGGTCCCTGGGAGCTCTATCAGTCCCCCCTATCATATATGTGTTTATTCTAGTTCTTTTCCTCGCCTGAGCCACCTATCTGTGCCAGAGCTTTTAGGCTTTGCCCTCCTCAGTGTTCATTACCTGCTGGGCATTATCTAGATATGCCTAGATAGCCTCTTCTTCTATCCTTTCTCTCTATTTTCTGTTTCTTCTACCAGCTCTAGGCCCTAAAGATTATCCCTAGAGGCTCTATCTATTTCCCTAGCTATCTCCCCTGGGAAACAGCTGATATTTATTATTATAAGGAAGGCCATAAGGGCTTTTATAGCTCTCTAATTCTTAAAGAGACAGTATTCTGGGGCTGTTTCTCTTTATCTAGGTAGTGATATTCCTGCCTTAGCTAGGGCCCTATACAGAGCCCGTCTCTGGTAGCACTACTGTCTGTATTCCACCAATAAATGGCCTGTAGTTCCCTGTAGAGCCTGGCAGCCTTGGTATCTAGGTGATTCTCTGGCCTTTATCTGACTCAGATAGGTTTGTATAGCTGCATGCCTAACCTTAAGTTGATAGTATTAATAAGCAAGCTACTTTAGTGCTGCTGCTGCTGCTACTGGATCTAGTTTTTATCCTTTCTGGGGTTAGTAGCGCTGTTGGGCCCTGTAGAATTATTTCTCCAGGGCCTGTACAAGCCATTATTGTCTCTGGGCCTGGTTTGCCTCAGTATATACTTAGGCTGACCGTTGGGACGGGATAATCCCAGGGATTTCGGGATGGGATGGGATTTTGGGATTTTGGGATGGGAAATGGGAATCCCGTCCCATCCCAAAATCCCAAAATAATGCCAAGACAATTATGGGAATCCCGTTTTTATGGTTAATCCGGATGGGAATCCCATCCCATTTTAAAATTGGCATTGGGAATCCCGTTTTATGTGGGTTTTGGGATTGGGATTCCCGTTCTAGCCCTATATTTGGGATGGGATGGGAAACGGGATGCTAAGAGGGAAAATAGGATGGGAAATGGGATGCCAAGAATGGGATGGGATGGGATGAGAAATTCCCATTCCCGTCCCATCCCATCCCAACAGTCAGCCTAGCCCTAAGTTCTACTAATTTATTCCTGGTTAGGGTAACTGGAGTAGCTGGAGCCCTTCCAGTGGAACTGCTCGCGGTGGACTGTGACATGGTGATAGTAATGTTTCTAAAAGAGTCTAATAAGGGGGTGTCTTATTGTCAGATAAGATCTTCTGATTCTTTAACAGACTAGAATCTTATAGTTATTCTGGATAAGCTTGAGTAGGAATATATAATAATCAGAGTACAAGATTAAAAGATAGACTAGTTTATGCTCTGTTAATAAGATACAGTAGATAGAACCAAGTACAGGTAATGACTATTCTTATATATCTATCCTCAGTATGCCTCAGTATATCTTTCCTTATACAGATATATATAACTCCTGTATGTCCAGTATGTTATTAGGGTATATTGAACATATCCCAGTATATATATTTCTCTTGGCAACATACCCGGTTCAATGCTCCGGGAGCGCTCAGCACACGCACTTCTGTCTTGCCCCACGCTCCGGGAGCAATCACTGAGCAAAAAGCGGCCCTGAGCTAGTCCCGTTCCGGAAAGGGAAAGTCGCAAAAGTTTCTACACAAGAACCGTTCACTAGCAGATTCAGACATTAGCGCCATACATTTCGTATTTTCCGATGGGGTTAATGGCCACTTAAGGGTCAACTTCTTGCGCAAGGAAAAAAACCTATCGGACCTTTAGCGGCATTTTTAGTCGTGCCCTCAAGACCTTTTTTCCGACACATAAAGAATCTGTGCCATGCCTTGTCCGCGAGTGGAATTCACGCGCATATGGCTTGCATCATGGCTTAATGCTCCTATGGCATATGTCGTCGACAAAGTTACTGGGCTTCTCGTACTTTCTTGACTCATTACAAATTCTCCATTTTATTCTCGTACATCGGGCAGAGTTGCAATAAACTTGAAGCTATTTTGACTAACCCGGCCGCGTGATTGGTCTAGCCATGCTCCAGACCTCGTATTCGGGACTTGTTCCTCAAATCATGAAGCTTATATGCCACCTGGATAGGGTTTATATCGGTCGGAGGCCCGAATGTCCGACCGCTTACGGCACCGCGTAGCCAGCTAATAGGGCTCAGACCAGCTCTGTTGTTGAGCAGATTGAATGTAGGAAAAATCTCTCCGCTCAGATTCTTTATAGAGAGAGTTCCCTGCCCCTTGAAGACTGGGACTCAGAGTTGGCAACTGAAAATTACTTTTTGAAGTATTCTGTATAGGACCAATTTTTCGTGATTCTGCAGCTAATCTGGTCGATAAGTCTTGTCAATTTCTTTCGTTGAGCATATCGGGTCCACGATCGATATCACCAGATACTGCACGATGGAAGACAGCAAATCCGATATCGAAGGACCGATAGAGAAAGAGGTTGCGACAGCGAGCGAGCCTCAGTACCCTAGTCTCGCCAAAGCCATCATTGTCATTCTTGCCCTCTACCTAGCCGTGTTTCTGGTAGCCCTAGACCAGACAATCATTGGCGTAGCGATCCCTAAGATCACCAACCAATTTAAAAGTCTTGAAGATATTGCTTGGTATGGCAGTGCATACTTCCTGACATCTACAGCATTGCAGCCTTCCTACGGCAGAATATATAAGATCTTCAGCGTTAGTTGCATGTCGTTGTTTCATGGCCTCGGCGCTGACAACTTCATTTAGGTCAAATGGGGCTTCCTGATCGCCGTTCTGATCTTCGAAATTGGATCACTCATCTGCGCCGTTGCCCCTAGTAGCACTGTCTTGATTGTTGGACGAGCTGTGGCAGGTATCGGGGTGGCCGGTATATTCTCTGGAGCCCTGGTAATCATATCAATGACCGGTACGAGCACAAAGAATGGCTAATTTGCCTCTCTACACTTGCTCATATTATTAGTTCCCCTCCCGAAGAGACCCTTGATATTCGGAATGTTCGGTATGGTATGGGGCATTGCCTCGATTGCAGGACCGTTGCTTGGAGGAGCATTTACCGATGGCGTGTCATGGAGGTGGTGCTTCTACATAAAGTGAGCACTACACACTCAAGCCACAAGCAATTTAATCTAACTCGATATGTAGCCTTCCGATCGGCGGTCTTTCAATTGCCGTTATTATTTTGTTCCTGCGAGTTCCCAGCAAGAGCGAATTCTCAGGCACCCCCATCTTGCAACGGATCAAGCAGCTGGACCTTATTGGCGCAAGCCTCCTCATTCCGGCAATTATTTGCCTTCTACTAGCTCTGCAATGGGGAGGGAATAAGTACCCATGGAGTAACTCGCGCATCATTGGGCTATTCGTCGGCTTCGGCCTCATGATCATCATCTTCGCCTTCTCGCAGATCAAACTTGGAGATCGAGCCACACTCCCACCAGGTATCCTCAAACGACGTTCTGTTCTGGCCGCAACCATGTTTGCTCTCTTCTTCGGCGGTGCCTTTTTCCTCCTCGTTTACTACGTCCCGATCTTCTTCCAGAGCGTGAAAGGATCTTCCGCCATGAAATCGGGCATCCAGCTTCTACCTCTGATGTTGGCCACGGTCATCTCCTCCGTACTGGTTGGGGCTTTCGTAACGATCGCAGGCTACTATACCCCCTTCCTCATCGGCAGTACCGCGATCGCCGCAATTGGCACTGGACTCATCACTCTATACTCCGTCGATATCTCCACCGGAAAATGGATCGGCTACCAGATCCTTGTGGGCGCGGGAGTCGGTGCCGGTTTCCAGATTCCCATGACGGCCGTGCAGACTGTTCTCCCAGTTGAGGATCTTCCCGTCGGTACTGCGGCTGTCATGTTCTTCCAGACGCTGGGAGGCGCGCTCTTTATTGCCGTTGGCCAGTCGGTCTTTCAAAATGGATTGATTGATGGTATTCGCCATTATGCCCCGTCTATAAACCCGACCGACATTGTCGGAGCTGGAGCGACGGAAATGCGAAATGTCCTCGAGAAGTTGGGGCAGCTGGATCAGCTTGATGCGGTTATTAGGGCTTATATGAGTGGGCTTCGTGATGCATATCGAGTCAGTCTGGCGCTTGTTCTTGTCTCGTTCGTGGCGAGCTGCTTCTTGGAGTGGAAGAGTGTGAAGAAGACCGGAGGGGATAATAAGAACGAGATGGTGGTTCCGGCGCTGTGAAGGCGATATCTATCGGTGACTGCTGAAATGTTGATTCTGTTCGAGAAAGTGCCTCAAGAGCTTCTCCAGAACTTGTGAAGTCCTGCAACGGTGTTGGAGTGCTTTATGTTATACACGGACGCAAAAGGTCAGCTAGACATATATAATAATTAATGTATACCTCTCTATTCATGTTGATTTCATCTACCGTAGTCTAATTAATTTGATGATATATATACATATCCAGAGAAACATTCACATTAAGCATACATATGCACATCCAACCGATACAACACTCTACAGTGTGTGTGTGTGTGTGTCATATTTTGACCGCAGTCAATGCCATATTATCCCAAAAACGCGTACATCCACCCACACCTCCTACAATGCGCACCTCACTGGACAACGAACTGTTCAGTATGACTCTTATAAAGCTTACTGGTATCCAAAACCTGCCCAGTCGAAGACTGGATAAAGTCCACCTGCAAATTATTCGCGTCCAGGATCCTCAGCGTAGCATAACTGTAATCGTCCGCGTAGACAAAATCCGTGAACGATGGCTTCAACCCGACGGGGCTCAACCCTTCAATGTTACCAGCCCCACCAGCAACAATGTACATAGGAGCAGCCGGATCATTCATGCCCTTGGCATCTGCGGTGTTCTTGTACACGGGCAAAAAACGTTGCGAGTTATGAACATGTCCGAAGACACCCAAGTCGACACCATATTTGTACATCAGATCTTCGAAGGCTTCCTGGCAAGGCTTGCAGGCGCCGGTACCGGTCGTATACCACGGTCTATGTCCTCCCACGATAACCCAGGGAGTCACGGTGCGGTCGACGCTAGCCAGGTCGGCTTTGAGAAATTCAAGCTGTTGACCGGACCGGCCGAAGGGGCCGCTGTCCAGCTTGGCTGACCCGTCTGGGCCGTCTGGAGCAGAGGGGAAGTCGGTTTCCGTGTTGATCATGATGATGTGCACCATTCCATATTCGAATGAGTACCAAAACGGGGGCTGTGCGAGGCTCTTGGCCTTTTCGGCCAGTGATTGGGCAGTTGTGTTTTTGGATGCAGATGTAAAGGCCGTTGGCATGGTCTCGTCGAAGCGATGCATGAACTCAGTGAAGTTACGCTGACCTTCGGGGCAGAGACCAGTCGTGAATGGGATTTCGGTGCAGGCGGCTTCGTGATTGCCGGGGCCGGCCATGTATGGCTTGCGGCCGCTAATTGGAGCAAGTTGGTCGTAGAACTGCTCCAGAATGGCCTGATAGGCGTCCTTGCCGTGAAACAGGTTCTTGGGCTTTAAGTACCAATCATCGGCGTATCCGTAGTCACCGGGATGAATGATGAATTCGTAATCATCAACAGTGTCGGCTAGACGGCCGATTGTGGTGTGGTTCAGCTCTGGGTCGATGGTCGGAATGATGCTCCTGGGGGCATTGTTGGCGGTGATGGTATATCCATCTTTACCGTAGACACCTAGATCAATTACCACATCAAGATTGAACGGCGTGGTATCACCGGGGGGGCGAGGGCTGAAGAATTGATCCACGGTGGAGTTGGTGGAAACAATCTTATAGTAATACGTAGTTGCTGGGGTTAGCCCCGTCAGGACAACTGCATTGGAGTAGGTCCGAGATGTTGAGTATGTTGATGAAAGAGAGGAGCAAGCCTCCTTGTCTAGCTTAGTCCTCGAGATACCATATTGGACGCAACTTCTGTCCAGTTTCACGTAGGTATTCCAGGCCACAGCAATAGCTATATGAGGTGTCAGGGAGATTAGCAATGCTTCGACGCCTTCGGGGGATGACTTATGCTCACCATCGGGACCATAGATCGCAATGCGCTGCTGATGAGGGGTCGTCAAGTCTTTGGGGATCGGTGGGTAGTCAACGGCTGCAAGAGATGTACCGAGTAGCAGCGATACTACCGTTCCCAAAGGGTTCAACTTAAGCATATTCAATGAGGATATCCAAAGGCTAGGGAAAGCCAACACCTATAAGATGTTTGGAAAGTAGAAACTGTTAAAGCGTGGGATGAAAATTCAATTCTCAATCCGCCCCATCCCAAGGGCTTATAAGAACAGTTTCCTCCATCGCGCACGTGTGGTAGAATACTTCTTTTCGCCGGCCTATATCAATTGTCCCTGGCCTGACCACTTGCATGACTGCATATCCTTTCCTCGTTCGTAGACAGTGCCGGCACTATTGAAGATTGTGGATCTCCAACTGTAACCCTAAAGGCTGCACGTGCGGCCATCACGGGACGTCAATGCTCGTTGTTATTGATTGCTTATCCAGGGTCCTACGAATAATATGAGTTATTAATTTAATATCCGCTGGCTTATGTGGTAAAAATTAAACCTCGGCAGTCGCTAGGTATGGTCATGAGAATACTATTCTAAGCATACAAATTCTTGCCTATGTCTGGACAATTTGTAGTTGACCTGCCGATCTTCCGAGCTCTGCAAAACCTACCCAGCGTAGGATATATATAGATGGGGTACATTTGATCAACGTGGTCAGCCTTGCGAAGAATGAAATCAAAATTTTTCTACCTTCATATTCTGCTGCTGGGTCGCCAAGGGGGTCCCAAAATCTTATAAAAAACAGTTGCTAACTTCAGTGACAGCAATAAATGTAATAAAGCAAAGGGAAAGACTCATAGCATACCGCTTACTCTGTTGAGAACGTTTTTGATTCCTATATGATTATCTATAAATACTAGTCGCGGTGTTTATTCGTCAGCAAAGAATAAAATTATGGAACACCACGAAAGTATCCTAATACTTGTAATGGGCGACCTCGACTCCTGTGAGATAAATAGAGGAGAGGGAGAAGCCACGACTAAAGTACATTCCCCAGGCAGCAAGCCCATCTGATATTACTCCCAGCCTTTCATTGGGTGGTCCTTCGTTTGTTTGACGTAATGTCTACTCTGCTACATCCCTGGACTGGTTTATTGCTCTCCCCGAGTTCAAAACGCGGCGCCTCGAAGAATTGAGCCCCTGGAAGAGTATCGCCATCGGGGTTACCATTCGGTCCACCTGGAAGATGTATTGCTTCAGAGACACCATATCGCCAATTCTCAACTCTATGGCTTGCAAAATAACAAAATTTGTGAGGTGTGCGTTCATCTCAATGGGGTCACCAAAGCGATGAGCAGCCAGTGACACCGATAGCCCTGAGTAGCCCTGAGTGCACCTGAACTCCTAAGCCGCGGCTCCTGGGATGTGAGTATCGATATGTGGACCTTGCACTGTTTGGTATGCCAAACCTTTATGTTACTAACTAGTTCGTTTTGAATCTTGCGCAAAGATATTCGAGTTCGCGACTAATGAACCGTTGTTTCTCCCGGACATTTTTGACCTTACACAAGAGAAAATTGATAAAGATCATGAGAGTCTCACTAGTCACATATTTTATCTTAACGGCCAGAGGGACCAGGAGCTCAACAGATATCTGACAGATAGGTTACCGAATGACTTCGTTGCTGAAGATGTACAAGCCTAGCATCATTTCTTCCATTTTTGCTACAGATAGGCCCCCACAGACAACCGTCGGCGAACTTTTTACTTTACCACCCCTTTGTACCATGTGAATCTCCCATGTGAGAGGCTTGCCAATCATTAAGAATAGTAACTTGGAGACACTGCTCGTTCAATATGAATGTACCCACAAAAGCAAACAGGAGACAGAAAACTACTTCTGTTTTGATTCTTAGTCGACCCTAAGTCTCTATGATTGGACGAGCCTGCACAACTTATTAAATACAGGACGGATCTCGATCTCAGCAAGACCTGCTCTAGGAGATCTCTAGCCCGGGTTGAAGAAGGAGGCCGCCCGGGCGGGAAGATAAATATGGAGGATTTAACGTACAACATCCCGCTACCCCAATTAATATAGAGTGTGGTGTACACTTACGTGAAACAACAGCATACAGCCATGACTTTCGGGTACAAGAAACGCTATTCAAAGGACACCATCAACTTTCTCAATGTCCTTTTCATAGCTATTCCAATCTGTCTCCCCGAGATGGAACCTGAGCCAGCTCGGACCGCACCCCTCCAAGGAGATAATAAGTTCCAACCCTCTCCCCTGTTCACAATACAGACAAGCCAATGTACAATGTCCGGCATGATTTGGACGGCTCTCACTTCTCGGCGTCGTGCAACAGCCACGCGCACAACAACCTACCACACCAGCGCACTCCATTACAGGCCACGTAGAAAGATGCCAGGTTATGTTGTGCAGCTGCGCAAATAGTGCATGCTTCATGGTCCCGCCTAGGTGGAGAGTCAGAGTGCTATGAATTCTTTCCAAGTCCCAGACCTCCTGGGGAAGCGCGTCAAGTTTCTTTTCGTAATTTAGCATCTTGCTCACAATGATGCCTGCTGAGTCGGGTACTCTGTCTAGTTGGTAGTGGAGATTCTCATACTCGGCTTGCAGGTTGGTTTCGCGTTGAACTTTAAAGCGCAGTTTCATATCCGTCTCGATATATGAATCTACATTGCCCCAGGCTTGAAGTTCTAGAAGACACCGTGCACAATATTTGAGGCTTGTCTATTCCCTCAAGTAGGTTCTCGAGGTGGTGGTGGCCCGGTGATCTGGAATCCATTGCGGGTGCTTAGAGAATGCTAGCTTGCGAGAGAGTTATGCGATAGGAAGATTGGTCAAAGGCTGGGAGTGAAATGTTTTTATTCTGCAGTATGTCATAAACTGCCATCCTCTTGATGACGCGATTGATAGTCATCACGTGTATCGGACAAGCCCTGAACTGAACCTTTCCACTTGAAAGAATGAATGAGTTCACTTGGGGCACAAAGGGAATCAATGTTCATGGAATTTAATACCTGGCCCTTGAAGACCCGTCGTTTTGCGCTCGAATGAATACATGAATCACCTGACATCAAGTGAAGTGAAATTTGGCTGCCTGGATAACTTACCGAAATACGTGGTATCTTAATCTTTTCAGCTATAGAAAGTAATAGAGTACCTGTTTTAGCCTGTATCCTTCATGATGCCTCTATTCCGCTGACAGTCGCTGGAGTCATTCGCCATATGTGGGTATATAATAATAGATTCTCGCTACAGAAAGTCCGGCTGTCAATATGAACATCAACTGTACACCTCGGCACAGAGTAGGCCAATCAGTCATATAATTGGAGAAAATCGGGACTTTGCGCAATTTAGAATAACGAGCGTTGATATTCAGTACTATCAACTGTGAAAACCAAACCACCACAATAAGCTTAGTATGATCATCCATGTTTGGAGCTATTCTGAGGAAAATCGACCCATGCCTGATTAAAGTTGGTTATAGAATTGAATAAATCTGCCTACAGTAGACCGTTTCGCCACGCCGGAGGTATCCACTTGTAGGATAAAAAAAGAAAGAAGGTTGGTTCATGCATGTCGTATTCGTATAGGTTGCCGCATTTGGCCATCTCAGCCATCAACGCACATCCATATCCTTACAGAGGATCTGCTGGCTTTGAAAGGGATGCATTTTCTTTTTCCTCTCCTCTTTCTTCCCTAAGCAGCTCTCTCCCATAATGACCATCTCGCGGCCAACAGTATCTTCATTTCAGCGAGGTTATGAAATTATTGGCCCTGAGAGGACACGAGATGGTTTGATGGAGCCTGGAGTACGCGTTAGCCAGGACATGGCAAAAAATGATGAACTGCATGATGTAAGCCTCAGAAAGGACTTATCCCATTCTTATGGCCTGGTTAGCATGATGATATATGTTCATTTGATCACTGGCTCATTTTCAATATATACAGGTTAATAGCGATGCCAACACACAGCGGTCTCCAGGGCTTTGGGTAACAACCGGTCGCTCCTTTGTGCGGTGGATGTTCACACCGACGAGACTCTTAATCACCATTTATGGGTTGAATATTGTGGCCTGGGGAGGCATGCTGTTCCTGTTGATGTGTAATGCGGCCCCGGCGATGTGTCACCCTGATTGTAACAGCCTCAACTCGTCGCGCCGGATCTGGATCGAGGTCGACTCGCAGATTCTCAACGCTCTTTTCTGTGTGACAGGATTTGGGCTAGCACCATGGAGAATTCGCGACTTATTCTTCTGGTGTTCCTGGCGACTACGTCAATCGGAGCGGAGCCGTCACAAAGGATTCACCCGTCTCGCTGACATCCATTCCGGCTGGTTTTGTCGGCCTCAAGGGTCAGCAAATTTGCTTCCCATTGTCTCGACTTCGCTCAAAGCAGAGCCGATACTTCTTGCTCCGACATCACCATGGAAAATGGATGCCGTCGTGTGGGGAAATATGCTGAACACCGTCTTCCAAGTTTGTTTAGCCGTTTGCATGTGGGCGATGAACAGATTTAACCGGCCTAGCTGGACCACTGGTCTATTTGTTGGCCTGGCATGCCTCGTCGCCGCTACCGTGGGGGCCATTATCTGGTTGGAGAAACGACGACTGAAGAAGGCTCAGGAACATGCCAGACAGTGCACAGCTGGAGGAGCCACAACTGACAGCAAGACACTGTCAGGCCCTGCAGTATAATAGGTTATGCCAAGAAGAATTAGTCTGTCTTTCGTGCGTTTCTCTTCACAATCCAAGCCCTACAAGGCAGAGGTTACTCTGTACGATGCCGAGTAAATGTTTACTCGCTTTCTCGGAGTGAAAAGTCCGACAGCGACAGAATAGCCGTGAAGACAAGAGATATAGTCTGGAAGACGAGCCAATGATATTTCCATGTGCAATGAATTCAGTCTCCATAACAACAGCCTAGTCCTTATTGGTCCCAGGGAATCCACACTCAGCCTCATTTAGATCGTGGGGGCCATTTGGCTTCAATGTCCCCCTTCTCAACTCCTTGTATTTGACCTTATCCCGATCATAGTAGTACTATCATTGTTGGCCATACGATTTCCAGTCTCGATGCAGCTGATAATGATGGGACGACGAAGAACCGGCGGGAAAAGGTCCCGGACCGGCTGCCGCACCTGCCGGTAAAGTATCGCATCAATATATACCTACCGAGAGATAAAGCACCCTTTGGGCTAATCATCTAGTATAGAGCTCGCCATGTCAAGTGCGATGAAACCCCAGGGGCATGTCGTAACTGCACATCTACCGGCCGACGCTGCGAGGGCTATGATCTTCATCGGTTGCCGCTACAGGGGGGAAGGGGTAAAAAGGCTTCTACAATACAAGTACAAGCGCTGATTCGGAATGGATTTTCTTGGACGATGACTTCGGATGAACGACGGTGCCTTTCGTATTTCCAATACCACACCCTTCCCTCGCTTCTCGGGCTTTTTGGCTCCCCCCTCTGGGAGAAGCTTGTGTTTCAGGTTGGCCAGTCCGAGCCTGCGATATTCCATGCAATTGTTGCTTTGAGTGCAATTCATCAAGACTCTGAGGCAAGGGGGATGCCAATGTCTATGGAAGAGCCGGATAATTCCTGGCATCGATTTTCTCTGGAGCAGTTGAGCCGTGCCTTCAATCTATTGATCAAGCGGCGTACCTCTCAGGATCCTCGGTTCTGCAATGTCACCTTGGTTTGTTGCCTTCTTTTTGTTTTGTCGGATTTGCTGCGCGGACACTACGACGACGCATTTGTCCATCTTCAAGGTGGTCTCGCTATCCTACAAGAGCTGAAAGCCCATCGACAACTAGTCGCCCCGATGCCCCGTGAAGAGCTTGTAGAACAGTCACTCGTCGCCGCGTTTGCTCACTTGGATATTATGTCCACCCACTTTGGAGTCGGAGGTCCGGTCCTCCGAATAGAGAACGAGCTGGGCGACGGTCAATCAGAGTGCGATCCTACGATGCCATTCCAGACCCTTCAAGATGCCCTCCGTGCCTTTGAACCTAACTTCAGCGCGATCTTCCGATTCATTTCTCCTTGTATGTACCTCCCGCCTGAGAAGATTCAGTCGGACTATGAGACTCTACACGTCCGCCAGATATATCTTTGGTCTCGCTTTAACCAATTTATACGGATGTTCAAACAATTCTACTCGACCATGTACGATCAATTGAGTCTCACGGACCAGAGAGGGGCCGACCTCATTCAGATATGGATCCTCGGCCTAAGTGTCTCATTGAAGACGTGTCTCGTGGGTGGAGATCTCACAGTTCTGCACTGCTACACGCCAGAGTACGAAATGATTGTCGCCCGCACGGAAGCATTTCTCCAGAAGTATCCGGAGCGCCCGACGATTAGCATCCAGTGTGGCATTATCCCGGCCGTATTCCATGCGGCGTTCGCCTGTCGAGATTACACCATACGATGGCAAGCCATCGAGCTTCTATGGGCGTGGCCGCACCGTGAAGGGGTGTTTGATTCAAACTGGTGTGCCTCGTTGGCGTGTCAGGCGCTGAAAATAGAGCTGCTGGCGCTCTCTCAGAAGGGACAGGATCCCCATGCCCCAACCCCAATTTTGACCAGCCGAACGAGCGAGCGTCTGTCAATAGAAGAGGTATTGGCTAGAATTAACGAGCACCAACGACGCGTGCTTCTGTGCGAAAGGGGTGATATGGGCGAGGAGCCATTCGACGATATCGATTGCTCCCCCTTGGATCTCATTGAGACGGTTAAATGCATGTCGGGCTGGTCCTGTGTGCGAGCTTTTCAGGCTCATGCTGCTAGATTGGATGCCTAAGTCACATCTGAGGCTGATATATGAATAGCAATAGTAATATGCAAGTGACGAAGAAGCGAATGATGTAGCCTGATATGTTCCAAAGATATCATATTAAAGTATATACGCGTAACTTGAAGTACCCTACTTGGGAAGACTTAATGTCTCTTACACTGCGGGGTCTATTCTCCTAAGCCCTTGCTCAGCCACATCTTTCACGGTATGCTCGGGATATGTGATTATGACCTGGCCGCCACGATTAGCGCGTTATGAGCCGACATCTACATCCCGAGGTCAGGGGCGAATCCGTCGCTTACGCGCACAGACTAATAAGCACTAACATGATCTAGCTATTGACTAGGCGGGCCTCGTTTATTCCTTCTCCAATGGCCGTCCTCCGTGACTGGATGGGGCCGGGAAGTGGGCCGGAATTCAGACGAATTAGGGTAATAGGACACTGGCTCGAAGGCAATAGAGGTTATACCGCACCGTCCGCAGCCAGATATCTCTCACAATAGATGGGCTACCCTGGCAGGCGAGGTACCACATCTCCAGGTTGCAAGTGTATTTACCATCTCGACGGCCGCCTGTAGGCTTCGCATTAAGACATTCTATTTCAGGCTATCATATTAGAGACTCAGTAAGGCGAAGGCAAAGCGTCTGCCCATCGCAAAGCTAGTGACTTAGGCCGAAGTCTTTGTCTTCACCATCACACGTTACCACCAATGGTGATGTCCGAAACTGCATGACAGTCACGATGGCTCTCCGGCCGTGCAAGGTGCTCATCGCAGGTTGGGGGATCGTTGGTCTCGCCTTTGCCATCGTGATGGAAATGATTGGTGTGGACTACTTCTTGTTAGAAGCATACTCGGCAATTGTGACTGAAGTTGGGGCTGGTATCTGCCTGATGCCCAACGGCGTCCGAGTCCTTGATCAGCTGGGCTGCTATGAGGATCTACTTAGTTCCAACATCACTGAACTTTTAAGTGTGGGCTTTCGAAACACAGACGGAGAGCCCCTGGCCCCGTCGCTAGATGGATCCGTCATAACTGAGAGGTATTCTATCCTGCCTCTCCTCTGTGTGCTGTTAAATACTTTCACCTACACCTTAGAGTAGATACGGATGTTCTGGTCTTGGGTGGATCATCAGATGCTGCTCGATGTTCTTTATAATAGGATATCAGACAAGTTCAAGGGGGTGTCTCAAAAATGCGTCGCGAGGGTCAGCCATGCCGAGGACCATGTCGAGGTCACCGCATCTGATGGATCGACTTTTCGCGGTGACATCCTTGTTGGAGCAGATGGGACACACTCCCGCGTAAGGAAGGAGATGCTCAGCCACGCATGAGAGCTGGGAATCCAGGATTATGACGAAGATAGTATTGGATCCTCTATGGTCCATGCGACATCGTCTGATGATTGTTCTTCCGAATATTTAGCTATCACCGCAACATACGCGGGAATATCAGGTACATCTACAGAGGCTCCCGGAGTCCCCACGGGCTGTCTTAGTTTTGTCACGAACAAGCACTTCTCGTATATTATCGGTACCGGGCCTAATGATCGGACGTATTGATTCCTCACAACTAATATGGGCCGGACATTGTATGGCGCCTACATTCCTCGACTGAACGAGGAAGAGAAGGAAGCGCTTCTTCGGGAACACGCGAATGACAATATCACGTCTACCGTGCGATTCGATGATCTTTACAAAAGCAAAATCAGGGCAATACAAACACCTCTGGGTGAATTCGTTGACAAGAAATGATACTTGGATCGAATGATACTGATCGGCGATGCCGTACACAAGGTGAGAGCACAAGCCATGGACTCAGATTGTATATAGCTAACCTATCTCTATTTATGCAGATACTTCCTGTCCTTGGCCAAGGAGTAAGTTAGTCTGTGGAGACCACAGCAGCATTAGCCAATAATCCCGTGGCAGTCTTATCTCAGTCGTCGTCTTTGGGCGCGCCGTTGACCGCTGAACTCCCCGCCGTCTTTCAGCAGGTTCAGGACCTGCGCGTCCCGCGAGTGTCACAGGTGGTCCAGCTGTCCCGTCATCGGCAGCAGTTGGATGGTCTGGAGACCCCAGGACTAAGTGACTTTATGTTGTACAATTTCTCAAAGTTGCCCCCCGGCGCGTTGTTGCAGCGATGGGACGAGACATGACTCCCAGCGGTCTCTCTGAACACGCCTGACGTCCCTTTTCGGGCAATAACCATGGCCTTTCATAATGAGAAACCGGCGGAAGAAGCGGGTACTGATGCACCGGCGAGGCTGTAGGTGTGGATAATTTGACTATATAAAGCCTGTGTCATATTTATTGCATTTTCTCCACTCGCTACTGCACGGTAAAGCCTGTAGAAAATAATTATTTTCTGAGGCGAAGGATACTTGACATCATGTGAGAGGACGCCTGTAAAGGCGAGATATCTACTATACAATGAGTCCACTACAGTTGTAGATCAGATGCCGTGACTGATGCCAGCAGGTCCGAAATGTCTAGATCGCAGTGCCGAGAGGCACGGGAAAGTAGCGTTTCACCGTCAGCATCCATTCCCTCGCAATCAACTGGAGACGAGTTCAGGAGTAGCACCCTGGCTATTTCAATGTTCCCATACTCCACCGCATATGACAGTGGTGTTCTCCCCTTGTAATCTTTTGTATTGGTAACTTCACCGTATTGTATCAGCTTTTGGACAATCTCCAGATATCCACCCTGCGCAGCGAAAGAGAAAGAATTCCGCTCCATATCCTCCTCTTGGCGTCCTAGGGCCACCCTTCCTGTCTCCAACAGAAATAAAACCATATCGGAAAACCCGCAGCTTGAGGCTGTAATGAGTGGAGTACCTCCACCACTAGTGACACTGTCCAGGTCGGCTCCTGCTTCATGCAGCAGCTTGACGACACCTAGATGACCAAAATGCGCAGATAGATAGAGCGGCGATCTATTATGGCGATCCTTGGGATCAGGATTGGCTCCTCTTGCAAGTAGAAGACGCTCAATGTCCTCCGAACCATGGCGGGCTGCAAAATGCAAATCTGTCTTTCCATTCTCGATTTGGTGGTCTATGTCAATATGCGGCATCTCAAGTAGTAGCTTTACCACATTTATATATCCAAAGCTCACTGAAAACATCAGGGCGGTCCATCCTTTTTTGAGCATACCATCAGTATCTACTGCAACATTCACGTCAACGTAGGTCGCGATAGAAATTGAGATACAGCCGCTTCCGATCCGTAACCCACCGTCCAGGATAGTGGTGTCCGGCCATGCAGGTCTTTGAAGCTGGGATCCACTCCTGGTGTGTCAAGTATCTGTTTTACCACAGCATCCTGGCCACCGAACGCAGCGTGAACAACCGGTGATCGCCCCATGGTATCGCCTAGGTTTGGATCAATACCTTTTGTCGACAGTAGCATAATAACTATATCCGCATGTCCTGCTCGGGCCGCTCTTGATAGGAGTGACATGCAAAGTACATCCTTTTCACTCCGGCACTGAAGATTCGGATTGACTCCTTCTTGGGATAGAAGAATCCCTCCAACGCTTGTATGCCCCATCATGCGTCATGGAATATCTTGTGTTTATCATTTGATATTCTGATAATAGCATTCAGCGAATGCTGCGCAGTATTGAATACTCCATGCTTTGCAGCCCTCAGGAGGGCGGACATCTGTTCATGCATGGCATTGGAATGATACAAGAACGTGTTGAACAAGTCGTGGCATTGACCGTTCGTTCTAGCCATGGAACTGATATCTAACTCTCGGGCTAAATAGCCTGCAAGGTGATATAAGATTTCATTTGGCAGGTCCAGGAGTTGCGGCATCCTGTCCCTTTCTCATCTCGATGTATCCTTTATGAGGAGATGCTCTGGATTTTAAAAGACACGATAGTTAGAGGGTAGAGACAGTCAGCGCCGGGCAGTGGACCTAAAGGCCGAGTAGAGTGGGGTTTAAAATACCAACTAGTTCTGTGCTTGCTGATTGGCCCTATCATAGTGGTTCCCTGTGCCCCCGTCCCAGTCGGTGCGTTGCAATTCAACAGTGTTTCTCTCCTTAGTAAGCCTGCGGCTACTGGGTCTTTTGGAGAGCAGAGTAGATAAAACTCTAGTAAAGAAAGGTCTATCCAATAACCACAGTCCAAAAGCTTGGAGGCATGAAGAACAGCCTACAGAGTACACAAAGATCATCTCTTCACAATCTGTGTCCTGAGGACCGTGGGCCAACCGCAAGTTGCCTTCAGCATGTCCATATTTACTACATCCAATCTCTTGAGACTTTTCACCAATCTTATATATAACTCGAGACGGCCAATACGGAATTATCCAGTAAGGGGTTTTATGGCAAAGATATGTCTATGTAGTTGATCTACCACGGAACAACCATCTGATTGTCCGCATACTCCCAATAAGAACCACCATCATACTTCCTGCTATCATCGGCAAGCGGCTGAGCAACTACTTCAGCGCCATCCTCCGGAGACCTTCCGTTCATCTTACATGTACTCATTAGTGTACGCGGTATCAGTGCAAAGGCTCAGGTCGTACCTGCATCGACACTCGAGAATTCTTACCGGTTCTGGGCCGTACGCTGTGCAGGCATTTGGTATGGAGTTGTGATCGAGGTGGCACTTCAGCTGGTGGTAAATGCTATTTATGGCCATTAGGTTACTACCAGCCAGCGCTGGGATGTAATGGAGAGCTAATAAAGGAAGGTTATTCTGAGGTTCTACTGCTATGTCTCCGGGATTTCTCAGGATCGTTTGGGTTTGGAGCCTACCAAGGCCACGCTGCATACTTTAGAAACGTGCATATTTACGACACTCTCAATAGTTCCTCCTTGTACATGAGCCCACTAGCCAGCGAGGATGTTCTCGCCGAGTACGGCACTCAGGCAAAGGAGAGTATCTGCTTCGACGGCTCAAAGCGCGACATACTTGTATGGCTGGGCGACTTCGTTCACACTGCACGAATACTTAGTGTTATCACCTCACGAGCGAATCATGCTCAGGGTACATTACAGTTCTTGTTAGATTCACAGATTGCTGGCGGCGAATTGAGCATCTCTCCCAGCATCGGCTACAATATGAAACTCACGCCGGATGCACCTGCACCCTCTGACTCCTATTATCTACGAGACTACAAGCTTCTTGGCTCGATCTCCTTCCATGACTACATGCAGTGGAGCTGTGACCTTTCATAGGCAAACGTGACTTGGCCAAAATGACAGAAGCAGATCGACTGGATTATTGGGAATATCAATGCAACCATTGGCCTAATATCTTTCAATCGCGGGACATCTATCGGCCCCGTAGATGGAGGTCGGCTGTAGCATGTGCAGCCTTGCAAGCGCTTGCTGGCGCAGCCGATGTACCCATCGTGCTAGGTGATACGCATTCGGCTGCCCGCTACCGGGGGGTTGCGGCGTCTCTCGCAAATACTGTTAATTCGCACCTCTGGAACAGTGACCTCGGGGCGTAGAGTTCCTCCCTAGATGACCCTGATAACTTCTCGGTCAGCGGTGTTGCCTTCTGCATCAGCTCTGGAGTTGCATCTTCTGATCGCATGGCACACACCTTAGCTACATTGTCACGGTTGCGTCTTGGGCCGGGCTACGAAGATTCCTCCGACGCCTCTGCTTCAGATCCCACCGTGAATATTCTCCCGAACGCCAATGAACTTCTCCTGTGATTCCTGTTCGGGAGCAATACCACCAGCACAGCTATCGAGCTAATCAAGGCGCTTTGGAGTGTGATGCTTCCTGGTACTGAGGCTCAGCATAGGACGACCATTGGCACCGGTTGGGAATATGTGAATTCCCAAACATTGCAACCTGGACTTGATCTTTTCACCAGCTTAAGCCACCCATGGGGTGGAGCACAAACATATGTCTTAACGGAGTAAGCAGCGGGGTTGCGCTGCGCCCTGCGCCAGGGCCTGACGGATTTTGATACCAAAATTGGATAATTGCATCAGAGACAAGTGTCCAGGCAGGCTTAAAGAGGGCACTGCCTAGGGTTAATACAGCCTTTGAGAGTCCATTGAGCGTGGAGTGGCGTGTCGAAGGTAGTAATCTTCACGCCCTTATCAAGGCGCCAACCAGAAGTGAGGGACAGTCTCTTTCCCGTGGAGAAGCGATCCACCTATCTGATAGGCCTTCCTACAATGTTTCGGTAACTGTATCTACTAGGTAGTATTTCCCCCCAGTACATAAGATTAGCACCTCGTGGTGGATGTCTGTTAGCACTGTTACTGTACGTTTGATGTATACATCCAAGTTAAATTATGCTCCAGGTTTGCATCAGCCGCGTCAGCCGTTGAAGAATACATCTTCCTAGTTGAATCTCCACATGCCTATCCCTTTCTATTACTTGTCCTGTTCCTCGGCTGCCCGTGGCTCCTGTCAATCTATAATATGCTTCCATATATTCGGGCATTGAACGCGAAACGCCTATTGAGCACGAATGTGGGTCGCATACTCCGTAGCTTTTAGTGGGACTTGGCTGATGCTGAGCAGCGCCAGGTGTTGAGGGAGTTGCTAGTCATGTATTTCAGACACTAGTCTACTAGCGCACTAGTAAGATGCCTTGTAGTAGTTAATGAACAGGTGATACAATATTTCCTCGTCCCTCCCTATGAGAAGGACTTGCGTAATTCCTCGGGACACTTGTTACCTGAGTTGGTTTCGCCCAGGACTGGTAAGCGTCGACATTCTCCGTGTGTCCAAACGGCTGTATTGGTTGGCTTATGAGTGCTTTGTCGCGGCGATCGAAGTCTCTAGCTATTTACGCAGAATTGGAGAAGAAGTGCCCTCAGTCTTGAAGTTAAGGATGTAACCTGGCCGCACCCAACGCCGGGGCCATACACAGGTCCATCCGTCTTGGGGCATGCAGCACGAGATAGTATGAACCGAGTGCAATTTCCGGAGCCCGTAAGCACTACAGAAGTACATCTACGACTTAGCGATTGCAATCTCCGGTCAGGCATACGTCGCAGTCGGCTGAGGTGGTATTGGCAGACCTGAGAGACTCACCTGATGGTCTTCAGGGCGGCATTATTGATAAGCTTAGCGCGCGGAGAAAATCCGCACATATACCGACATTCGCACTAGCGCAGGTGATGGAAGTGCTGTCCAATAGCGCATGAGAAGCATGCCAACACGATATTTAGTTTAATTTATTCATTGCCGTGCCTTAATTTCCGATAAGATGACCGTGTCATTCTTCACCCTGTCACGTATCTCGTCAGACCCTTTACTGGACTTTATTTGACTCAGCGGAGATGCTACACGTCCGTTTTGAGTACACCACGATAGAGAGTGTAACAGTGATTCCCGATTATCTTGCGGTTCCGGTCGTCCGGGGTGGTGAATCGAAGCCTTTGGGAACCTTCAGGGCACTTTATCATTTCTTCCCGGGGGATCACTCTCGTAAGGTCTAATCATATTGTACATCGAGATCCACTCCAGTCAGCGTACAACCTAGAATTAAGTTATCTTTGTCTATTTGACATGCCGTGAAACGGGCTCAGGTATGTTCACGAATCCCTGCCCACGCTAATGCAAGTACTGTTACATTGATCGACACTCATCCGGAGGGAGAAATCGCAGGTTCGTCATGTGCCCCCTTCACGTATAGGGTATGTTAATGTACGCATACCAGCATGGCAGCGTGAGTTGCTACTTTTTTGCTGAAGATACTGAGTGGTTAGGCGTAGTGTAGGCTTTTTACGTGGCACAGGGTTGCCTCCCACGAGATTTGACTTTTCCAAGACGGTCATCTCACATATCACCGGCATCTACATCGTGGATTTCGTGGGGTATGCTAGGGTATCGGATGGAAACCACAATCTTCCTTGAACACTGGAACTCTTCAAGGACGAAGACATCAATATTAGGTTGCCATCAACGATATGCAACCCCTTTGTCATAGTCCTCAGGGATCCCTCGCCCTACACGTGGGAATGAAACATCGAAATCCTACTTCCTGCCTGTTTCCACCAAAACCCCCTACCCCAGTGCCTTCATTGAATAAACGTGACTGTTACATTTCCAAGACGGACAAAGCGTCAGGGTCATGTAGTCGAACAAAACTACAAGTGCAATTCATTCACTCATCCTCAACGGGATGTCTTTGTCTATAAAATGACCACACGCCTTCTCAAAATTCTATACCATCTCAACCATCTCTCGACATCCTAAGCCTCACCGACCAACAATGCGGTTTTCAACCAGACTCTTTTTCAACTTGGCTGTTGCGCTGACCTGGGCTTCGCTAGCCCACGGCGTGGCCATCTCCCAACGCGACAATGAGGTCGCTGCGTCGGGCTATCGGTCTGTAGCGTACTTCGTCAACTGGGTATCTACCTGCCTTCCACTCTATCCTGTGGCATGTGACTGGCTAATTCCTCTAGGCGATCTACGGCCGCAATCACAATCCTCAAGATATCCAGGCAGACAAACTCACACATGTCCTCTACTCGTTCGCCAATGTGCGCCCGGAGTCAGGCGAAGTCTACCTGACTGACACCTATGCTGACATTGAGAAACACTACCCTGGTGACTCATGGTCTGACACCGGCAAGAATGTCTATGGATGCATCAAACAGTTCTATCTGCTAAAGCAGAAAAATCGTAATCTCAAGCTCCTGCTGTCCGTCGGCGGATGGACCTACTCGCCCAACTTTGCCAGAGCAGCGGGCACAGACGCTGGGCGAAAGAAGTTTGCCCAGTCGTCCGTCAAGCTTTTGTCTGATCTGGCCTTTGATGGGATAGATGTCGATTGGGAGGTAATGACCTTGTCAGCCCACGGATGACGGATCGTTCACTGACGCATAACTGCTTTTCAGTATCCGGAGAATGACCAGGAAGCTTCTAACTACGTCCTGCTTCTGAAGGAGATCAGAACGGTATGTCGTAAACTTGTCCCTCGTCCCTAGTCATGGGCTAATAATTGGCTAGGCTTTGGATGAGTACAGCAAGAAGAGTGCGGGTGGCAAGCATTTTCTTCTCACAATTGCGACCTCGGCCGGTAAGCGAGCAATCACCTTGATTGTGAAGGTTACATCTCTAACATAGCTATTTCCCGTCCAGGCCCGGAGAAGATCAACAAACTCCACATCAAGGACATGGATGCTCAACTGGACTTCTGGAACCTCATGGCCTATGACTATGCGGGAAGCTTTGCCAAGTTCACTGGCCACCAGGCCAACACGTTCAATGATACCTCTAACCCCAACAGCACTCCATTCAATACCCAAGATGCTATTGACCTATATTTGAAGGGAGGTGTGCCAGCGAATAAGATTGTCCTCGGTATGCCGATTTACGGTCGGTCCTTCACCGGTACAGAGGGTCTCGGCCAGCCATTCACGGATGTCGGCCAGGGCAGCTGGGAGAAAGGTGTCTGGGATTACAAAGCCTTGCCACAACCTGGGGCGCAAGTGATTGAGATGGAGAACATCATGGCCAGCTACAGCCACGACAAGGCAAAGAAAACTATAATCAGCTACGATACTCCCAAGATCACTCAGTTGAAGTCGGCGTATATCCAGAAGTTGGGTCTGGGTGGTGTCATGTGGTGGGAAACCAGCTCTGACAAGACAGGCAGCGATAGTCTAATCACTACGGTGGGTTTCCTGTCTTCGTGGACGATATCGGGTGAACTTGATCTGACTTTGATAACAGGTAGCAAATGCACTCGGAGGCACGGGAGCCTTTGAGCAGGTTGAGAATCAATTGGACTATCCTGCTTCGCAGTACGATAACATCAAGAATGGAATGAAATGAGCTAGATACTCTCGATATGTGCTAAGGTGCTGTTTGAGCAATGGATGAACTGGTCTGATTCGAGGAACGCTTCCGCAATGGAATGATTACATATTGTGTTACCTATGATATTGTCGATTATTGTTGCTAAAGTCTCTCGTTTGAATGTGCAACTATCCTAGTACGCGCCAGCCTCTGTGGAACTCTCCTTCGTACATACTCAAGAAGTAGTTACAAAAATCTCAGGCGTCCAGAAGAATAAGATCAAGCCTGAAGGTAACTCTAGCATGCGCTACATTTGTAGAATCTTTAATGCTTCTATCTCACAACGAACAAATATGGTTATTAGGACCAAGATCTACCATGGTATACAGCGTCTTTCTAATTGTCACATTGCGATTCATCTTTGGTCCATAGATCTATTCCATTCACCTTTACCGAGAGGCACAATCTCCACTTTCTTTCTTTCTTTCTTTCTTTCTTTCACGCTGGTTTCCCCCTGGAGGTCTAGAATGATCTGTAGTTGAGTGTCATGGGTTGATTTCCCGTTAATTGCGCCAGTGCAACAGTCCAGACCCATCACCCAGCCGTGCTTGGTAAATCCATTTGTTCTCCTTGTACTCTATGTAATTCCCATCAACTGATAGTGTGTGAACATGAATGTATATATGTTACGCATTGGTATTATATACACTTCATCTGACCTCCTCAACCCTTGCCCCAAACAACTTTCTACTTGTAGTACTCATCGACCCATGACTTGATCTGAGCCACTGCGCTGTCGACTACCTGTTTTACCCCGGAATTGGCATAGTAATTCTTCAGATTTAGGTCAGAACAATGGAATGAACCAGGGATGACCAGCACCGGCGCCTCTGCCGTACTCTTCAGCGGACCACCAGGTCGGTAGGTAGATGAGACGCCTGAATCGAGCCAGGGATCGTATTGACTGGGGTTGAATTAGCGAATGGCCTCTTTCTCTCATTATTCAGTTAAATATTAGGTCTAGACTTACCCATTCACCCAGAGTAGATGGGTAGAGTTATTGGTGTCGGACCAGCCACCTGTCCAATCATTGACGGTGTCCGCTGTCTTCCCCTTTGCGCTCCCGTAGGTAAAGCCATTCACTTCGGGGAAGAAGAGCGGGCATTGACGTTGCCAGTATGCCGCATCGACCGTACGTGGAACGATGGTAGGGACACCTTCAGGGGCGCCGCTAGAGATCGAAAAGTAAGTATAGGCTTGGTACAGTGGCAAGGGAGACTTACTCCTGCCACCAGAAGAACGGTTCATTGCACAGAAACCATTGCCACTGGCGGTCCATCGCATTCTTAACGGAGGTATCTGTGAAGAGGGGGCTGGATTTGTCATGGGTGTCGAAGCAGGCAACACTCATTTTGTCCGTCCAGTATCCATAATTTGCACAATCTTGAGGTTTGTTAGAGTACTGCTCTTTGTATCCCCACTTCAGTAGTCATACTTACAACCCGGGAGGATAGTAGATTTGAACCATTTGGCATAGCCGGTCAGAGCCTTTTGCAAGCCCACACCTTCTGGGCCAGGAACAGCCGCTGCACCAGCTTCGACGTTCTGAAGAAGGTCAGCTCAGTCTCATCAAATGCAATTGGAACGGCTGTAGACCCTTACCTCAACGGCATCGCAGAACGCGAAAAATCTGGAGTAGCCAGTAACGAAGGTGTTACTTTGCCACTCCCATGGTCCCAGAGGAAGCACACTGTTGTGTCTAGATCAGCTCTCTGTTTCACCCCTCCTTTCATTCAATGTGTCTATACTCACGCGGCGAAATCATCATAGTGTTCGAGAGCACCAAGCCCGAACAACTCCTTCAGCGCCTGTTGCTGTGTTGCCGATCCATTCTTCCCGACATTATCAACGTGGTTCGCCACGAGCGAGACATCCCGACTACAGTTTGGGGCCATTCCGTGCCGGATAGGATCGAAGTATTGCCACTGCTTCTGTTAGCTATATGGCTCATATCCATTGTGGGTGTTGCGCACTCACGAAGTCATAAATAGCTTGCACAGGCGCACTGGTCGCGTGATATGCCCAGAAGGTGCCTGGAGCGACAGCTTCGGTCCAGGCGGCCAAGGCACCACTGTACGATCCACCGACTAGTACCCACGGCTGAAATCATAGAGTTAGTGACAAGGTGTTCGGTACGCCTTCATGCAGGGGCATCTCTGTCATACGGCATCTTGGGCATTGCTGCTATTGGTAGTGTCAAATTCGAGATTCACATTTTCGGCAAAGTAGGTCAAATCTAAGATAGACTGCTCGAGTGTGAGATGCTGCAATGTCTCCGCTGTCAGCTGGTCATACGGTGAGGATTCGCCCCAGTAACGGTCTGCATCTTGTTCAGCAAACGTCCTTCCTACTCCTTCACAACAACGCGGTCCACTCACGCTCAATCAAAACGACAGCGCCCTGGATTTCCTGTGCGTACAATCCCGTCAAAGTGTTGTTCGTGAGGTAGCCTTCGTATCCATCGGCTGCGGATTCGCCAGGTGTAAATAAAACCACCTATGCCGTCCCGTCAGCAACCGTGACAGAAAGAGGGGCATCGCCCCGATAGAATTAACCCACCGGCGAGCCAGGACCGCCCCAATACTCTGTACTCCACCAGTATCGTTGCGAGAAAACTCCCTTTGAAGCGTCGTGGTGATCTAACAGCTGTTCAAAAGTCGCCTGTCCTCCAACAGCCGACAGCTGCGCCGAGACCGGTCCAGAGACTGGGGGAGGGACCGGCCGAGGAGGTCGGATCGCATGGGTGAGCGAGGCCAATAGTGCCACAGCTCTGGCAGAGGAGGCAAAATGCATCTTGTCGAGCCCTCTAGTCACGATTAGGGGTCGTCAGGTATCAGGAACTCGGCTGCGCGCCGATGCAGCGTGCGAGACATTTATAGCGGCCGCCATATTGTGCTATACTGCGAATAATGAGAGGAAAAGAAAAAACGAAATAAAAAATAAAAAATAGAAAATAGAAATCTGCCGACTTAGCTCCCCGACCACAACCGTAGACAAGGTCTAAACATTGTACCATTCAGTGGTGGTGTCTGTCGCTGTTATCCCGTCGGAGAGCGTCGGGCATAGAACTAATCCGTGTTGGCGTTGGATGTGGTTACAGCAGTGGACACTAGACTAGACCTCGAAAAGGCAGGTCGATTAAATTAGTAAATATACTCAGAGTAAACAAATTAATATCTACCCGGCCACCCCCAATTTCCGCTTATCGCGAGAGCATAAGCAACACTGCTGGTCGTTCTGGCCCCACCAGGACGAGATTAGGCCATATTGGCAACCATATCATCTTTATCTACACTGTTAGGGATTGGGGGGAATTCCCTCGGTCTGCGGGTACTTTCCAGGTCTATGCGACCTTTGATGTAGTATCGACCAAGAGATCAAATGAGCGGTTGACGTCTCGATATGGAATCGCGTGAGCATGCAATGATATTCTCTCCGCTGAATTCCGCGGGGAACAAAGATTGAGCTGTGGGAGGATTAACATCCTATGATCTGTGGACTTTCTTAGTAATTTCAACTTTGTCTGCGATGATTATATCTCCTTGCTAGTTCCATAGTACTATTCTCAAGCTCTATAGCAAGTTCAATCTAAACTGTCTTTCTTCACCTCCCAGATGCGTTATATAAACTACCCGCATTGATAAGAAATATATAATATACTAGCTCAAAATAGAATCCGAGATACACAGTTACGTATCTAGAAATAGATAAAACCCCAAGGAAGCGAGTAGCAGTATGAAAAGAAGTGATCAGTTGGTTAATGCGTTATAATCTGTTCTCCGTAGGTAGTGTTAAGTGTATCCTCGATAGAAGTTCGTTCTTGTTCTAGGGTATCTCGAATCATGAGAGGTTAAGCCTGTTTCGATCATCCAATCCACTAATCTCTTTTTGGCACAAGAAAACTCGGGTCGGAAAAGTGAAAGGCCGCCCGCCCAACAAAGGACAAACAGAACAAACAAAACAAGCCACTCGGCATCATGGGATGAGGTGACGGATCTTGTCGCATAAATCTCGCATTTTGTATGGCTTATGAATGATATCGTCCATACCAGCTTCCTTCATCTCCGCTTGTTGTTCAGCGCGCACATTGGCAGTGACGCCCAGGATGGGCACATGGGCCATGCCGCGTTTTTCCATATCGCGAATGGCACGCGTCGCTGAGGTCCCATCCATCACCGGCATCACCTGATCCATTAGGATGCAGTCGAAAGAACTCTGCTGGATCGCATCTACCGCTTCTCGCCCGTTACCGACCGCGATCACTTGAAACCCCAACGACTCAAGCTTACGTGCCACAATCCGCTGGTTGATTACATTGTCTTCCACCACTAGAATGCGTTGTTCGGAGTCTTCTTTTGGTTGACGTTGCGTTGACCGCGATCGCTCTTCGGTGGACTCTACAATACTGGGACTGTGACGCAACACATCCGTGTGGCCAGCGTCGTATGCAATGCGGGCGGTATGTCTCCAGCCGTGGCCCTTAGACGCGTTGGGGGCCACCTCCTTGACGTGGGTGACCTCGGGACTGGAGGGAATGGAAGGATTGGCGATCTCTCGAGACCCTTCCGTCACCTCGTTGCTGATCGCTTGGACCTGACGGCACAACTCGTCAATTTCCTCCCTCTCCCGCCGGGGCGGCTCGGTCTCGGATACCTCCGCGCTTCGGCGAACGGTGAAGAAGAAGCCGAATGTGCTGCCATGGCCTTCTTTGCTGTTCACCCCGATTTCACCTCCATGAAGATGACAGAGACGTCGACTCACGTTCAACCCTAGCCCGGATCCTCCATAAACAGTCTGAGTTCGCGGAGTCGCTTGATTGAACCGTTCGAAAAGCCGCTTCTGCGCCTCGTCACTAATCCCGATCCCAGTATCTTTGACCGCGACCAGGAGATAAGCCACCTCACCTTTACCCCACTCGGGCCGGTTTGTCGCGTTCAGCTCCAGTGCCGCTTTATCAGAGTCGAAGAAAACGACGTTGGGTGGGTAGGACGTCGGACGTTCTTTGGAAGCGCCCATGTACACGGAGATCTTCTTTTCGTCACCCGACTTGGCGGTGAATTTGATGGCATTGCAGACAATATTCACCACGACCTGGCTCATGCGGTCGAGATCGGCGACAACCCAATCGACGCCACAGTCCGCGTAGGAATGGTCAAGCTTATACTCGAAATCGATGTCATATTTCCGCATCTCGGGTCGAAACATGGTTAACGATGTGGCAAAATGCTCTCGCGGCTGAACGCGCCGCGGCGACAAGGTGAGCATTTCGGCGTCCAACTTGGAAAACGTGAGCACGTCGTCGACGATCTTCTTCTGATGCGCAATGCAGAGACTGATGGTTTCCGCCGCTTGGGTGATGACTCCCAGCGGAATCTCCTTCTGATTCTTGTGCTGCACGGCTTCCAAAATATCTTCCGTGCAATGCAGAATAGCGGACAGGGGATTCCGGACTTCGTGGCTAATCATATCAATGAAGCGTTCTTGTTGTCTCTTGCGCCGCTGCGCCTCCTCTGCGATTTTCTTTTGCGAGATTTCTGCCATCTTCTCTTCGGTGATATCGGTGATGGTGCAATATGAACCTGCTCCGTTGCCAAGATTCAGACCGCGCAGTTCCTCTTCGCCGAATGGGGTGAGCATCAGGAGGCGCCACTGGCATGGCTCATCGCCGGTACGATATTCGATGCGCAGCGCCTTGTTCGCCCCTAGCGCGTCGTAGTATGCCCTAGCCACCCGGTCATAGTCTCCGCGGAAAATAGACGGCGACCAACTGGCGAATCCTTTAGTCGATCGACATGTCATCAGACTCCGGAAACGCCGGTTTAGGAACAGGATCTCGTCTCGTGAGTTGAGGACAGCGGTGCCGATCGGGGAGATATCTGCTAGCTGCTGGGCTGACAGAGTGCCTTGGAACGGAGACGCCATTAACCCGGGGGAATGACCATCGGTAAGATGCCACTATAGGAGCGAGTCGGGCTTTATTACAAGAAGGGAATGGGGTATTAATTGGGGGAATCGCCTCAGTATTATCATTCGGGGATTAATTCCGTCGGATATAATGGCCTGGTTGCCTTTGGCAGAAACCTGCGTTGTTTCCTGAGAGCTGGGTGTTGGGAATATGCAAAGGGGATTAGCCCGACTGACCATGGGCACCAGTAGCGATTTGTTTAGTTTTTTTGTCGCAGTGAGCCATGAAAGTCCCGGCCATTGTCTTGGTCACGAAAACGTGGTTTTGCTTGGGGAATTGCATCGATGCTTCCGCGATGGACTGGCGGATGTCGTGACGTCACTGGACCCGATCCAACCCTAAGCCCTCAATCACTACTCAACATCATTTCTACTTTTTTGGCTCCCACTCGATGCTGCGCAGCTCGTTGCATTACCTCTCACACTGCGGTTCCATTCTTCGCAATTCCGGTATTTAACTTACGTGGCTATAGACAGTTTCGGTTACCACCCCCAGCCTGTGAAGCAAAATTCTCAAATTAGAGTAGAGTCGGAATTCGCTCCTACATCACTATCGTTGGCTTCTGTCATTACCCCGTTTCCCCCCTCCACAATCGTCTACGTCTAAGAGGATACCGCAGATACTGTAGCTTTTGGGGTCGACTATGCCTAGGAATTAGTTCTACCGCACGCGGTCGATGTGACACAAAGAGAGCTCACTTTGATAGGGTCTGTATACTTAGTAGCACCAATCATCCCATCTTCCGTACTCGTAGTTTCCACATTGGCTGTCCCCTTTTCCGCATATCGCTCACTCGTTGCGAGCAACTGTATGAGAACAACCATCACAAGAGCAGCGATGACGAAGCCAAATGTGGCCGAGAAGCCTCTCCCTGAGGGAAACATTGTTGAACTAAAAGTGGCAAGTGTATGGAGCGCGGCTTACTGAAAGAGGGGGTTATGGGTCGGGGGAAAATGACGATCGGAGGCCATGTTGCTACCTGTAGAGAAGTCAACAACAGCAAGATCTGGTGGCGGTTCACTCCAAACCACCGCATATTGAAATCCATTCATACTGCTAACCACGAGCGCTCTCTCCTCGTTGCCATAGACACAGATCACGTTGGCCTAGGTGTAACCGTGACATTAGCATCGGATGGCCTCAAACACGGCCTTTGGCAATAGCAAAATGAGCTCGTGTACGTACAAGATCGCTGTCATAAGTTGCACCCCGCCTGTTAAGAACGCGAACTCCAACTTGGTGCTGGCTGGCCACACCACCAGGTTAGCGTTGGGGATAAAACCGTACGTCTATTGGAGTGATTAGTGGGAAGCCTTGCGTTTTAGTAGCACTCGGCCAGTGGTTGCATACCAATGGGATAATCACCCATGCAAATCGGTTTCCTGTGAAATCCGATAGGAAACCCCTTTGCGCATGCCATAGCATCATCGGCTAGGGAGCTGAGTAGTGGCATACGAAAGCAGTCGAATATGAAGCTTACCAGAACAACGCAGAATGGCGAGATGAGATTGGTGCCGGTGGGAATGATGTTTCGAGCGGAAACGGAAAAGCCCTCGGACTTCAACAACCAGATGGCAAAGTAGCTGCTCGCGCCGCATGACGGCCCATATAACTAGTCGTGTAAGAGTGAAGTAAGCCGTCGAATCTTAACTCATGTTAAGGCAGTAGACTATGAGATAGAAACATACAGCATAGCCTAGCGTAAACGCGTACCACCCTAGAGGATACATCAACGCCAATAGCTTCGAAAAGAAGAGACAGAACACGTACGCCATTTGCTGGTCGCTCGGACAAATGTGGTCCAGGTCAACTTCGTCGGCGGTGCTTTTCCAGACCTTTCTACTCGAGCAAGGGACATCCGAATGTCCTTATCACTGAGGTACTACGCCTTTGTGTTGTGCGGGACATCCGGAAAAAAACCTAGCGTTATGGCACCTACTGGGATCGTCATGCACTGGAGGTAGTCAGCAAAGGCGCCTGCTATGGGAGGAGTAACATACTCCACACACGATGTATAGCCGTTGCCATCCACGAGTCCATGGCTGATATCTAGATTATTATATACCGCTGCACTACCGTATCATAAGCTTTAGGGGGTACTAGGGATAAACGTAGACCGGGGCAAAGCGACTCTCACCAACTACCCACTGAACGCTGATCCTAGGGGTGCCGTCATGTGTAGTCTCTTACTTTAAAGGATAACTTATTTATCTCTGGTTGTCTCTAACCGATCGTCAGATACCTTGCCCTTTATTTCGTGTTTTGTGTTCCTGCGTGAAGCTGGGCCATTCCCTGGATGAGACGTGAACGAGGAGTCCTAACAGATACTACGTACATCGCCATTACTGCTTTTTATACATTGACCAAAGCGTCCGGTCTACACTTGAGTTGTGTTATCTATCATGATGATCGCGACGAAATGGTGTCATATCATGTTTGCGAACTAGTTCGGCTGCAGATCCTGACCCTCCCCAACCGCCGTTGACCATTTCCCTATTATTCTCAAGTCCCCAAACGAGTAGTATCTCACAGGGCGGAGATATGGTGGGGTATTTTCATGCAGCTTGGGAGCCATGATTGCGAAGCCGTGGTCATTGGATGAGGAGACCTGTCTCAACTATACTTGTCGAACATACACCATTTCTGCAGTGACCACGCTCATGCGAGACGGTGAACTTTGCATACAGCCCTAAGCCATTTTCGACAATCAATTCAGACCTGGAGGAGTGAGGATGGAAAGCGTTTAGCAATGACACTACATTCATCCAATTGGCCTCTAGAAAAAGGCCTTGAGCGAACCGAGCCGCGTATATCGCTAGATACTTGCTATCTCAACCCCAAGTTAGCCTTGTGTATGAAGGCACTGCACTGATTATTTCATTGGAATTGCCAACAAAGATGAGGATCTCATCATCATCAATGGTGATCCCAGAGAGACAGATTAACGCATTACGGCCACAGAAGGTCCTTGCGCCAACGGCCATTTTCGGTCTCCAGCGCATACCGCAGCCTATGATGAAGCCGATCATCAGAGCCTTGCCAAAACTCCACCGCTATCGGTGCAACTGCGTACACTCTCCACTTGTGGAAGGCCTGCTCTTGCCCATTGCTTACGGCAGCTTCTGTCTCGGCGATGCGATCAGTAAGCTCCTGACGGTCCTTGAGTACCTGGCTCTGTTTAGATGCCATGGCACTCACTCTCGACTTCAACGGGCGCGCAGCGAAATCCTCCCTGCACTCATCTTCTGGTAGCTGGGTGGCCCTCCCGCGCAAACGAATTTGCCTCCCAACTTGAGGCCAATAGAAGGTTAAAGCGGCATGTCCATTCTTCTCCAGCTGCTGAGCCTTCGGACTATCTCTCTTGACGGCGAAGTGCCAGCCACGATCATCGACATTCTTCAAGATCAGAACCCGGGCATCCGGACAGCCCTGCTCATCCACAGTCGAGATCGTCATGGCATGTGGCTCTCGGACATCGGCCGCGATTGCGTCGTTCAACCATTTCTTGAAAGCATCATGCGGAGTATCGGGCAAATCGTCGAAGTCGACTTCCGCGAAGGGTCCTGCAAGGACCGCGAGGTTGCGGAGCTGGGTTCGAATTGTGTTGTCCATGGCCGCCATGATTTTTTTGAAGCGAGGGTTCACTTGTAGTTGCACTCCGAGAAACTGGCCGTAGATGAGAAAATGTTATCTTGCCTGGTGTTGTAGAGGAAACCGGGACCAGGTCAAAGGAGATGCAAGTGGAGGTTATAGGCATTTGCGCTCTCCAAGAATTGTCAGACATATAGTATTTACATATAGTATTTAAGACTGTGTGTTAACTGATGAGTCATATGCATGCCGGTGAGATCTTTCGCCTCGATTGGGTAACATACGGGGATGAGCCTCGGATATTACTCAAGAGGTTCACCGTGATGATGACTCAGTCGGAAGACACATAGTTAACTATCTCAGTGGCATATGGATTATACGAAGGCAATACGCTAGTTATCTCAAATAAGATGGCTAATTAGCCTCTCGTATCTTTTACGCAGACCCTGAGTCTACAATGAATGGTCTAGACCAAAGTAAGGGCTTCAATTATCACCACAACACCGGTTCTTGCGGGGGTTACCGCAGCCCCGTTCCACGGCTCAACAACCGAAGCTCAAAGTGTCGCGGTCATAACTGCATCATCTCCTTGTTTAAATATCTCCCTATGGACATTGAGCACTCGGCATTGATCAGGATATCCCTCTAACCTCGATTCAACAAGTGATCTGTACACCCATCTCCTGCCAACAGTTCCTGCCACCATATCAAGACAATATGGGTAACTTTGGACAATACGTCGATATCCGCATTGAGGATGGCCTGAAGTATGATATCCGCATCGAAGACGCCCATCTCGACTGGTATGTACACCCTCTCCCCCCGTTTTATTTAGTGTCCCGAAACCCATCTGACGGTAGCCAAGCGGCCAATTCTACCGACAGGGTGATCAAACTGATATCTTGACATCCGACGATGTGGATGATATGATGATTCGTCATAATGGCGGAATAAGAGATGTTTGCTCTTGTGGGGAGCCGGGCGATATGTCTGGAACGCAGGGAACCCTGGACCTATATGACGATGTGAAGGACGACCGAATCTGCACATTGTCATGGAGCGCTCCCATGCAGTCCGGACGGCAGAATATGTTCATCATGCGTAATCGTAACCCGAAATATGCTGTCGATATTGGTGATTGGAGTAAGACTGGTACTATGGGAACGGTTTCGGTGGCCGTTAAAGATCAATCTTGATCTCGATACTCTGAACGCTATTTGGACCTCTGTTATTGTTTTGTAATATTGACCTATGGTGTATACAAAGGGATCAGAAAATTTGAAAATGAAAGTGAAGATATGGACCGGCTCACAAGTCATGAGAAAATGTATCTCAAGAGCCATAGTTAGCTGTCAGAGGCCATGGACTGTCAGATGTCACTGCCTTTTAAAGTATATGAATATGTGCTTGTCCTTGTAAGATCCCACTTTGATTATTATATTAATATTAGTCTATGTGACGCTGTGCAATAAATCAAACCAACCCTCCCCTCCAAATTCCTTGGAAACAAGATGCGCCTCATCCAAGACCCCCTTCATCACCAGCATCAATTCGCCAATCGCCCGTCCCCAAGAACTGAAGACGTGCGATCAATTCTATGCAGAACCGCCGGTAATGCTTGTCACGAACCATGTCGGGAGACAAGGAAATCTCCCCGGAACGGGACCGCCAGAACTCAAACGCTCGGCGGATCAATGGTGTAGGAAGAATCTCCGGCAATGCATCCCCTGTTTTCAGTGCCTGTTCGCACATCCCCAGAGCTGCCATGACCTCGCCGATGCATTGATGATCCAGCAATCCGGTCTGTTGCGCGAGTCGGTGACGAAACTCCGTGGGTAGAATTCCGGACAAGAGTAGTAGCTGGCCAAGATTACGGCTCATGTAATGGTATAGCCGTTTTAGGCGGTCTAGACTCTCGCTATCGGAGCGGAAGCTGGAGAACTTGAAGTGTAGCAGCTCTATAGGGCCATCGAGCATCACTAAACACTAAACCTTCGGTTAGTTGAAGGGAGATTGGCTCTGCTAGTAAGTGCCCATGATCACGCGGGCGTCCACAGCAGAATAACAACAAGGGATGGTGTCCTGACAAGCCTCGGATTCTGTGGGATAGGCTTTTGCAAATGTGTCGGGCGGCTGATGGAGGACGAGGGAACATTTAAACAACAGTGGCCGTTGCAACTCCGGTAAGCACCAAAAGTAGCCGTCTCCAAAAGAGGGTGTATCCAACACCAGGATTGCCGTACTGGCGAATGTGTCCAGACACAGTATGAGCAGGCGTAACGTGCGGGTGTGAAAGTGTACTTACGTATCATCTTAGCTGTATGCCACTACGAGCAGAAAGGTGGCACCACCCATGGTCCCCTCTAAGTAGATTTGGGGGCAAGTACAGTCATAGCCGTCGGATTATCACGAGCAACACTACCATAACTACCGATAATCCATAAGGATTTCCGGGTCCATTTGCGGAACCAATATACCAAGCTAGAAGCCCTAGGACACCTCCCACGGCCGTCCCGACAATTCGTGAGAGGACGGAAAAGGTAAAATCTGCCATATAAAGTAGTCTGGTCTGTGCCATGATCAGCCCCCAGAGACCCTTTTCTCAATATTAGAATCCAGTGGTATGGGGGAATGACACCAGGGATGCCCAATGCGATCGTAACCACAACCATGCACAGAGCGTATAATCCTGCATTGGAGGTAGACCAATGATATATTCCAATCACAGCTCGCACGATGGGTCTGTGGTGCTTAGGACGATATCCATGGCTGATCTGAAGCTTTTCCTGCACAGCGTTGGTCAGCTCTTCTCCCTCAACCGCGTCTTCCTCTGCCATCGACGCCACTGCCGGTGCCCGATTCCTGATGTCTACGCCCTACCAGTCACGCCCTAATCATATTAGTCCAGGTACGAATGCGATTACGACTTGATAATTCACATCCTCTCATTTCCTACTCTACTAATCTCTATATTCCGTAAGACGATCGAGCAAATCATTCCTCGTTAAGCCTCATCCTTTCCTCACGCCCCGCTCCTGCAGGTTTATCCGCCCTCGCCTCAGGATAAATGCAAGGCAACCTTCCCATTGATCTTTAACATGTAGAATGCCTCTTACGAAGACACATAGGGTGTGCTACTCACCTTATTCGAAGTGGCACCTAACGGTTGCTTAATGCCTGCAAAATATGGGTCCAGATCATCTTAACGACGGCAAGAACTTGGGCTGACGGTAAAGTCTCTAGTATCCACTCTGCTGGTACAACGAATCCCTCTTCCAATAGGTATTGTTGAATTCCTTGCGTCTAATACACCTTTCGGGATAATCCCGTTTGGCGCCGTATGGTGGTAACGACCCAGATCATCATTGACTTCTGCCGCTTCATACCCGTCCATATGCGACGACCCCGGCAGCTGGGAATAATAACCTATAAATTTACACAGACTCACAGACAGTGCCTCTGCCAGTGCAGAAGGCCAAGAAGGTGCGATATTTCGTCGTACAAAGGTGCTAGTCATTGCCGGGGCTTGGTAACTGATGTGGCATCTCATCACTGGATTTGTTCTAAGTATTGCTGGATTCTACGTTACAAGAGGCCTTTGTTGGTGGCGGGATACTCGCATGATCAACTTAAAGATTGCTCTCATTAGTTGTTGAGGAACAAACTATGTATAACTCTATACTATCCAATAAAATTTAAACCCTTTGACAAGCTCGTACCTCATTCAATAGGAAATTACGTTTTGGTAATTTTTTTCCATCTCGATACGCATCCGAGATTTATTTACTTCCCCAACCTCCAGCAATCGACAGTCTAATAAACCGTCGGTTTGATCTTGCTCCCCCCGCAAAAGGCGCGGCAGTTGCTCACAGAACGACTTACGTACGTCAGGATGTAGAGGTGAAGCCCCGAATACATTTACAAGCTCGTAGCCCTCATTCTTCTTGTCGACCTGAGATTCATCGTCAGGAGCGGCGGGCAAAAGCCGGGCGATTCTACCCTTTTTCAGCGAGGAGAGCGCGTTAATCCCGATTGTTTACATAGCTAGCAGATTGACAGCATCGTAGGCGTATGGGAGGTCATTACCTATAGATTACTAGATGCGGGCAATGATTTCATAGGATAGCCCATGCCGGTCGACTACGTGGGTTGCGCCGTACGACTTCAGCTCGGTTTCGTTTCCGCTGGCGACTACAATCCGTCGGGAGAAGCCTATTAAAGCGGCGAGTTGGACACCGCATCGACCATAGTTGCTTCCCCTATTTAGGATTAGAATAGTGCTACTGGCGGAGTTGGCCTTTTTAGCTGACACCTTGAGCCGTTGGAGACCCAACGTGCGAGGAGGAGGTTGGTCGGCAGAGACGCAACGTTATCGCCACTAAAGCCCTCAGGAGTCTCACTAGGACCTCTAAACCAGGGCTGATTCTTCCATCTACGTATACATGTATATATCGATAGAGACTAAAGAAACAAGTCCCTTTACGGTTAATTCTTTGCCCAGAAATTGCCTAAAAAAGCTAATTCTACATACGACAGACATAAATATATTATAGTTTCTTATATATAGGGATCAGGTTAACTATTCTGTATCAATAACTAACAGATCTGGTATCTAGGCAAGTAATCAAAGTCTATATATATCAGTAGTGTCAATAATTATAATTAGGTGAAACTCGTATACACTACGCGTAGAGTCTCTGATATTCCTGTAACGAATTATAGATTCCAAGTCTGTTGCCCAGTGCCCCAACTCAGGAATACGATCGCCTTTGTACAATGTCAAAAATCCTAGCCATCCTGAAGTAATAAAATACATCGACAGAAAAAGGAAATGGTAGGGGAAACTGGAGTAAGGGTTCCAGACGGTTTATCAGGCAATGAACATAGCGTTGCGCCCCAGCCCTGCTGTGAAGGTAACCCAAAACAAACCCTCTATTTAATAAGATAATATATAACTTGTCTTAATCTTATACTGTCTTCTATCTTAGTTGTCATCTGTCTTTCTTCTTCTTCTTCTTCTTACAACAAAAGATGTACCGATCTTTGTTGATTATCTCTTTATATTTATCAGTTTTTGCAATAGCTTCTATTCATACTAAGAAAGAAGGCACAGCTGTACCGGATTTACGATGAAACTTGCAGGCACTTTAAAGTGTTCAAACACAGAGCTACACCACAGAGCATCTCAGGACCGAACCTCAATTATGTTGAGGCTCCAAAGGAGATAGCCGTGCAGGGACGGTGTAAAACGCCCTACAACACGTGGCGTTTCACTATACTCCCCATGGATTGATGTATTGGCCAGCGATGCAGTTTCACACCGGGACGGCAACACCTCAACCTGATCCCCCAGAAGTTGTACGCATACTCGTTACCCATTAACCATTATTATAGCGAGGTATAGCATTCACAGACAGTCTAACAACTGAGAACTATAGTGGATATGGGTTGAGGGAGGCTTATTGTCCGCCTTGTTCTTTACAAAAGGGCACCAACCGGCCTGTTAGCCAGTAGGCTGCTAGGCATCCCTCTAGCCCAGAGGATAAGTCACTCGAGGTAGCCTGTCAATGCAATAGGAAACCCCACCCCCCCACCCGCCAGGAGGAATATCTTCTACCGTCAAATTCAGTATACGTAAGTATCCAATGGACCGTTATTAAAACTTTGTCACTACAAAAGGGATATATCGATGGAGTTATAGCAGTAGATCCGAAAACCACTTACTTATCCTGATAGGGTATGACCCATACTATGAACAAGCCGCAGGAGGCAGACGACATCTGAAAGATATAGCTTCCAAACCATGGCAGTGAGCACCTACATCCGCTATCTAGAGCAATGCCCAATCGAGTTCTCTCATTACTCTATGTACAGGCTTGTTTGGAGCCGAAGAATGTTTATATTAGAGATTGGAGTGTTCGGTATATTTGTAGTCTTTCGAGGAGGAAGCCCCATTTGGGTAGCATGTATCACCCAGCTCTGAGAGGATTATAGCTTTGTAGGGTCGAGGTGCATGGATCTTTTGGCGTGCGCGGTTTCAAGTAGTCGTGCTGCATAATGCTCGACTCTCTCTTTCGGGCTTCTGAGCCACTTTATTCACAAATTTATCGATAAACCACAGATATTGTAGCCTCTTGATTCATCTCTCTGTTTTTGGGAATTCAGGCATATTTCCATGAGGCTATACTCGCACAGAACCCTCATAGTTTAGATTTAGTACATGAATCTACAATATAGTGGGTCCAGTAAGACTAGCATCCGCATGCATTATACAAGTCTAATACTAATCTAACATCAAGCAATGGCTATTTATCTTCTATAAATCCTAACTTACACTTTCATTCATGTCCATGGATATTCGGCCGATATCGGCTAATATGTCGGTCATCTCGTTCATTATTTGGTCGTTCACAAGCACTACGGGGCCCCTAATTAGCCAAAGCTCCGTATATTTGCAGTCATCTGCGTCCACCACTTACCATATGCATAAAGCAAGCTATAGCCGTCGTCGAGGATTGACTCCAACATGTCGTCCTCTTCCTGGCGCATGAAGATACTCGCCAGAAGCTGATCTCTTGCGAGCTTTACCTTGCCAACATTGATATGATCTACCGGGCGGGCGGATGTAATCGATGAAGCGATAACTCATGGTTTCATGTCAGCGGAATAGCCCTTGATTAACTGGATGAGAATGGATAGTTAGGGTTTCCAGACTCACGCTGTGGTAGATGGTTGATGTGGGTTGACAACTCGTTCCTCTCCCTTGACGTCCGTTGCAAAATGGATATCTCTCGCTCAGACGGGTGGGCGACACTCAGCAGTTGAAGATCGAAAGCATGGAGAGCATCGACAATCGACCGGGTATGTTGGATGATCCTCGCATAGGCTGCATCGGGAAAGGGGGCGTTCAGCTCAAATTCATAGCGAGCCGATACCCTTAGGGATTCGAGGTCTGACAGAAGGTCTTCCATCTTGAGCTGTTCTTGGGGAGGCATATATAGTGCTGCAGTACCCGGGTGTCTTAATCGTTGCTCCAGTGGACTTAATGCCCATATCCGGGCGAGGCGGAGCCAGACGAGCCTAAGAGTCGTCTTGAGCTTCTTCCGAGCACTGGTAGGCCAGATGCCTCGCGTGATGATGACCCCCCAGATACAACCGGATAGAACCGCGCCCACTCGATGGAGAGTAATCTTGGTAATGTCCAGATCCTCCCTGGTCACTTCATTTGGGCCAGTACCCGCGTCGCGTTGTGAAAGGGAGTATGCATATAGCACGGACAAGTTGTAGGTGAGCATAATAAACCTGCCCAATGGCCCCTGGCCTCTAACCAGACTTATATAGAAGGTCCATGTTGCCATGAAAAACCCGAAAAGAGCAAGTCCAAATGCGTTACTGCCGGTGACGTACCATACTCCGATAGAACACAGGGCACCGATCAACGTCCCCAGGAACCGAGCATATCCCGTAGTATTCGACGCACCGATTGTCATTGAACAAACCAGCATGTAGGAGATGAGGCCCCACTCTCCCTTCCAGTAAAGGTAGAAGGGTCGCGTGAACGATAGAAAAGAGGGCAAGGCGTACAGAACAGCCCCCGTTCCGACCTTGACAGCAAACCTAGTCTCATCTTTGCGAAATAAATTGCAATACCTTAGCGTACAACGGTCAATTCTCTCTCTTAGCGATTGTCTTCTTGATTGAGTTTCGAAGCCAAAGGGCTCGAGCATCTCCATTTCCTCTGGTGCATTCGATTGTATAAGAGGTTGTTGTGAGGTGGGATCTAAGTCTCACATGTAAACTCATGGTTTTAACACTTTGCAGCTTAGGATACTCACCCGTATGCACTGGCTCGCCATCGTGTCCTCTCACACGGCCTTGTCGCCAAAACAAAACCCATTCCCATGATCGCTTCCGGGACAAAGTAGTTGCAGATTGCAAGTCTTCCACGATCGCCAGTAGCCCCTTTAACTGCTCACCGAACTTGAGTAGGGAGTGACTAAAATATGTGCAGATGGCGGAGACCTCATTGAAACATGCATCATCCTTAGCATTGTAAACCCGCAAATTGACTCTATCGCGATGGAGTGATGCGAAGGCTTCCACTTGAGCCTTACGGTAATCTTCGATGGCGTGAATAAGAGTGGTATGAAGACTGGCATCGACGGTTTGCTCGCCTGAGACTAGCCTAGCTGGCAATTCTTTGAGAATAGTCGCTAAGACTAGCACGAGTGAGCGCTGTAGTACATTAGCCTAGAGTGCGCCACGATGAAGGGACAAAGCAGACGGAGCTCTACCATGGAAGGGCCGAGTTGCCTGGTAAAATCGTCGAACATTTCGGTCACCCGAATACTGTCCGGAACTAGGCAATTGTCAATCACCTGAGGTGAGTGCGCGGTCTGTCCGATATCTGAAGCATTCTCTTCCGATAATCGCACGTCCAATAGCAGATGGCCGTCAGCGGGTGGTTGTTCATCTCGACTACGACTACGAGGAGAGGAGATCGGGCTCTCCGCCAGAGAACCTGGATAGTGATTTGCGAACTTCGGGTGTCGGAGAGTTTCCCATCCCAGACGAGCCGAGCTGTGGAGAGCGCCAAGGGTATGAGTGATATCGCGGGCCCAGCGAACAAGTTGCGCCTCAAAGATATACTCCTTCTCCCTTCCCTCTACATAGTGTTCCAGCTTTGTCTCCCGTAGGAACTTCTCCAGTTGTTTATGGGCTTTCTGTAGATCCGCCGAGGCACTAACAAATTCGCGCCCCTGCATATCCTGCTCGGTCCTCTGGATAAAGCTCTCGGTGATCACGGATTGCATAATAGCCGTTGATGCAGCGAGAATGCCCAGGTTGGAGCGCAGTCTCTTGGCGGCGGATACGGGAAGAACAAAAAAGGATACGGTCATTGTCACACCGATCCCCATCAACAACATGGCGAGAACCTGAGAAACTTTCCCCAGAGAGACATCACCCCGTTGTACCGCGCCTTCTTTCGTGAGGACAATGATCGACGTGAGAGATGCAAGTGAGCAGGCAACATTGACCAGCGAGTCGCCCATCTTTTGCTTGGTCCATCCAATGAATCCAAAGCCCACTCCCACAAACAGGATCAGCACCAGGGTATGGCCCAGTTCTATCATCCGTCGCCTTTGGAAGAAAATGGTCACATACATGCTGGTCAATGAGATAAACGCCGCATACAGAAATGAGACCAAGGCGTATACGAGCGCCTTATACATGCTACCTCTTGATCGCGCGGGGTGAAAATATACAGTAATGGTGGCTACAATATGCTTGCCTCCCTGAGACCCCAGCAAAGCCGCGACTGCGGGGACTAGTGTGGCCAGCGACCCAAGTAGGTACGCCAGGCTGCACTTGAACACTCCAATTCCGTCATCGGAGGTGAGAAATTGTCGTGTTTGGTGCCAGAAAGCAGATACTGGACTCTGCGTAGTTATTTGGCCAACCGAGATCGGCTCGTTCAGAAATGGTTCCTGTTCGCCCCCATTGCGGCTCCTTCTTCCGGTCCGGGAGACATCTGGTTGAGTATGCGGGTTTTGTCCTGCATCAGCGAAGGGAAACGATGCCTACGGAAGGGTTTTAGTCACGGGAGGAGATAAAAAAGGCGGGCAAAAAAAGAAAGGAAAGGAAAAGGGAAACATTTGAAAAGACAAAGAGAAGCTGAGGCCAACATAGCAGTACTACTTGACCATCTCCATGTCCGTCTTGGGTAGGAGAAGTGGAATAGATTAGTAAAATAAAGTAAGTCCAAATCTCACCTCGAAGTTCGCGGATGACATCACCGTCTATGGTCTATAGATACAATGTTCGTCCAGGGCTTGAAGTTATGAGGAGGTCGATTCTCAAGTTAATCCGGTGGACTAGCATTTCCAGACCAGAATGAAGTTGTCCTCTCCCTTTGCGAGGCGCTTGCATTTGAGGGAAAGTTTTCCCTCGGCATTCTTTGTGATCAGAAAGAACAAAGAGAAGGGCAGATGTGAAGTGGTTTACCGCTGACTCAGCTCAGATGCAAACCACGCAAACAAGTACCGCGTCCTGTGGACTAGCCTTTCTCTTATTGGTGACATTGATGAACACTGAGTAAAAGCAGTGACTATGGAGTATATAGTTAGTACCTCGGTCGGTTGAGGTTGATGCCAATGTATTGACTTGAATACCCAATCTCCAGAGATGCTACTTCTCTTATTAACAGTGTAGGCACCATACTTTTTGGGATAGGCGGCTATGTGATTGATCAGGGGTGTTCTAAATTGAGAGGGGCAATTTTAGATATCACATATTTTGCAGAGGTTGTGAGGTATCTTTACTAGAAGAAATGCCAGCACTTTGCTATAAACATGACGAGTGAAGGGAGTTCTTTGAATGATGTCTCGTGAACCCATAAAAAAGGATGGTCTATCCGTATTATATATATACGTACATTCGCCTAGTTGTTTTGTTTACAATACAAATGTGCCTGACCACGCTTGCTAGTTTATGAATGGCTATACATACTACATATGATAAAAAAGATTAAACTAGCAATCCAGCAAGAGGCTTTAGGAAAAGTAAGAGAAGTATGCATGATCTACCAGCAAGAGGTTCTCTTCAGAAGACCAAAAGAAGGCAGGGGCTGATGGCTGACTCAGCCAGGGGAGCAAACGGCGCAAACAAGGCAAACAGTAGAAAACAATGTCTCAGCCTGGAGGAAGAAAATAAAAATTAAAAACTTAAAAAAAAAAAGGAAAAAAGGGAAGAGAAGAGAAAAGGGAGACAAATTGATGGAAGCCTGACTCAGGAATTCCACGGTGAAAGCAATGTTGAATCGATAGTGTCTCGCCACGAAATCCCGTCTTACGGTAGGCCATCACTGGTGTTCATTGAGCCATGCAGCTTCGATCATATCTTCTTCTCTTTAGTTGTATCCACATCCACATCCTCGCCTGTCAAGCTGCATGGGTCAGGAAGTTTCGCTGCGGGGCATCTCAAGCGTATGACGGTCCATTCCGCATTGATAGTCTCCGCGGCAAGTTGAACGATAATGTGTTGTCGTTATCCATACTTGGCGTGCACAATGTATCGCAGTTCTCCTGCGACGACCTCAACGTGACTGGATTTGAGGGCCTGCGCTTCCACGTGCTGGGTTATCTGGTGGGCCATTTGGTCTCTTTCAATCACCAATGTCCATTGCCCATAACGGACACCCTTACCCCGTAGGTATTGCCAATTACCCCTTGATATCTTTATGCTCTACAATTTATTTTTCTTTTCCAATGTACTTGTCTACTCACACCGGTTGTCAGCCCCGAGGGCCTGCTGTTCTCGAATTACCAGCTTGTGTACTCTTTCGGCCACACTCACCGGCTCCAAACCCTAGCCACGGAGATTAGTTTCCCGGGGAAGAATGGCGACACGATTGATTGTGCCGCGGTAAAGATTACTCCGGACATTGGCCCAGCTGGTGCGGCGGGTTTCACTTATGTCCCGGCGGCCGTGGTTGCAATAGTTGGCCTTGCTTCTTGGGTGAAACAGCTCACTCAGTTGGGAAGGAAGCCCCTGTTCGAGTATAGTACCAGCTGGAATAGCCAGGGGCCGATCTGGAATATTATCCTCGACGTGGAAAGCTGTTTACAATATCTTCAGTATATCTTCCTGGCCGGGTCGCTGAGCGTGGAATACCCGGGCTTCTATCAACCACTAGTGAGTCAGGTATCCTGGTCCTCTCTTCTATACTGGACGGGTCCGATCACCCATGGCTTTACCTACACGGGCGTAGAAGACGGCATGTATGTCAGTAATGCGTCTTATGGACTAGAGTACATGGCCCAGATGCTCGCGTACCCTCAAATGCCCGATATCATGCTGGACGCCTTTATTAACCTGCTCATCCTGGTCCTTGCACTCATGGTAGTTTTGCCAATCTTCTGGCTGGCACTGCCGACAGTGGGTCAATTAGGTCTATTTATTAAGAAAGCAGTTTGTATGGTCCTTGCCGGTGCTCTGTGGTTTTTCAGCCTGCCGTTGCTGTCTTACATGTCGTACGAGCTAATCCTGATTGGATACCTTCCTAACTACCGTGTCACCCTCGTCGCGCTGGTAATGGTGGTCATTGTCTATTTAAACTACCTGATTGCTCGCCATTTCAGTGGCGAAGTAGGGCGCACGGACAGTGTATCAACGGAAGAGGAAGATTGCCCGACCGTTCTTACAGAGCTCATGCAGAATGTCTCGCATTATCTGCCACGTGCAATACCACTCATTCAAGGAATCATCATAGGTGGGTTGCAGGACTGGGGCTTAGTGCAGCTTCTCGTGCTTGGAGGATGTGAAGTCCTTCTTCTGCTCCATTTAGCGATACAGTTTCACACACGCGTTTTTGTATCCAAGGCTGCCTGGTGCGCGATAGCCCGCCTACTGACGGTCTTGCTCAGCATTGTGTTTGCGTGCTCCTTCAGCGAGCCGTTGAGACAATGGGTTGGCTACTCAATTCTATGCCTTCATGGCGCGGTGGTCATCTTTGTGTTTCTCTTCATTTCCCTTTGGCAGCTATCTCGAACTCTTAGCAGAGCAACTAACGGTGCGCACGGCACGTCGTTGGATCAGAGTAACCCTTTATCCACAGTGCCGGTGAGCAATATCAACAAGTCAATGTTTTCTCTATTATGATGTGGAGCTAACTGAGACTTGTAGGCTGTAGGTCTCGACCGTCTCTGCCCTCGCCGATTTGATGGTGATGGAGTATCTCAGCCATCGAGTAATACAACCAGCGAACGCCATGATAGCCGCCCAGGATCTTCCAGTATATCAGACAGAGGCTTTGAGGACAATAATAATGTAACAGATCATTATTGCTCAGCCCCCGCGACCACGGACCATTACATAACGGATTTCTCTGCCTTCTACAGAGCTCCGCGCCCGCGAGCGAACATCAAGCAAGAGTCCGCCAAGCACAGTCCAGCCCTCGTCGACTCGGCATCGGAAACAAGTGTAGAGTCCTGCGCCGATTCAAATCTCGGACCGTCTCTCCAGGATTCGTTTGACGAGCTTCTGGAAGAACCCAGTAAACCGGGAGTGGACTACTCTGTTAGAGAGTCAGACCTATACTATGGCCGACCCGAAAGCCGATCGACACAACTCACGGCTCCAGGTCAATTGGGAAATTTACAAGAGCCCCAAGCCGACCATCCTACTCCTTCGGGGTGGCTATGGAGAGCCGCAGCGCAGTTACGACCACCACAAAAAAAGGAAAAGGGTTTTCAAGTCATGAGACCCCCACGGCCTGGGTGATATGTGCCTTTTTCCCCGGCCACAGACTTCACTGCTGATATAATAATTATGCCATTGTCTTATTCTGTATTTCCTTATTTGAAGTGAGGGCTATGAACGGTTCAATTTCAAACGATATGATATTTATGGTCAGCTTGTTCCTCGTGCTTTTCTCGACTTTTCCCGCGTGCTGATGGGAAGTGGATAGCTCCAATGAACTTTCTAATGTAGCCAATGTAAAATACACAAAGTCGTGAGCGGATGTCAAGCGAGAGTGGGATCCAATCGCAAATATGTATATGTGCTATCATTATTCTCGTCTGCCCCTTGCCCCTGCAACCACTTGACACTTGGGAAATTTCATCCGAATCACAGTATCAACACTATCGAATGCTAGGTTCATGGCAAGCATATGTTCACAGTGCTCTGTATGGCCATAATCCGCTATATATGTGTCGATAACCCCCCTCTCAATGCCACGGTGCATCTTGCGCCATTGATACGTACAATGGAAGAAGTGATACTCATGTGTGACAAATAGCTCCGTAATATCTCCCTGGAGTACTTCCTCGCTAGACACTGAATCCAGGCCTTCTCGGTCTCTCGACCAGGTCCAATTTCGCAGCTGTAGAAACTGGTTGACCAGTTCTTCGTCGTAACATGCTGATGGGAGCCATGAGAAACTCATTGCATCAAACAAGCAATGCTGATCTCGGGCTTCCGTAGGAGTGGTACCGCAGTCACCGAAAATATTAGAGGGGTTCCCGGAGTTTGGGTGGATGGGGCTCCGGATGTCATTATTGAGGACGGCAATGAGACGTATGGTTGCGAAGGTCATGACTGATAGGACCAAAGATACCAGGACCATAGTTAACACTTGCTTCTTGCATTGGCGTTGTCTCTGGACATCGTTCGGTCGGGTTATCTCCTCAGATCCGTTTAATTTCTTGGTGCAGTCGTAATCCATATTATGCTAGAGCTATTGCGTTTTGCACGGTGTATGCTGGCAAAGATAGGAGCGAAAGACTGATGCATGAGGGCGGCCTGCGCTATAAATAGTGAGGGATACCGCACTAATGCCACGTTGGCCCTCGTCAATGATCTATGCCGGGGAAGGCAATACGGCCTACAAGATTTTCTTATCGCTGCTGTTACCTTTTTCTCGAAAAGTTCTTATGGTAGAAGGAAAATGATCAAAGTAAGGGTCTATAGCCTCCCACTATGAGATATGTGCAGAGAAGCTCTTTAGATTTACTACTCTGGAAATATTACTTTCACCATAAGCGGTATTTGTATCCTACGGATGATGTGGATAACGATAATATGGAGAATGCAACATCTAGTTATCAGACCATCCCCAATTCACTTATATACGGAACAACATGATTGTATGAGGATTCTCTACCCACTGAGAGCTTGAAGAACAAGGTGCTGTTCACAATGCTAGCTTTGTATGCCGTTCCCACTGTTGGCTGGGATTTTAGCACACCCAACAAGCACTAACTTCTCCAATTGCGATGATGTCTAACTGCAGACTAGAAATTGCGTTTGATATAGCAGCCAGCGTCGGCACCACCCCCACAAATATTCATAGGATCAACCTAAGTATCGTTATTAGCGCAACGGCCTGAAAGCATCTCGAGGATTCACTTCCTTACGTTGTTCGAATCCTCTGTCTCGACAGCACGCTTGATGTAGCATCCGCTATCGGTGGGACTCCTACAATCCCTGACCCCCAAACCACGCTTGATATAGCAGCCGCTGTCGGTAGGACTCCTACAATCCCTAATCACAGCACGCTTGATGTAGCAGCCAGCGTCAGCACCACCCCCGCAAATGTTCGTAAGATCAACCTAGGTATCGTTATTAGCACAACATCTTAACTATATCTTGAGGTAGGTTCCCTACGTCATTTGAATCCGCCGCGGGGAATGCACTGGCGACGGAAAGAACAGCCATTCCGAGACTAGCAATAACTTGAATAACCTTCATAGCTATGGCTGTCGAACGTTTGGATGTTGCCTTTGTGAGCTTTTTGAGGGTGATTGGGAATTGATAATAACGGGAGGAGTCAGTGAGGGTGGAGTGATGTTCTTATACTCTACCGGCCATCCTCACCACCCGAGAAATCGATTATTTGACCGTTAATAACCCCTGACGCGTATGTCTTTTGCTACACAGTACCAGCATCTTCAAATCGGGGATGATGTTTCTCAGTCGTGTGGCCGTTAGCGGGGTCGTGAAGGATCTGAACCCCGTCGGATAACTTCAAGATAGTCACTCGACTCCAAATGGTGGATGTAACCTGACTAACAAGATTGGTATAGGATGGCTCTAAAAGGACGACGAAGGATTCATAGCGGACGGCGGCACTGAGCATATTGCAAGAATCCTCATCCCGGTGCTGATATCGGACATAAACATACACCGAGAAATGACTTCCACCCGCATTCCCGTAACTGATTTATTATAGAGAGTGATCAACGCACCAGGATTCATGCTGATGACGTCTAATCACCTTATAGCTGTTAATCAATATTATGTTGTTCCTGGTCAGCATAGGTTGGCTTCTTGGCCAGGGTATTTTCAAGTGTGTAGACAATCGTTCCCCAAATTTGCTGATACTCGACCGATAGAACTCTAGTATTGGTCCAACTATAATAAGGCATATTGCGCAAATATTTACTCAATGGATGGAAACAGCGATCCTCCACGTGGAAACTATATTAGAGTGGTTTTTTAGAGTGGTTAGGACACTAGCATAAAGCACACTCCTCAGCACTGACGGCTAAGCTCGGGTCCTCGGCATCCTAAATATGAAGCGAGAGGCTATGAATCCAAGAATTATGCCGCAGTTGCTAGCAGCTTCTCGTCTTGTCGTGCGGATGCGGAGGTCTGCGGTCTACTGCACGGTGCCCGATGTAACCTTAATAATTCAATTGGGATCTTTCTTTCTTGCCTGACGGGGCGAGGAGTCGTCCAAGCGAATTTGACAATACCCAAACGGCATTCCACCTCCATGAGAGGAGAGACACTAGCAATAGAACGCAACATTGGAGAGATATGAGATATGCACCATGATCAAGATCGACGGGAAGCCACTGTCTTTGGACATATGCCGTTGTTGGACAGAGAAACGCTCTATGCGCTCCATATCTGTCTCAATCCCTGAGGAAGTGCTTGCAGAAATAAAGTCGCGCTCCATTGGTCAGATAACAGGTTGAAGGATTCGACGAAAGATATGAAGCCCTCCTGTACCCCGCATCCTTGCCTTGGCGTAAGACCTAATCTTCTGTCTCCAAAAGTTAACACTGGCTTATTATTCTTTGGAGAACATGATGTAGCTATCATGAAAAAGTCTCGGGAGCCACCACCCATTCTTGAGTTGGGATGATGTGTTGGGAGAGGGTCTACCGTTAGTAGAACCCAATTGGGGATCGCAGGATCCGTTGAGAGTGCGCCTCGGATATAGCCCGGAGTTCGTTAGGAGCCTTCATTCTCGGACTTGTCTCTTAAGCCATTCCTTCCTGTTTAACAGAAGTGGATTTGATACCTAAGCGATCACCTCAGAAAAGAAGGCCTCGTGGGAGTTCCCCGAGGTAATTTTGGATATCGAGGAGACCTGCCTCTAGAAACATTGCCGTGTTTTAGCAATCATGCTGCTTTCGTCCAAGTGGATATCACGGGGGTGGAGCAAGGAAGATGAACTAGGAGACTTGCCTGAGGCATTGCTCTCAGGTGAAAGAGATGAAGAACCCCCGAAGCCTCAACGGCGGTCCTTCTCATACAAACTTCCGCTGGTGTGCATAATATGCATTCTATTCAGCAATGTCATCATTTATCTTGTAATGCATAAAGCCCTTGAGGAGGCGAAACGATGTCTTCTACCTCTGGAGTTTGGTGCGTTATGTTCCACATTTTACACGATAAAATCGACAGGAATGTAGACGCTGATCTGTAACATAGAGGGTGCCGCTGGAGCCATTGAATACCAGACCGTCGTTCTGCAGCCCAGCGGGTTTGGGGATGATGGTGCTTCAATGACTCCGTTTGAGGGTCCTCCTAGCCCAGAGATCGATGCCCTGTGGCACAACCTTTCATCTGGTATCTCCACTCATGTTGATGGAATGTCATCTTCCCGCCGCTGACACTATTCAGTCGGAATATATGAAATAACCCTAGAAGAAAACAGTCGCCTTCTCTGGCCGACAGACGAAACACCGGGCACGGACGGGCAATATTACATCCAGATCGAAGTCTTTCACCAGCTTCATTGCCTGAATTTTTTGCGGCAGCAGATTTATCATGTCCTCGACCACGACTTTCCAGAGTCCCATGACAAACATGTCCGTATGTGATCTTCTGCCCAACTGCTGACAGCAACAACTGTTGTGCTCTGGTTTACACTCACACTGGAAGTGCTTCAGTGGCTAATATTTGCGAACACCACCAGGTCACTGCATCGACTATCTTCGCCAAGTGCTAATGTGCCACGGGGACGTCCACCCAATCACCATGTACCGGAAACAGGGGATCCATCGCAACTTCTGGCCTAACTTCACCATCCCCCATACCTGTCGGAATTGGGACCGCCTGACTGATTGGGCAGCCAAAAGGAATACGACTGGGTATACAATAGAGTCCTAAGAGCGACGTCTGCTGAGGGAGCGAGGGAGGGAGGGTCAGCGTACGTATCCACGAGTAAATCTCTGTATACTATTAGCCGAAATATCTATTATTGACGCTGTCAAGAATCCGGCGTGTCTCGTAGGAGCCGTTGTGTGGTAGCGCAACGGCCAATGTTGGCGTCCACGTATAAAAAAGGGACAGTTGGCAGAGGTTCATGTTTTAGAGGCTCTGAATTTGAATAGTCGATACCCTTGGGTTAAAAGGAACGGCCCAGTGGCAAAGTTATGAACCGCAAGAGGACGAAGAGAAGAAATAATGACACGGTCGCTCTACAACCTGAACCGGGGCAATTTTTTGTCGCGATGTTTCCCGAGTCTGTCCTTTTCGAAGCCGTGACTCGTAGGAAGTAGAGGGACCTACTCGTTGATAATCGTCTGGAATGGAAATACCCACTCGATATGGAAAATTGTGTATCCTATTATATCGGCTATGCTACTCCTGAACTTTCTTTCAGCCTTGCGTAAGGGCGTTTGGTGGACTCGTTGGACCTGGACTTGGCGTGCCTGAAGTGGCACGTCTTTTACGGCCTCCAAAAGTACTGTTGAATCGCCGTTTGGAACCAGGCCAGAGACGTTCGCGCTTACTATGGTGTTACTACTCGTTATGATGGAAGGGGCCAATCGGCTCCTCATATGCTGTTGGCTTTATTGCTACTTATACTAAGTAGGAAGCGATCGACCAATCTCTTTGTGATGCCACGAACATGCCAAGAGTCGCCGAACAGGGTCAATGCGGTTGCCCTATATTAGGAAATTTACTACGAATACTCTATAAGCAAAGCCCTGTCGAGGTAAGAGTTGCACCCTGGAGATGTCTCAGCGATACCATCAGTTGGGGGCGCTTGGCTATGAATTTGAGGCATGATCGTTGACAGCTCAGGCGGATCCCTGCGACTTGGTCACCTGATCATAGGGTTGTATACATCATTTAGTGCGGCACTAGGAAACCAATACAACAAAGACAGGGATTTGGTTCGGTCGCTAGACTGGGTTGGAAGTGGTACAAAGGCACTGTTGGGAAAATTCTGTCTCCGAGGCCCATGACCGATTCAGTCGTATAGTGAATATCCCTTATGTTCCGGACGGAAAGAATTAGGCATTCTCCATAAAGACGCCCTTCATTGGGCTAGATACCGGTACTACTATATAAGTCCAAGAAGTGGCCCCGTAGTCTGATATATTTACGTGATTAGTCCTGCCATAATCCTTGGTAAACGGTGGTCCGGATGATGTCGCACTGCCAACAGTAGTCTTTACTCGAAACATGTTTCTCTCTAGATTATGCCCACGTACACTCCTACAAATTGCCTAAAAGTCAGACATTGCTGCACAAAAGTCCCTTTTATTAATTATTTGTGGGCTGTCTACATGGCGTCTGAATAAGTCTCCTTGACAATGCTATCTCTTTTGGCAGCTAGTCGCGCCCTATGTGCAATCTGCCTACTCAGTCTAGCGGTTGCTTCTTCCACCCAAAGGCCAATCTTTGCGATCGCACACAGGGTCCTCCGAAAAGAAGCGGTTACAGCGGCATCCTCTCATGGTGCGAACGCACTGGAAGTCGACTTAACAGCCTGGTACTTTGACTGGTGGGCAGACCATGACGGGAAGCTATTTAGCGCGGGTGCTACCGCGCGGGAGCTTTTCCATTTTATTGCACAACAAAGATGGACCAATAACCTCAACATCTCCTTTATTTGGTTGGATATTAAGAATCCAGACTTTTGTCGGAAGGGTCGAGCTTGCTCCATCGAGGCCTTACGGAATTTAGCTCGAGATATTCTTGAACCCGTAGGTATACGTGTGCTTTACGGGTTTTTCCAAACTGCCGATAGTCGTGGGTATAAGGTGATCAGGGATACCTTGAATATGAATGAAGCCATTGTCTTAAGTGGTGAGACCAATAGTATCTTGCGCTTGTATGACACCACCGGCGTTGATGTACCTGCACGGCAGAGAGTCATGGATTTTGGTAATTCCTGGCTTAATCAAGGGGTCGATATATATCCACAGCTCCGATATGGAAGCTGGAAACGAGACCAGGGAACACTGGGAAAGGTCTTTAGCTGGACTAGTGCAGAGGGAGATACTGAAATGGTCCAGTACCTCCTCCGCGAAGCCGGCATTGATGGGTTTATATATGGCTACCCGATGGACGAATACAAGGACGCCAGTGCTTCAAAATCCGCCCTACAGGATATTGTTGACTTCGCTGAGGCTAATCGCCAAACTCATCGAATGGCTACAGGTGATGATGCCCCGTGGTAGTGGAGGGGCAATTTATGATTACGATCCATTTCCTCCTCATTCTACTGTTCTATCCGTGACCCAATGAATGGTTAAAAGACCTAATTTGCCTGCTAGATGCATGTAGCGTAGAGTCACAATTGCTCATACCAATTGGCACCTTTGAGAGATGGGTTTGATTCCAGATAGATAATCAATATGTCTAACTCCAGCAAGAATGAATGTTTACCCGAGGCTACCTCCCTTCTTTCATGCTCCAGAGAACTTCGTATTACTTTCCTTCACTATACTAACTCCCTGCTTAGTGATTTGTTTCTGTCATGTTCTAGCTAGCGACTACCTTTAAATAAAGCAAAATCGGAGTATTCATAGAATCGACCACATTCGGAGAGGCTACATTGGCCGAACGAATAGTCGAGGCTAACAGGGAATCCAACCCGTACGACACATTACTTCCATGTTCGGTCTTAGGCAACTTTTTCGAAGGCTGGCTGTACGAAAATGCTCAATAGAAATCAGGACTACGGTAATTGGCTTATGACCAGAGAACTTTCTCAGTTACTATCATTAATTAGAGCCTTGGTTACTGATGGTTATATGGTATTCCCTCTGATCCTCGTCCGCATGTAGGTAGGTACATTTACTACGGAGCGGTATGCACGCTACGCCACGATGAGCCAACTAAAGGTTCTGGGTAGCGAATATTGGATCCATGACCCGAATGGTTCAAGTTATTAGTTTCCTTCTACTCCATGCTGTATTGAGGACTTGCTGTTAGCCTCTCAGAGGGACGTGGGCTGGAACCTATATGGCAATATGGGACGTAGTTATGCAGGCTAAGGAGTAGATGCAACATTCCAGGGTAGTCCCTTCGAACAGAGCCTCCCCAATCTACTGTCTGTAATTCGGTAATGTACCACCCAGGATCCGTTAGGTTTCATCCACTAATACAATTTGATCCTAATCATATTAGGGTTAGAGCTAGCTACCGTGCGAGGATGTCATCCAGTAGTATAACGTTTAGACAGCCGACAAAAATAATATAAATATGACGGCCTCAGCCTTCCCTTAGTTGTTATTCCCATCATCAGTTCTCGACTCTCATTCCGAACATATATTTCCCTACCTAATTCAGCGTCAAATAGATATACCCAAATCTAGGTATATTTAGTCAGCGTTTCATCCCATCTAATTCTGACGTCCACGGGAATGCTATCTATCCTGCAGCGCTTCACCCACAAGACATACTATTCTATATCATAAAGGATTACTATTAGACCCACTCCCACGACTTAATTCGGCCTCCACCATAAAGGAGCGATTACTCACAAGGCCACTATATTTTCATGTTTCTTTTGCCACTGGACCAGGATCCATAACAAAGAATCGCTCTCGGATCTCCAATCGCTGCTTCTCTGGATCAGACATCGTATAGTGTAGAATGGCGTTCCGACCCTCCAACTTTCGCGTCGAGATACCCCGCACCCTCGAAGCCTCCGGTAGAAGCCCGGCTCGGTCAATACCCTCTCTCTCAATCTCAATGGCCTCGCGACATGAACAAAAGAAGTCTGTAGATAAATTGGGTCCTTCCCGGTGTGGCCAGGTCCGTAAAAGGTCAAGGGCTCGGTATCTGATCTTAAAATCCCGACATTTGATAGCCAACCAGGATAGTATCAGGATCACTCCCATATCCATTAGGACAGTCGGGGGCCTATTCCCATATTCCGCCTGGAGGTTGTTGATGATGCGTTCACACATATAAACGCATTTGGTCATCTGCGGTAGGTATTTGTCATAAACCATTTCTGATAGACTAAGCATTGTGTCGAGTAATAGTGTCATGATGAGATGGTGAAGGCGAATCAAGTCTATACCGCGGTGTTCCTTGACCGTTCGGGGACAGAAACGGGCGGTAAACCGATCAAAGGCTGCCATATGGTCGGAGAGGTTTAGACGCATGTTTTGATATTCTACGTACAAGTCAAAATGATCTCCTGATGGGTCGCGTAGGATGATGTCGCATTTTGTCCGAAACCGGAAGATGTTGTTTATTATGGGGTCAAGCTTCTCTTTTGCATCGTGGATATTGTTTAGCTCAAGATGTTTGGATTGTATTTCAGAAATATGCACCTCCGCCGGCCACAGAGAGGGATTACTCGAGGAGTCAAAGTGCGCTGCCTGGACATCTAGACGCGCAAGGGCACGGACAAGCGCATCTTCGGGCAAGGAGGAAGCGTCCTGATCGTAGAGACTTCTGGGGATGGAAGAGCGAGCGGTAGTTCCTCTCGGATTCGCTAGGATGCGAAGTCCATTATCGAGGTGAGTCAAGGCCGCCCCATAATTCTCTTGAAGAAACTCGAAGAAGATGAAGACGATGCAACAGGCCAGTGTAACTAGTCGAAACTGTGGGTCATTGGATCCTAATCGCTGATATAATGCTGAGATGGCCCTGTTGTACTGATCGAGCGCCGAGTACCGGTGACAGCTTTTCCTCTCCAATTCCACGTTTGGCATCCCATTGTCCTCCGTAAACTCATGAAGCGCGCCCAGTGCAGCGATGGCGTGGCACACAGCAGGCTCTGTCTGGCCTAATTGAAGCACTATCTTCTCCCATGCCTCTGAATGAAAATACCCCACGACCATCGGCACTGTATACGACTGAAAAAATGTAAAATATCTTCGCTCCCTCACACGCATTCCCGGGAGGTTGAGATTGATGTGTATAGTGGCGCTACTGGGAAAGTCTTTCCGCCTCGCCGTGACGATGGGGAGGGGCATGTCATATCCGTCGCACGTACGACCGGTAGAGGTGCAATTCCTACATGCTGAAGGTGCCTCGTCACATTTAATATGTCTGATTTTGCAGGTGCGACAGCCTGTGCGGGAACGACGGGGTGTTGTTTTCTGTCTGCGGATCTTCAAGCTCATGGTGGGTTCCAGTAGGATTGATTGATATGATTTATTGATTGATTTCATGCGGGAATTCTTGCGGCCGAAATGTTTCTAAATTTATCTTAGCTATTGTACTAGTCCAGATAGGGTTAAGGTCTATAGTTCCAAACCCCAGTATATAGTTAACTTGATGCATGCATATGTAGTACATCATGCGTACAATGTGAACCCTTCCTTCTTTTCTTTTCTCTTCATTTTTCCTTTTCTCCCCTTCTAGAATACAACACGATGGAAAGTTGAAAGACATCTGTCATAAACAATGCCTAGGATGCAAGAGCTAATACAAATAGATACCCATCCCGCCATACCGGCATGCGCGGTACTTCATCTGTCTGTCAAACCCCCATTTCATAAAGAAAAGACAAAAAAATCAGAGTATATATTGGCATCCTGAAGAACCTATTATCATTGACAGGAATGATGATATTCACAGGTTCGCACATGTACCACTGCCAGCGGCATGCGTAAAGCAGGTCAAACTCCCACAGCAATCACTGTTCTTGTTGCAAGAGCCGTAGACTGGGTTATGTATTAGTCTCTCTGCATCTCAACAAATATAACACGGGATAGAGATACTGACGCGGGTGACAGGCTCGCTCAACCAATTCTTCAGGCTGCGCAATAGCAGCTGCGCTGGCCAGTCCGAGGAGGGCGCTGAGGAGGAAAAGGGTAGGGAGCTGCATTGTGTCTTTGGTGTTGTGGCCTTGTGGAAGACTTAATAATTGTGTAATTGTCTTTCTTGAAGGAATGAATTGAATTGGTAGAGGTGAGACAACCGGGGTGAAGGCCTTATTTATATCTGAAATCCCTCTATCATTCCCTCACCTCAATGCCGAGCAGCTGCCGCCGTAGGTAACAATCAGGTCCTATCATGCACCTTCATCATATCAGCCTGTTGGAACCAGCGAATGGATACCAATCGTGAGGTTATCGCAGTGGCGATGAGTGCTCTAGGCTTCCCTGCTTTGTAAAGGGATTTACTCCGATTACTGTATTTGGCGAAATTGACCAGCGGTTGGACGCGATTATTATATTACTGGACGGGCAACGAAGGCCTTGGCAATGCTTCGATATGTGTGCAGGATTGGAACTGTTATGTCCCATGGCATTCTGTTTGGTTACTCTACAACCTCGTTTGAGAGGTGTTGGGTGACACCGCTCTATCATTGGCGTTCGTACAAGAGTATGGAGGCGTATATGCAATGCTGGTCTATATTGTTACACTCATATGCAGAAATCTTACCTGCATGAGGAGGCCCGCAAGGCTAGCCCCCAAGGCGCTCATTTCCGACACTCATCCTACTCCCTCAACCACCACATCTATCGGTCTTGTTCCGACTACACTTGGTCTCATGCGCATACACATGTCCTCCTTCTTGGAACCTTTAGCCGTCTGTCATAGAATTGGCATTGAACATAATATTACAACTGCCCAGTGTAGCGTGTCTTAATGTACCGGATTGACTCCAGGGTAGTTGATTTGACTTGCTGATCACCTCGGGCAGCAGGACACATCCGGAAAGGATCTGTCAGCCTGCCCCTCTGTCCAGACCCTTCAGGATGAGGCTTAATAGCGCTTGTCACATGTACCCCTCATTTGGTGTGGGGCATTTCCCCGAGGCTGTGTTATCGGGTTTGTGTATGGATTGGATCGATAACCCTTCTGGCCCCCAAGACCATGACATCCTTCGCCAAGCTCCACCGGGAAGGGAAAGTATCCACATTTATTTGATGGGACAGGGGGCACAGTTGTGGCATGACTGCCATTTCATGGGAAATATCTCCTCGAGCTCGAAGAAATTGGGCATCGACCATTATCCTCCAGCTGCGTCTCGGTTACCCATGCTTCGCGATCCTGAACCTATATGGTAAGGATTGAGGGACTCACTTCCTGTCCCTGGATTCCGTAACCCCTTGGTGGCTCTGCAATGTTACAAATTTAGCTTTGAATATTGGGGTGCCATTGGTTTGGGATGGCTGTGTGGCGCACTGTATCCACCAGAACGGGCTATATGGCCCCGAGGGTTTCATGGGTAAGGAGCTCGCATTGCTCCTGGCCAGTAGTCCATAGCATTCCAAGTTGTCGATGTCTTCTTTCACGTCTGGTGAAAACTTTTCCAATGCCTTACGCAATCGGCCCCAGTTCGCCACGTTCATTTTAGGTGTCCTCCGTGAAAGGTGATTACAGCCAAGTGCAAAACCAGCTTCACCGTTTTACACACTCTTCTTAATAAGGCCCACTGCCAAGACACTAGCTCATAAATTGAGTGCTGCGTGAGTGACAGTATGTCTAGGTAATTCCGTAGTTTCTAGACTTGGCTTGGTCCGGCATTGCAACCAAGAGTAGCATAACATATAAGTTCCAATGTCTGTCATAGCCAACAGCTCTATACGGGCGTTAAACTTGATTAATAATAATAATAATATATTCCTACATAATATCTAGACCAGGGCTTTCCCATAACTACACGCCGCCTTTCATAAATTAATTACGCTAGTGGAATGCTCAGATACGGTCATTCTCAAAATCAGCCTGACCTGTGACCTGACTGGTGTCAAACAAATTGTTTATACATAGCTTGCCTATTCAGATATACCAGACCCTCCTTTTCGAATGAGATTAGAAAATAATAGACTCCAGTAGCATACAAAGAATATTACTCTATAGTGCACGGAATCCTATAATAGTGACCCGCCCGTCATGATACCCTAGAGCAAGTGTAGCATCCTTGACAGCGAAGCATTTAGATGAACGATACTCGGCAGGGAGCCACAGTAGATTCTCACCGTCCAAGGCAATCCAAGCATTTGATAAAGATACCTGAACCTTGCAATTGGATTTGTTCAGTACTGAATTGACATCACTTGGATGGCCCTCTAATGTCTGCCGGTGCGTGCCCGTTGTGGTATCCCAGAGCTTGATAGTCTCATCGTTAGAGGCCGACGCTAGTGTAAACCCATCGAGAGAGAAGGCCACTGAATAGACCCTACTTGAATGGCCTTCTAATGTCTGCTGGTGTATGCCCGTTGTGGTATTCCAGAGCTTGATAGTGTTATCTTCAGAACACGATGCTAGTGTAAGCCCATCAGGAGAGAAGGCCACTAAACGGATCCAATCTAAATGGCCCTCTAATGTCTGCCGGTGAGTGCCTGTTGTGGTATCCCAGAGCTTGATAGTTTTGTTGCCAGAGCCCGATACCAGTGTAAGCCCATCAGGAGAGAAGGCTACTGAACTGACTGTACCTGAATGGCCCTCGAGTGTTTGTAGGCTCGGGCTCCATGAATCTGCCACCACTGGTGGCCTCTGTATCTGTTTCAACATTTCACCATAAAAATTCTTTTTGATAATACTCTGTACAGGTGCAAACGCCAGCCCCGAACAGTAGACTTGGAGTGGAGCAATACCAGCTATGTATATGTTTTGAAGAGTAAACCTTCTTGCATCATAGAGAAAGACCGACAGCTCAGCACCTATACTCGTCTAGAAATATGCATCAGCAACTGCCCAACTGTAGTACCCATAGAGACTTACCCATGTGCTGACCAGTGTATCTATCATCCCCAAGGAATTAGATATACTTCTAATTAAAGCCAATGCCTCTAACCAGTGAAGGAACCGCTTCTTAAGAAAATAAAGAATTCCAGATTCAGAGATGTGACCTTTGCTTTGCTTTAGATAATACATCTAGTAGTGGTAGGAGTATTGCAGATCAGCTGTGAGGTGCTGGTTGATAGCCCGAGGCTTGATATCCTTGCGCTGAGTTCCATAGTTTGCTAGACCACAGACATTGTGTTTTAGCTTAGTATCCACAACACGAAGGCAATGTGATGCTATTTTCACATGTGTCTCCCCCTTATCCACATGGAAGTGACCTTTGGTGTTAACAAGGAATCTTGAAATAAGAGATGCAGAATATAGACCGGCGTATCATGATTATCGGGGATATTTAGAACTGAGTAAAATCTATTCAGTCAATTACTGATATCATTCTTCAATATTCCAGTTAGCTGCGCAAGAGTAATCACTGAAAGAGAAGTAGCAAGAAGAATAATAACTTTAATTATATCCTGAAGCTCTTGCAAGAGTAGAGTGAAATTACTCTAATTCTTAGAAGTTAAGAGTTAATTTAATACCGGTCAATATATCCTATTTATGTCAGAGATTAATATTGCTGCTTTATCTTAGAGGATAGCTAGAAGACACTTTTCTGAAAGCCAGTCTCTATCCCTAATAAAACAGCAAATAGTGGCCGCAAAAATAAATAAAGGGACAGATATTTTTACCAGCTTTTCTATATTTTTATTTCCAGGCCACTCCGGGAAAAGTAAGCACTTAATCCTTATTTCTGAAAGTTTATATTTCAGGAACAGGCAGATATTATATTCAATTACTGGGATAGGAAGTTTATGGAGAACCAGGTCTTGGTAGTTCCTATCCTGCTTAAATCCAAAGTAAATTGGAAGTTCCGGTCTGCTGGTCAGGAATACTTGCAGATATACAGATTTAATTTCCTGTAACTTAAACAAGAGTTGAAGTATCATGTATATATTATTTTCCCTATTATATTTATCCAAGGCATTAATAACTAATATAATTGCTGTAGATTGGTCCAGATGCAGCTTCGCGAGAGGTTGATAAAGAAGCTTATCAGACTATTTACTGAGAAATTTAGATACAATATCAGGATTATTCTTAATGGTGTTCAAGATGTCAGGCGCCAGATGCCAGTGCCTGGTTACCAGCTGCCTTGTAATAGTTGATATTAAGTATTTCATGTTACTACAGTCAGCTTTATCCTACTTAAAAAAGAAAGTAGGATAAAGCAGTCCTTGGTTTTTAAAAGATTAAGTAACTATCCGGGCAATAGTAGACTTCCCAGTTCCTGCCATTCTATTTAACCAAAATATAAATTTACCATCTGACTCAGTCTATTCCAAAATTTGGCAACAAAGATCCATCCTGATACCCTAGAGGCAAAAGTCCTTATATTAATTGAGATAAGAGTCATAAAATACTTCTTCCGCGATATATAGGTTGGCAAAGCTAAATTATTTAATAAGTAACTTTATAGATTTAGATAGTTTATCAATCCTATATAGAATATTCTCTATATCTTCTTTATTGCCACAGATGGAATAGCGATTCGGCCTGATGGCCGTACAGGATACCCTGAGCCAGGTGCATGGACAATCGGCCACCGATGAGGAACATCAGGCCATCAACGGTTTGGTTTTCAACGGGAAATCTGAACCCTTTACGTACAGAGTCATCAGCTATAAATTAGCGAATAGTTAGTAGTAGGAGGAGATCAAGAATCAGTCTCCTGTCTGAATAATATCTACTGCCTGCCTTTGACCTCTCTCTCCCTTCCAGCCTACGTATCCTTACCTAGTTGACAGGTCTTCTACCCTGAATAGTAGATAT